ACCTGAATCGGTACTTTAAAGCACTCTTGTAATATCCAAAAAGACATAATACACCCGTGTATGGGCTTAACTTGTTAATCCATTTATGTAGTGTTAATTAAATGTCATCGCCTCCCTCATGTCGTGTCGGCGTCGGAATTATTTTGGGATTAATAGTAGGTCCCAGTGAAATGTTTGTGTCATTAATTATTTACGATCGTTAATATAAATAATTGTCGCTTCTGTTGAAGCGTATAAAATACAATTAAAAACGTTCCCATTAAAATAAAGATCATAATTTCCCCTACCTTATCCTATTCCCGTAGAGCATTTTCGTCCTCTACAAAACTCTATCATCCGTCATCTCAGTCATCACTCCCTTCTTGGTCATGTCACCTTACACGCAATCCATCCATCCCTTTCTAGGTCTATCCAAAATAAAGATAGTGAGAGTGTTCTTGAATAAGAATAGTGACTGAAAGATTAGAATGTTCTAAGCTAGGCCCCCTTGGAGATCTAGCCTGCATCATCAACTGGGTACACTAACGAACTAGAAGCTGTGCCCTCTCTGACGATCTACGAGTATAATATACTTTCAATCATTCCGATGACCGTTACGTATTTTCCATAACTTCGTTCCCCTGCTCGTTTGCCCTTATTAAAAAACAACGTACAGTACGTGGTTCGCGCTATCCGTGTGTCAACCCTATTTACCCTAGCCATTAGCCAGACAGGGGAGGGGGATACCTGTCGCGACAGTCGTCTGCTGACGTCACGTATACTATAGAATGTAATGACTGTTGCACACGTACGACAAAAATCCCTAATGTGAGATTTAAGGCATCACATCGTATAAATCGATTTAAAATCGATGAATTATTTCGACAAAACAAATCTACGTTGACAACTATTTTATTCAATAATCATAATTAACCATTACAACTGTAATACCTCTTGAATCAACATATTGTTGTCTCTTTTCTTTTCAAGGAGAGTGAAAGAGATGATATGTATCTGTTTCGGCAGAAGAGTTATATGGAATTAATATATTAAATAGAAAGCTTTTCTATCTTTGCCAGTCTATCAATAGCGGACATTCAATAATGAAACGATTGCATCCTCATTACAAACAAATACCTCTACATTACACATGCATCCTTATCCAGACGTAATAAAGTTCAAATCTAATCACAATAAAATAACCGCCGGCTATTTATCAAGTGCTCTACACATTCTAAACATACGTATGAAGTTTGAACTCTAACAAAGTCAAATAAAGCGTATACAGATCTCTAATAGAATGCAGTATAAAAGAGCCCTTAGGCTCGCAAATATAAATCCATACAGGATATTGCACCGTTTGTAAGCTTTTTTTATTACTAACGAGCTGTCGTCGCCCGCAAACTTCGTTAGCGCATATTTATCCCACGGGTTACGCGATTTTCACAGCGCGGAATTAAAAAATAACTAACCTATAATATGCCCGTCTATGTCAGCTACCCTTCAGTGAAAATTCGGTCGAAATCGGCCAAGCCGTTTCGGAGATTACCCGGAACAAACGCAGCTTGCGGACAAACAGACAGACCAAATTTATTTTGAAGCAACGCAAATTCATCTTCTCGAAATCTGGATTTTTTCTTTTGATATTACAAAGAGACTATGCAATTTTTTATATGTATAAATGAGATAAAAAATATAACCTACATATCACAGAAAAACTTTCATCTGGTTTGAATCACACATTTTGTTTCTGTCGATGTTTATAAAAAGAAAGACACCATTTGTATCGTAGAGGCACTAAAAATGTAGCTCATTTGTGCTACTAATTTAGTAGTCACGTAGCTTTCGCAGTTCATAAACTTAATTAAATTAATGAATTTTTAAACTACGTTTGCATGGCGTCAGCAAAAGCGTTCGATGAATAGTCGAGCTTCATCAAAGTGAAACTATTCGCGTCTCTAATCAGTCCGCGATCGCGAAACTCCACTCAAAGGATTAATCCGAACTTTTTCTATTAATTTCATTCGTCGGAATATCAGTAATGACTTCTCGAAAACCTTTATCGAAGTTTCTACATTTTATAACGTGACATTTTAAAATGTATACGTATAACTTACTGTCACCTGCGACTCCGTCCGCGTTGAACTAAACAGTAGTTTAATACGTGTCCAGACTTTGCCCAACATCTATGGTATTCAACAAAATCTATTTAGCTGTGTACGCATTACACTCTAACAAACATCCATACATCGTACTTCATACTAATATTATAAATGCGAAAGTTTAGATGGATGGATGTTTGCTAGAGTTTGCAGCCTAAACGTCTGAACGGATTTCGAAGAAATTTAGCATGGATGTAAATAATATTTTGGAAGAACACATTGTCACTTAGTTTTTTATAATTCCACGCAGACGGAGTCGCGGGCGAAAGCTAGTCTAAACTAAATTTAACGGAACACCGCGTTACTGTTGCTAAATAATGAAATAGAATAAACTTCCAAATTTATCGCTTCAATAAAGCTTTAATAAAAACGGCACCCGGTTAATACCGTGCAGGGTTACCCGGGTTGCCCGGATTGTCCGGATTACCCAGATGACGATAAACCGTCCCCCGCCCCCACAATTTACGACCTCATTCACTCGGCTCCCTGCGTACAGATGTTTATCGCACGTTACGATATCAAACAAACGGTGTTAGATTAAACAGTAAATTATATTGAGTATTGTAAATCATAATTACTATCGAAATATAAGCATAGAAAAATATAGCTATCTCTTTTTTTTCTAAGTGAATGATAGGGATGACAATGAAAGCTTCTTCTAATCTTCTTTTAATCTTTAGTCTTTGACTATATGTTTTGAAGCTAGAAAGTGTCGCCCAGTGGTTGGCCATAATTAAAAAGTTGAAAAATATTTCACCAGTTGTATGTTGTAATTAAATCGCCTAAGTTTAAAAGTTTTATAACTTTTGCACAAGACCATTATGCCTTTCAAAATGTAGGAAACTTTCTTTTAAACGTTCGTAATTTGCTTTGACATCAAAAGTTACGAGGAATATAAGACTGAAAATATTGTTAAGAATATTTTACTCTTAAAAACAGATTTCCTTTAACCATCGTAAGGATCCGTCAAGATTGGATTTTTTAAGAAAGATAAAAATTCTTGTATACATTTCCATATATAAAAATGGCCACTTTCGTTACAAAAGCGTTTAATTTTTTTCTATACATATTTCAAAAGCCATAAGGGATGGAACTGGCTGTAAAGGTAAAATAAAACTGCGACACAATCCATTGTACAAACGCTTTAATTTTCCTTTGTCTTGTTATGGCAGGTATAGAAAAAAAAAACATTGCACATTTTTAATACAAGAACACAATGGACAAAGGCTATCTACAGACAAGAGTCTTACATGCGTAAACACCTATGTAGATTTCTCTTTGCCCTGCAACTAGTTGCAATTTGCAACGAAAAACCATTGTAAAAGTCATCTGCATATTTTACTAACCTAAAGTTAAAAAAGACTACGGGACTAGTATTATTTGAAAATACACGTAATTACTATAACTAACATTTGCCAACTACGTACGAAAAAAAAACACATTACTTTTTTATTCGTAAATCCATACAGTAAATTTCTATTTGCCGACGTAAATATAGTGCTGGCAACATAAAACTCGCTTTTCCGAACGCCACTTTGCTTTTATGAGCAGCAGTTAATGGGCCGCGGTGCAATGATGGCGGGAAAATATTACGCCCTCTTGCATATTTCCCGCCCAAACTGACAGCTCTCTGTGTTGCCAGTCGTGTTTATTACGTAGTAACTGGGAAAGGCGATTTGGAATATTGTAATTTATTAACAATTACAGTAAGAAAGTTATGTTAGTAGCTGGTTACAAAGTTGCCTAAGAAATAAAATAAAGATCAGATGTTCAAACTTTATAATGATCACAGTAAGAGTAATGAAAAATAGAATGTAAAGAGACTGGAATGGGAAGGGATGAATAATATAAAACCAGTGTTGCCTGTTATTATTTAATGTACACGGTATAGCGAAGTTAAATCAAAATGGTCCACCATTAAAAGCAGCGTCAAAGCCTCTGCAAAAAAGTTATGCTCACTTTATTATTTAACAAGAAGTTGGACCGTCGCGTGCCGACGAAATGTTTTTAAAGTCTGCCAAATATAAGCATATTAAAAGAAAAATGTTGAGAACTTGTACATATAAGAATCCTGTACCTTGTTATTTATTTACTTAAAACTTATCGTATGAATTTCTTTTATAAATCCACATATTTTAAAAATCTTTTGCAGCTTAGTTCTAACAAAACAATCTCCTCAGTTTTCACTCCAATATGTTTTGCACATACTCTACTAATTTCGAATGGAATCGTAAGCTAGAGTAAAGGTTTTATAGGCGGAGTTAGATCGTAAAACCTCTATCTTATTACTTCAGCCCCATTAAAACCGTCACGGGCGTAGTAATAACTTTATCTAACAGCTTTTACTTGCCACTGCACTCATTACACATCCTGAGCCATTTTACTGTTTTTAATTTATTTTTAAGCTATTCTAATTCCGAGATAGGATTACAATAGCGGCTTATTATCTTGCTCAGAGCTAGAGATTTCTATTGTTTTTTTTCACGTAGAAAATTCAACTAATTATCTTACTAATACTAATATTATAAATGTGAAAGTTTAGATGGATGGATGGATGGATGGATGGATGGATGTTTGTTAGAGTTTGTAGCCTAAACGGCTGAACGGATCTCGATAAAATTTGGTATAGATGTAGAGGATAGTCTGTAAGAACACATGGGCTACTCACTTTCGTTTTTTTTTAATTCCACGCGGACGGAATCGTGGGCGAAAGCTAGTTATCAATAAAATTTTCAAAATCCAACTTCTGATGCCAATCACCAATGAAGATATCAATAGACTTAATTCTTTAGACAGATTTGACATTTATTACTGATTTTATTGTAACAAAATTAAAAATAAATCATCAATTTATTCCAGGAGCGAGCAATCGTACAAGCGTACGGTGTCATCAGTGAGCGCGGCGGGGGCACTGGCGGTCCCCTGGGCGGCAACGGAGGCGCGTTTAGCTCTGCCCACCGCGCTTGGCGTCGCCGGTATTCCTGCATTAGTCCTCACAGACTCCAATGGGAAAGTCATCACCGCCAACGGCAGACAGCACCTCGCCGCCGATCCTTTAGGACTGGTAACTTTGAACATCATAATAATCGTACTAATATTAAAAATGCGAAAGAAAAGTAGAACAAAAAGACTACTTCATTTTTTTTAATTCCACGCGGACGGTGACGCGGGCCAAAGCTAGTATCATAATAATATGTATAAACGCTACTTACAGTTGCACCCACTATCGTTTCATGGACATTCACGCATTTGTCTACGTCCGCCGTTTTTCGTGAACATAGGCTTCCTTTAATGACCATGAGTCTGAGAAGATTACTCTATTATTCAAATGTTTTATTGTTGATGATCTGATTCAATGAGAAATAAAATCTTTTTCAGAACTTCCCATGGGGTCAACGTCCGGTGTCTTTGCTGACTGAGCAAGCATTACTCAAAATGGCGCGTCATCCTGCGGTTGTCTTGTTTATTGGTAAGACACCTTTAAGAGCATCACATAATATGCAAAATTACCTTTTTTAAATTATGATTAAACACATATTCTATCTTTTAGATGACGAAGACGCGGAAATAGAATTCTCAGAATCCGTACTAACACCGTCAGCGGAATCCTACTATGAAGAGTGCAGTATCCAGTACCCGGGGTTCTGTCCTTACCAGAACTCCTCCGACGACGAAACTATGGACTTCGATTACACAACATCACGTTCAAGAGTCAAGAAGAAATCATTCAAACATGTGATGTTTTATATCGGAATTGATGGTACTGATAGTGCTGATATGCTAAGAGAACATATCGGCTTAGACGACGCTGTACCATTACTTACCGCAATCGATTTCCCCAAACAGAGAATGGTCACAATGAAATATGGCGACGAAATCACAACTGATTCGGTACAAAACTTCGTTGACGCTTATTTGAGCGGGAATTCAGATTTCAAACCATTAAAGCCTTATAGTGAGAAATGTTAAATTAAATTACGTAACCTGTGATCAGTCATTTGGATTTTGGAAAAAAGTAGATATTTAATAACGATTGTGTTCCCGCCAAAATTGTACGAACTGATTAAACCATAGACTAAAATAACGATGTTTTTTATCAACTAAATGACTGCATCTTTCCTCTTTAAGCAATCACAGATAATAAGAAAGCTATAAATCTTAAACTAGATTTGGAATTTTCGTAGAAAGTAGAATTTAACGACTATTTATAACTAAAATCCATTACGGTAAAAATTGGTGGCCTTATGTGCTACGAAGTTTGAAATTGACATTCAAATATGCCTTTCACCGTGAATGACCATTTATTTCTTGCTTGCACAAGTCTTATTAAGACCTACCTCATGAATACACCATAGGTCAATTACTGTACTCGTGTACGAACCTTTTCTTCATACCTTCTGTATCGAACACCTTTGTAAAATATTTTATGTTTTGCAATTTTAACAGAATTATGAATATTTACCTACCACGTTTAGAAATAAGTAGACTGCAAATAGTATTTTATAAACATAGGAGTAGTCGTAGGTACTGTTTTGTTTTCATAATAAACCAAAACTTAAATTATATGGAAAACGTAATTCTGTAGCATGTATTGTAGATTTTGGTTTACATAATCTCAGTATTAAAAATCTTAATTGTTTTTATCTGTAACAATGTAGTAGCATAACAAAATAGTAATAGACATAGACAATGTTTACGTTTAATTTAATTTTCGATCTGTGATTCGATTGTTTTTAAATAAAAGTCTTCATATTAACTCATAATGTGTTGTTTATTTTGTATTGAACCCACCCTAGAATTTTATAATAAAAAGAAAATGAGTTCTTTGAATTTGAAACTACTGAAACGTTATTTTAAATCGGTGCTTAAAAGATATATTCAGCAACTCAATTGCAAATCCAATAGAAGTGAAGACAAACAAGCATCTAGCCTGGTAAGAGAGGCATTGTTATGGGAAGGTTCCAAGAAAATAGGATAAAAGGCGAGCGCTAGTGAGCTATAGTAATTGCTAACCAGGTTCCAGCTGGTCCACGAAATAACAATGATGGCAAATGTTTTTGAAAATCTAAATTATCCTTTTTTTACTGTATTTTCATTGGAAACTATAGAAAATAAAAAGCCAAATAATTTTAACTTTAAAATAAAACCAGAGACAATGAAACAATCGTCGCTTTAAATATTTTTAATCTATGTCCAAAACAATGGCTTGGTTTGTGTCTTGTCTATGGCATTTTGTCTTTTTGCTTTGATCGGTAGACGCCATTAAAGTGAAATAAATCTTGTGAAATTGTATTCACGTGCTATTACGATTTAAATAAATTGTTTACCAATAAAAACAAATAACAAATCGTAAGCAATGGCCGACAACGACGATCTTCTCGACTACGAAGATGAAGAGCAGGCAGATCACCAAACCGCCGACGGAGCGACGGAAGCGGCGCCAAAAAAAGAGGTTAAGGGATCTTACGTATCGATTCACAGTTCTGGATTTAGAGATTTTCTCTTGAAGCCTGAAATTTTAAGAGCTATAGTAGATTGCGGCTTCGAGCATCCTTCAGAAGTCCAACATGAATGTATTCCACAAGCCGTTCTCGGAATGGATATTTTATGCCAAGCGAAGTCTGGTATGGGTAAAACAGCCGTTTTTGTCCTAGCAACGCTCCAACAACTCGAACCGTCCGAAAATCATGTGTATGTTTTGGTGATGTGCCATACCAGAGAGTTGGCTTTTCAGATAAGTAAAGAATACGAGCGTTTTTCAAAATATATGGCGGGTGTACGTGTGTCAGTTTTCTTCGGTGGTATGCCCATACAGAAGGATGAAGAGGTATTAAAAACTGCATGCCCTCACATCGTAGTTGGAACGCCAGGAAGAATACTGGCGCTAGTGAATAGTAAGAAGTTAAACCTTAAACATCTGAAGCATTTTATCCTCGACGAGTGTGACAAAATGCTGGAATCATTAGACATGCGACGTGATGTCCAGGAGATATTCAGGAACACCCCTCACGGGAAGCAAGTTATGATGTTTTCAGCTACACTGAGTAAAGAAATTCGACCGGTTTGCAAGAAGTTTATGCAAGATCCTATGGAAGTGTATGTAGATGATGAAGCCAAATTAACTCTGCACGGACTTCAGCAGCATTATGTCAAACTGAAGGAGAATGAGAAGAATAAGAAGCTCTTTGAACTTCTCGATGTGTTGGAGTTTAACCAAGTAGTAATATTTGTAAAATCTGTGCAACGCTGCATAGCACTTGGTCAGTTACTAACAGATCAAAACTTCCCAGCTATTGGAATTCACCGCAACATGACCCAAGATGAGCGTCTATCCCGGTACCAGCAATTCAAGGATTTCCAGAAGAGGATTTTAGTCGCAACTAATCTATTTGGTCGTGGTATGGATATTGAGAGAGTTAACATTGTCTTCAACTATGATATGCCTGAAGATTCTGATACCTACCTTCACCGAGTGGCCCGCGCAGGAAGATTTGGTACAAAAGGTTTAGCTATAACTATGGTATCGGATGAAAATGATGCAAAGATCCTGAATGAAGTGCAAGACAGATTTGATGTCAATATAACAGAGCTGCCCGAGGAGATTGAATTGTCAACATACATTGAAGGACGATAAACATGACTGGGTTTTCATTCCTTTTGTACTAACTTAAATAAGATTAGATGATTACAAAGCTGTCTTTCATATTGTACTTTGTTTAGTAATTTGATATATTTTCTAAGAATTACTGTGTGTAAGTGTATAGGATGATTCTACATTGAGTGATCCTGATATCAGGATACAAGTTAGATTAACAATAACAAAATTAAAGTGACATTTCATACTATTTATTGTTTTTATTTTTTTTATATAAATGGTACATCTGTTCAGCCACAAAACAAAGGGTTATATATATGTGGGTAGATTTGTGAATAGGCATTTAAATTTCTAGTTACAATTTCTGTTCCATCAAAGATATGACTTACATAGTTATGCACAATTTGGTATTTGTACTTGAACAGTAGCATTTTAAATTCCAATAGAATTGTAAAAAGTCTCACTAAAAACCAAAATATAGGTTCTTCGAAAAAAAAAACGACCTCATTACAACTTATATCTTTATTGACTCAAATGTTACTTGATTACAGTTACTGTACAATTCAACTGCTGTTACACTTTATAAAGGTTTGGTATCTACATTTTTTCAAAGAGGTAGAAAGGGATGGCTATATTTCAACCAATTTTTTCAGCAGTGTACACTCATAACCTTTTTAAAACTGAACAAGTGGTTTATCACATGTATTTACCTTATAACTAAAGCTTACCTAAACAGATTCATTGCTTATAAAATACTATGAAAATATACTTTAAATTCACCAAGTTAATAAAAGGTTTTCTCATGAGTTAATCTGGTGATCATATCTAATGCCCACTTAGGCTGGTCTCCAGGTACCATGTGACCTGCATTCCTCACCATAATTTCCACCAACTTGCCAGCTTGCTTCACATATCCAGCCAACTCACCATCTACTTTCCATTGGTACCTTTTAGCAGTCTTATAATCCTCAGATCCAGTAAATTTGAGATTCCTTAAATAGTTTATTGTTAATGGATAGGCAACAATTATATCAAGTTGACCGTTATAAATAAGGACATAATAATTATCCAAAAGTTCAGTCATCAGTGGAGCTACAGACTTCATCAAATCATCTTTTAAATGTTCCTCAACTTCATGTCCCGTGTGGAAAGTTAAGTTACCAACATGTATTGCTCTTCTTACAAAAGCCTTTTGGAGCATTGGACCGAAATCTTCAAAATCTACATAATCCTTTGTATGCAAATAATTAAAGTAAAATTCAAAACCTGTCATATTGTAGAATAAGCTCTTGCCATCAATTAAATCTCCATTTAATAAAGTGTCAAATACTTCAAATGCTTTATCCCATTGCTTCTTTTGAATATAATCAATGCCCTTCAATTCATATTCTCTAAAAGTATTAGCCTGATTCCAGTCTAAGAGACCAATTTGATACAAATATTTGCTGTAAACCAGCTGATGTTCTGGGTCACTGAGGCCGTTGCCAATTGCTATAGCTTTTAAATTAATTTTAGTCTTTGCTGTTGGGTTCTTTTTGTAAATTGTGTAAGCAAAGGTAGGGACATATTTGCCAGCATAAGATTCTCCTGTTATGAAAAATTTATTCTCCTGTAACTCAGGGAATAACTGGAAGAATTGTGTGATAGTTGAATACAGTTGTTCACCAACCTGTGTCTCATTATTGCAGTAGCCTTTGGGATCTTTTGTGAAACTAAATCCTGTGCCTACGGGATTGTCAATATAAATAATATGGTGGCTTAAAGCCCAATTGTACTTGCGACGTTCAAATTTTTTGTCTCTGACTCTCAAAGGTCCATTTTCTGTGAAAAGTCCATATAACGATGAAGCGCCAGGTCCACCTTGTAGCCAAACGATAACTGGTGCATCTTTGTTGTTTGGTATCATCGCTGGGAAGTACCAGAAGAATTGATTTGAGTCGTATTTCTTATCAACCGTGAAGAACCCTGCATAGCTTTTAATGCGTAGACTTTCAGTAAATGGTACTCGAGCTAGTTGCCTTCCAGCCGTTATGTTGCCGCTCTCTATGTATGGAGTGAGAAATAAAGGTGATCCAGTGTCTCCATGAACTTGACTGTCGAGATTTAACTTTGGATACCGGTGTAAGAAACAATGAGCCGAAACTATAAATTGAAATAAAACATATAAAGAATATCGAGACATTATACACGTGAAATAACAATGGATGTCGGAAAACGAATGAACGGCTATATAGGCTAGGTAAAGATATCAATAAAGTGCAAAAGGTAATCACTTTAACCTAACCTAACCTTGTTATCGCTTGAAATAATGTCAACAATAAAGTAGATTACAATAACAATGTGTAGACAACATATGTGCAAAGAACTGTTAAATATTTTGCATTTAATTTAAAACGTTTATGGTTGTGATTAATTAATGAATGCATTCGTCAAACAGTAACATAAACAAAATGTACATATTTTTTCGCCTACCCAACTCAAACAACTTATGGCATTTTATTCTCCTTCTTCTGTGTCTTCTTCTTCTCCTCGTTCTGTCAATATGTCATACAGAATTACAGATTGCAACACCTGCGCTATGCATTTTAATTTAAAGTTAAGACGTACATTAACAAAAATAATTTAATTTCAAGTGCAACGGACACTGCAGTACAGCACTTTATCAATTAGTCTCTATTTTAATATTTCCCACCAATAGCTATTTAAATTTTGCCGCCATTAAAAATTTTACCGCCTATCCAACAACTATACCTCTCTCATTACAATGGGAACACAACTTTTCTTTGTATTAAAAGTACACTTTAGCCACGTAGTACTATTTGCCTTTACAAAACTACGAAATACATACTATAAAATAGTAAATTACTTTTTGTATTATCTACTAAAATCGGCTAATGCCACTGCCATTTTTGTCAACATGACAATAACTGTAAACTTATTGTGAACTGTTGTATTTTAAACAATAAAGGATGCAAAATGAAATCTATTAAATGCGGAATTAAATAAAATTAATGAATATCTTGGACTATTTTAATGAACAATGATAATTAATCTTAATCTATTGATATTTACCAATTTAATATCTTTGAGGACATGTACCATTTTTCCCTACGTCTATCCCCGTTTGAAGCTAGAGGCAAAGACTCCAGACGTTGCGGGCGAAGCGCTTTTTCTGACGCCTCACTTAGAAGAGGGAAATATCACACGAGCTCAAAACTTATCGAGAGTTCCGTTCACTGAAAAATTGGGATTCAAAAGTTACTCAGGTTTTTTTACTGTGAACAAAATTTCCAGATCCAACTTGTACTTTTGGTATTTCCCGCCATTTTCAAAGACCGAAGAGAGTCCTGTTGTTTTATGGCTGCAAGGTGGTCCGGGTGCGAGTTCGTTGTTCGGTCTTTTTACCGAAATAGGTCCGCTTGTTGCTAAATCAGGTGGTTTCGGTTTGCGAAGATATCACTGGGCGTTACATTACCATTTATTATTCATCGACAACCCAGTGGGCACCGGCTTCAGCTTTACAGAACAAAAGGCAGGATATTGTAAAACCGAGGAGTGTATAGCTGAAAATCTTTTCAAAGCTTTGCAACAGTTTTTTGTGATGTTTCCCAATTTGAAGAGCAACGAGTTGTACATCGCCGGTGAATCTTATGCAGGCAAATATACAGTGTCCTTAGCTATGTATATTCATCGTAAAAACAGTGAAACTAACGACGTGCAAGTAAATTTGCAAGGTTTAGCTCTCGGCAACGCTTACTGTGATCCCGTTAATCAGATGGATTACGGTAACTATTTATATCAGCACGGTTTATTAGACAATGACCAGCGTAAAGTGTTCTTGCATGTACAAAATAGGATTGCCGAGAAAATAAAACAGAAAAATTGGGCACAAGCAGATTTATTGATGGACAAGTTGATGGATGGTGGATTAACGAACACGTCGTTTTTCAAAATGTATACAGGATTTAATTATTTTTACAATTTCATGAAGACTGAAGACGATGATGAGATAACTATATTTAGTAAATTGATTCACAATGATAAAGTACGACGTATGATTCATGTCGGCGGGCGTCCGTTCAACTCCGGTGAGGAAGTTCAGATGTATTTGGCATACGATTTGTTAAAATCTGTCGCACCTACGATCGAGCAGTTGTTATTGAATTATAGGATAATGTTTTATAACGGTCAATTGGATATAATCGTTGCGTATCCTTTGACAGTAAGTTTTTTGAGAAAATTAAAATATCCTTCGGCGTTTGAATATAAGCATGGTTCCCGTTTGATATGGTTTGTGGATGAAGAAATAGCGGGTTATGTGAAGAAAGCTGGAAACTTGATGGAAGTGATGGTTCGTAACGCGGGTCATATGGTACCACACGACCAGCCTAAATGGGCTCTTAATATGATCATGAGATTTATACAGGGAACTTTTTAATTTTGTAATATATAATAAATGCTATATTATCATTATTCAATAACTTTATTTTATTCGTTCATTTATTTCATTGATTATAAAGTACCAAAAATTGCAAAAACAGAACGAGTTCAAATTCGCTTAAATTTTCTAGATTTCTAGAAAAAAAAAGACAATAATATGATTATTGTCTTTTTTTACGATTAAAATGTCCAATTACAAATAAATCAAACCAATTAATAATTACAATTATTATTGATATCTTTATTGTAGACAGTTATGGATTTTTATTATTTTCTTTTTTCATAATTCAAACTAACGTATACTATTAAAGAGGACATTTTATGTTCGTATGTAACTAATAAACTCAAAAACTACTGGTCCAATTTCAAAAAATGTTTCATCATTAGAAATCTACTCTATCACTGAGTAACATAGGCTATATTTATTACTAGATTTATTTTAACTACGCGCGAATTCTCAAGCAAAAGCACTCATAAAAATATTAGAAATAACGTTACGAGGATTTTTAACATATTTTTCTATTTCATTACTTCAACATTATTAAATAAATCATACATTTTTCTAGAAAAATGCAATTTTCAAATGTTTCAAATATGTACTGCAAATAATAAAACGTAATTTCTACTGAAAATATTTTCTTTATCTCAATGAATCAAATATTTATGAATATGCGTATAATTTTGTAAAAAAAAACTTAATAATCATCGACAGAATTTCATTTTATTAATAATAATATCAGAGATTTTATTTTTGAACACTTACATTATCATTCTAGTTAAATAAATATGATTTCACTCACTGGCTTCTTAAATGGACAGTTACATTTTTCAGTCAGTATTAAAATTATTAAGGCATAACACTGGTATTAATACTCTTATTAATAATTCAAATATTCCTCAAAATTTCTTTACTCTTTGATGCCTAATATAGTTTTCTGTTGTGATGTTATTTGAAAATAATATTATTTTCTGTTTAATAATGTCTTATTATTAATAAGGGTATTATTAAATAGTGTATTTAATCAGGCTAATAGAGCTGTGAGCGCGTCTAGGAACTGCGCTCGTTGTGACGTCGGCAGGGTAATGACGGATGTATCTACACTGTCCAAAGAAACTGTCGCACCGCTTTTTGTAGCCGCCTGCTCGAATGCTGCGCCGAATAAACTGAAAAATTATATCAAAAGTGACATTAAATACATTTTATTACATCTATACTAATATTTTAAAGAGGAAAGATTTTTACTTTTGTATTTTATATGTATTAAAATAACTCAAAAAATACTGGACCGATTTAAAAAAAAATCTTTCACCATAAAAAAGCTACATTAACAGTGAGTAAAATAGACACTTTTTTTATTTTCACAGGACAGTCGGAAGAACTGTTAGTTGAGAATAATTTTAAATATGTGAATATTGTCTTTTTTGAGGCTAAAAGCATTTATTAATTATTGTCATGATCATCATCACCAGCTCACTATACGTCCCCACCAAGGGGCTCGGAGCCTACCCTAAGTTAGGTTGACTAGGCCATAGTCAACCACGCTGCACTGCGGGTTGGTTGACTTCACACATATCTTTGAATTTCTTCGCTGATATGTGCAGCCATCACGATGTTTTCCTTAACCGTAAGAACGTCGGGTAAATTATGTACATATGAAAATACGAAAATCACATTAATTATTATACGATTTCTAAAAATATATACATACTTCCTTGGTTCCTGTTCGAATCTGGGTGGTAATCCTAACAATATACATGTGTGTTGGTCTGTTGGCGCGCTGGCCAGCAGCGGGCGCGCGGCCCCGCCCGCCGCCCAGCGCGCCGCCTCGCCCAGCCACAGCGGGCCGCGCACCGCGCCCGCCGCACCGCCCTACACCACACATGTAACTAATTTTTTTATTTATAATATACTAGCTGTTCCGGTGCGGCTTCATCCGCATGAAATTATGACATTATTTACATGCGTTAAATTATCAATTTCAAATGTCAAAATGACATGACATGATGACAAACCATGGTAATCTTACTTCTTTGATGACAGCTTGTAGCTTATAGTCCCTTCCCCTTATTAAGATTTTTCTCCAATTTATTTACCCCTTAAGTTTGATAGCGTGAAATTTTATAGCCTAAAGCATGAAGTGTAGGGCTTTTCATTAAATAAATAATTCTTCAAAAACATTATTTGATTGCTGATATCTTACGCTACAATAACAGACTTTAAAAATAAATATAGATATCACTATGGAGACTTATTAATGTATATAGATGTTTTAACTAGCTTTCGCCCGCGAATCCGTCCGCGTGTATTTAAAAAAAAGTACCCTCTGTGTCCTTCCAGACTATGCTCTACATCTATGGCAAATTTCATCAAAATCAACGGATCTGTTTGTGGCCTAAACGGCTGAACCCATTTATAACCTATTCAATATTCTAGTATCTAAACATTTTCATAAACACCTTAACATAATAAAAGAGTAAAGAAAACTTACCTCTGGTACAATAAAATAACTAAAAGGTCCAGCCAGTAATAGTTTCTTAGCGGAGAGTGTGGAGTGCACCAGGCTGGCCACGGCCTGCAGGGAACGTCTCGCCGCAACTGACCCTTTGCGCCACGCCTCGTTCTCACCTGACAACTCCAGAGCTGATAAAGCCAGCTGGAACCCTTCAGCTTTCGGCAGGGTCTCCTGATATATAAAATGGTATTTAAAGTACAAAATTAAATACTTTAGAGAAATCCTGGAAATAATGGATAAGCGGAGATATATGACTTAACTAGCTTTTGCCCGTGTGTCAGCTTGATTGGGATTTTAAAAAAAAGTAAGTCTGTTCTTGAAGATATTTTACATCTGTTACAAATTTCATTAAGATTCGTCTATCCGTAACTAAGATATCTTGTAATAAACATCAATAGATCTAAACATTCGCATTAATAATATTAATAAATAAGATGTTATTAAAAGTAATAATCTTACTAACATTATAAATGGTAAAACCACATAGTTAAATGTATAAAATAAACCGAGCATTTCCTTTTCCAAATGAATACTTAAAATCCATATTAAGAATTTAACTTTCCATTGCACTTCATATTTTTAAAAATGAGAATCAAATGTTAAACTCAAAAAAAGTACTGTAAAACTCAAAAAAAGTACCGTAAAAGTCACAAATACACTGTAAAACTCATAAAACGCACTGCAAAACTCAAAAACACTCTAAAACTCATAAAAACACTGTAAATCTCACATGTTCTATAAGTGCCATGATAACATAGACCGCGTCCAGCGCAGCCAGCGGTGCCATGAGCGGCCGCTGCAGGATAAACGTCGCTTTAGTAGGGACAGGCAGTTTGTGTTTAGGAGCTGCTGTTTCTAACGCTGTGAGGAGGGATCTACGGAGTTCTACGTCCATTGAACGGTATGCCTGACGAGCTTGTTGGAGAGGGAACCTGAAAAAAGATATAAAAAAAAATGAACCTGGTAGCACTAATAATAGAAAAATAGAAGAATTTTAAAGGAAATCTAGTATTATACCCTATGTTACTCTGTAATAAGCATTCTAACGGTGAGAGAATTTTGGAAATTGAACCTGAGTTTGAGTTTAATCCTTAAAAAAAAAACAAATCTTTCTTCTTTATAACTCCAATACAAATATAGATAAGATAATATAAATGTAGTTATTGAAAACTAGTAATTGATTATCCAATTAAAAATACATATCTGACTCAACAAAGTTTAATTTTTATAAGAAAAAAAAACCACTATCGCAAAATACAATTTAAAACAAAAAAATTTGTGTCCATTGGTCATTGAAAAAATAATAAAATAATTCTTACCCCATATCCGCTAATAATTGTCTTAATCTAGATGAACCGGAACGCGCGTATAATTTGAGTTTAGGTGCCAACATGGCGGCGTGGCTCAGTGCTGCCTCCAGCGTCCACTCGCGGTACAACGGCAGCCACGCGTCTTTCTCCATAACTACACATGCTGTCTGGAATTAAATGAAATTTACATCAGCAGAGAGAAAATAAACACATAAATTTTATTTTAGTCCCCACCCCCTTGAGATTTTATATAAAACCCCTTTCTCTAATTAGACCAACAAAGGCAAAGTCACCCTAACTTAGGGTAGGCTCCGAGCCCCTCGTTGGGGACGTATAGCGAGCTGGTGATGAACTATTAAAATCTTGTAAAAACTTGTACACCATAACCTTAAAAATAACTTACCCTGTTCGCAGTAGAATCATCATGCCGTCTCGCTGCAGCAACATAGCGATGCAGCGCTTCAGCATCCAACAGACACCTCGCTGGGGAGCGAGCGTACAGCGCTGCGTGCGCTTCAGCTGCCACCGCGGCTGCCCATAAAGCCGCTTGAGACAGACGAGATGCCAGCGATGATAACTCAATTAGTACACATGCACTCTGTAAGAAGGATTTTATCATATAAAAATAGAGAAAACTGATTAATAACACATCATAGGACATTGGCTGCTTGCACAAGCGCAGGTAGCCGGCATTAGGTCCCATAGATTTCCCTCCGATACCAAAAAAAATGTCCCATAGATTTTTAGTTTCTTCTTTTCTTTCTGTGTGTACTTATGATTTTTCTGTTAATATAAAAATCGTGATAGGTGTAATATCTGCTACACACAATAGATAAATTATAACTGGTAAGTTTGTGATAAAACCTGCACATATCTGTTAAGAAATTCAAAGATGTGAAGTCAACCAACCCACAATAGCCCAGTGTGGTCGACTAAGGCCTTGTCACCTAAATAGAGTAGGCTCCGAGACCCTTATTGGGGATATATAGTGAGTTGGTAATGATCAGTAAGATTACAAATTTATCATGTAATTTTTATAGCTTTTTTTTATATGTTTACACAGTTATGCAGAAATCTTATTAACAAACTAGGTGTTGCTCATAACATCGCCAACTTGAAATTAAAAAACAATAAAAACCATAGCCCATGTAATTCACTGATAACATAGGTTTTTAATGGTGTAAGAATTTATGAAATTGACCCAGTAGTTTTTGAGTCATGTTAATACATACAAAAATACTAATCTTTCCTCTTTATGGTATTAGTATGAAGTGTAGATATTGATAAATGAAAAATGTTAACATAAATCTATTATTTCTAAATAACTATTGAGTACAAATATTAGCTAACTACAAACTTACTGGTTTTCCATAGTAAGAGAATTGTGTGTAATTGAACATAAGAGTGTGTCTGCGTTCCTCCCATTCCTTGCGTGCTCGCCTTCGCTCCACAAGTGCTTCCAATCCTTCCCTACTGCTCCCTGATTCTTCATTCTGCAAATTTAATTTTACTAGTATAAGTGTTGATGGTTAGATGAATGTTACAATTTGGTGCCTAAAAGTCTGAATGGATCTTAATTAAATTTGGCAGATATAGAGCAGTCTGGAAGAACAGAGTCTACTTTTCTTTTCCATGTAGATGAAGTTGAAAAAATACAGATTAAAAGTATTAAGAAACTTACTTCATCATCATCATCATCTCTGAATATGTCATCAAAGTTGGGAATGTTCTCCTCATCATCCTTATACACTAGCCTCACCTACAAATTAAATTATAAAGATATATTTTCTTACCAGAAAAGAGTCATAAACAATATATATTAAAAATATGTAGCACTGTCTTATGACATAAGTTAACTTACTTTAATCAAAGATTATGATTACTTTTGTCTGACTTTTACTAAGATATTAGTAAATTTGTCCTACCTTCATTTACACTATAAAATATGACAGAGAAAGCATTGAAATATTACTACATCAATTAATTTAGCTATAAAAGTATGAATTATAGCAAAACAACATACTATAATTTATGTTTACAATATAATAAAAGATTGCACACTTATGTTCTTTTGGATAAAGTCGAAGACTTTTTAAGTCTTATTTGAAGAAGGTATTTCTAAGATATCTAGTTGTAGAGCTGTAAGTGCTAATTTAATTCATTAATAGACTTTGTATACTAAATAAAAGTGAAAATAGTACCTGGCCATCACTATAAACATTACAAATGTCTGTTGGTTTGTGGGAGTCTAACACAAAAAATACAACTTCCTCATCAGGCTGCAAGATGTCCACTAAATCAATCGTACCACCACAGTTAATAAGTACCACATATTTAATCTCTTCGTTGTTTTCTTCATACGCCGTCTTCAGTTCTGATATACCCCCCACGGGCACTAACGTATACGAGATATTATCACATTTAAAGAGACCTTGAAGTATTTTACAGGCGCATATCGCATCAACGTCGTAGTGAACTAGCAAAAGCACTCTCTATAACAAAAATACACTTGATAAATAAAAAGCTCCAAAATCCACGTTTTAGTATACTTTCTTTGACACTTACGTTACCGAGTAAAACGTTATAGAAATCATTTCTTATGTCCTCAATGAACATTTTAAATACTAAAAAGTTCTCATTTAATTAATCATCTTAGGATTATTAAATTAAATAGAAAATGTAACACCTGATTTCTATGGGGTATATTTTGATTTGATATTGACAAAACAAGTATAACTGTCAAAGTGTCAACTACAAAGTTTCGCGCCAAAATTAACGTCCATACTATTTGTCTATGTGCTTGTTCATACTTTATTGACGGCCGTGATCGTGTAATTTTAAACAATTATAATGAAATTAAGTGGGAATTTGCACACTAACAAATGACGGAGCACTTTATGTCCCGTTAGTTTGTCCGATTTGATCTGTTCAGTTTTGCCTGGTTAATTTTCATTATCGCAGTAAAGTTGGCCAGTAGCATGCAAAATCTGTTCTGCTATACAACTGGACTGGAGCTAGTGTCGTGTAAGAGTACAGTCCGTGCCAGACCAGTGCTACTAGTACATTAGATATGAACAAACACTAGACGTCATACGACGTGCTTGTAAGTCTTGTGTACAAAAAATAGTCTAAAAAATCTAACAAGCAGATTTTGAGATTTTCGTTGATAGCTACTGAAATAAAAGAGGCACATGATATAAAAGGACTGGGCAGTACAATAAAAGACACAATGACCACTACAAAGCATGATTTATTACGTTTATAAAAAAATCACCAGCTCAATATACGCCCCTCTAAGGGGTCGGAGCCTACTCTATATTAAGGTTGACTAGACAATAGTATAAAAAACGGGCCCACTGCGGGGTTAGTCGATTTCGCACAAATCTTTGAAATTCTTCGTCGACAATTGAAGATTGCATCACAATGTTTTCATTCGCGGAAAGAGCGTCTGGTGAGTCACATTACACAATACATAGCGGGGTTAGAACACAGAAACTACAGATTATAAGTGAAGTGCTTACCCCTGAACCACCAACGCTCTTATCAAAATGATTACATTTATTATTCTTAAACATTGGATGTTTTTCTTAACTTAAAGTTGTTTACATGATGCTCAGCTATTTTGTAAGCAATTGTCCCTTTCCTCAGTAAATTACTGTTCAGAGCTCTGAAATAACATTTCAAAAGAGACTCATCATTTTCCTCTGGATATAAATAATCATTTAATCCATAGCATAAATAATTTTCAGGACAATCCAATGCTCTGAGGCATCCAGCATATTCTGACCATAGCATTTTTCGCCATTGCACATTATGCTTCTGAGCTACTGGCACCAACACACATGCAGCAAAACATGGATCCCCATAGCTCACTCCTTGAAATTGTTCAAGAAATTGCATATAAAAGTCTTGGAAGTTATTCAAACCGATTAGGTCCTTATCAAAGTCAATTTTATCTCGGCTCTTGAATAGAACTTCAGTACATTTACGCAAAAGTATCTTGACAGAAGGTTCCAGAAACAATGAGTTATCACATAGGAAGACACTCATAATGCGACAAAACCTATCAGTTACATCAATCTCTTTTAAAAGATCAGGAAAGCATATTTCATTAAAAAGAATCCATTCTAAACTACTGCTTACAATCAGTTCTTTCTCCTTAGCTTCCATTTCTGCTTCTTTATTAGCATGATCACCAACAACTCTAGGAGTTGACTTTAATTCTTGACTTTTGCTATATAGAGTCAAAATTGGCAAATAAATCCAATCTCTGGGTAGTATGGGTTCCTTCCACTTTCTTAACAAAACAGTTTTCTCATCTGTGTAATTCAGATTAATAACTTTACCATAACAAGACTTTATATCTTCTGCATTTGTGAAGACTTTTGTAAAGCCCTCATTTTCTGATAGAGATAAGAGACTCATCCCTTGCCTTGCCGAAATATACCATTTTTTGTTAAATATTATCTCATTGAAAAGAAACTCCAATTCAGTTCTTTTATCTGCACGAAGCACATAACACAGTTTATTAGCAACTGTATATAATAAATCTTTTTCAGAGTCCATGATATCATTTTGGCTTGCAATCTTTACAGTATAAAATATAAAGTCAATTTCCATTCTTGAAAACCAATTGTCACATAAACTGGGAGTTTTATTTGCAAATTTTCTTAGATAATCCAGAACATGTTTGATGTAACCATGGGAGATCTTTTTTACATTAATGATTGATAATACTCTAAACAGAGATGCAAGAAATGGTATTGGTGATGTCATATTTATAATGGGTAAATTATTTTGTTTTAAACCAATCACAATACTGTTAAGACTGACAAGGTTCTTGATGTTATGAAAACAATGATTTTCAATACCAGATAGTAAATTAGAGCTTTTCATCAAATGGTTCATTATTTCCTTAAAACCGGGTGATGTGACAAGAGTCTTCAAAGTAATTTGAAGAAATGGTAGAGGTACTCTCTCATACTGCAACACAGTCGTACAACAGTCCAGAATAGAACAAGCAAGTGTCAAATGGCAACAAGAAAAGCTTTCATAGGTTGCTACTTGAGAGAGCCATTTTTGCACCCCTTGTTTTAACAGTGGATACATTTCATGCTTGTAAGTATCCAAAACAAGATTGCATTGGACCAGTTTATTTATAAACTGCAAAACAACAGCTGCATGAGTTGCTGATATCACTAATGTATCAACATGAATATCAGTAAATTCCACATGATTGTATAGCATTGTAACTACAATGGGACAAATGGCAAGACAATTTTCAACACCAAGTCCAAAATGAAGTAGATTAGCTAGTACATTCAAAGATTCAACTTGAATCATTAATCCATATGTACTTTCAACTTTTGAACAAATATATTCAGATAATGGTTGTATTATCCCATATTTTGTAATCAATTTGTGTCCAATTTCTTTACTTCGAAGAGATAGAATGCGCAAAAATTTCAATGCTGGTAAAATAGGTTTTCCTTTATACGCAATGTTTGAATCAAATCTAAAGTTGATGCTTGTTGTTGGAATGAAGTTGTTAATAATTACTGACATCAGATGGTCCTCTTCAATAATTTTGTTCACGGTGCTTTCAGAATCTCTACATAGTCTGATTAAAATCTGTAAACTGTACTTGACGCAGTTGAAACTTGGTTTTATTATGTCCAATATGTAGTAAAGTCTCTGGAGTATATCAGTTCTTAAGAGGGCTGTAATCAAATCTATTTCTGCAAGTTGGAAATCTTTAAACTCAGATTCATTAGATTCAAGTTCTTCAATTTCTGATTTGTCATTTTCAAGACATGGTTGGTAAGTACCATCTTCATAGCCAATCAAAGTATCAAGAGCTGCTTCATCTATTTGATTGTAACATACATTTCTCATTGCTTTTAATGCAGGTTCTAAAATTATAGTTTTATTTTCATCCATAGCTATTCTTATCACAAAAAAGAGTTTTGTAATCGGAATCTCTAATTTGTATTTGTAGGTACCAGCAGTGTAAAATTCTAAAATGCCTGCAATAGTATTAAGAGCCATAACTCTTTGCTGTGTAAAGGAAGATCGAGATAGCTCTAAAAGTTCCACAATAGAATAACCGGGCCTATGTGGTTCTGCACCGTGGTGGAATAGAGGTTTTGTCTCTTCTGTGTAACTCATTGTATATGGTAACAGATATCCATTAAAATCAAATCTGGCTTCGTATGGCTTATCTGGTTTCATTTTCTCGCTATCCTCAATTGACTTCATCCATTCTAGTTTGTCTTTCTCAAGTTGGTCAAAATGTACCCATTTGTTCACATTAGGATTTGACAATACATCATTTTCTTGTATATATTCATCAAGTACTTCTTTTTCTTCTTTATCTGTGGTCTTAACTTCTTCTGTACTTATTGACTCATTTCGATCCATCAATTTTGAACTTCCAACACTTTGCTCTTCTGTTTTCGTTGTGGTTCGTCGATGTTTATTTTTAATAAATTCTATAAGTTTGGGATCCAAACTTGACAGTAATTTTTTCTGTTCCTCTAAAATGTCTTTTTCTGCCATTTTTTCTAACATTTCATTATTTTCCTTATGAATTGCATCTGCATCCGTTGATGACAAAATGGAACTTTTACTTGGATAATTTATGATGTTGGTATGCATTTGTTGGTTTATTGAATGAGGATTATGAGGAGAATGAGGTTCGTCTGTGTCCATTTTAATTTGTTTTTCAGCATGCAATTTTTCTAATTGCTGAGCATGGATACTTTTGTTTCCTGCTGTAATATTTGGGTCGCAAATTATGACCACTGGAAAGCCTTCAGATGGAATTTGAATGTCATTATTCTCATCAATATGTCTATCAATGTTCTTTTCCTTAATTTCGCCTAATGCTGATGGTAATACTTTAGGGAAATATACTTTATCATCATCGATTTCTGTAATTTCAACATCTTCAGATTCGTAATTTTTTTCGACGATTTCGCCCATATAAGTACTAGTGTTCGCTTCAATACGTGCCCGTTTTGCATTATCACCAGAAAGTCCTTTGGAAATTGCATATTTCGAAGGTTTTCGGGAAGGTGTTTCTTTAATATCAGTCAATGTAGTTTGATGTTCTGTGCGTCGTAAATTAACTACTTGTGCAGCCGGCTGGTAATCTGAGTTTTGATTTTTTTCAATTAGAAACTCCTCCTGCATTTTTAATAAGTCATCTTCGGTTTCTCCTGGCTTAGGTCGGCTTACCATTTTTACGAAGTAATTCTTCGAACCTACTAATTATAATTCACTTCTGTACTCCATATCAACTCGAAAACTCGAGTCACTAAAATCAATACTCCACAAATCTGAACAAATCAATACAAAACATGACCTCTTTTGTCTGTGGCTCATCTCTTATGTCGTTGTCTATGCTTGTGTAAATAGCGTTAAATTTTTTAGCGAGTTTTTTAATTTTCCGGCATTCGATACATATTTTAACATGATGGAATAAATACTGTGGCTATACGATTGATTATTAGGAAAACGTATAATTTTGGTGTCCCTTCAGTGTCCCTGCCTGTTCAATGTTCATTGTCAGATTGTCAGCTGTCATTGTCAACTTTTATAACGTGTATTTTATAGGTTAAGAATTATAAAATCAATGTTTATTTAGATATTAATTTAAAACAAATTAAACTAAGATGCCGAAAACAAAGCCGAGTTTAGACAAACTGAAGCATCCAAATAGCAGAAAAACAATATCACTCGCTAAGAAAATGATTAAAAGTGAAAAGAAGAACCATAATAAACTTGGTACACATATAAAAAATAATTTAATCGGTGAAAAGATAATGTGGTTTAAGGAAAGAGTGCCTCTGGATTGTACCATTTTAAATAAAGAACAAACTTTCGACTTAATACAGACTTACCTTTCACGATTTGACGACGAACTGGAACAAATAGCTATTAAAAACTCAGTGGGTCAAAGAAAAAGTCGCCAACACGCGAGTAGAGAAGATATTATAAAGATAACTAAAGAACGCGAAACGGACGAATTCCAAAATTGTGGCCTGGAAATGCCAGATTTAATGAATCAACAACAAATGGAGGTCCTAAAAAATTGGAATGGTGAATTGCGATTTCTGCAACACTTCAAATTAAAAAGGATATCAAGGAAAATGTTGCAAGAATGATACTATTATTATATTATGATAATCAATTCTGAGTATTCATTTCTATTATTCTATGTGTAGACAATTTTCTATTAATAGCTTAAGTTATATCCGGTTTACTACATAGAATTAAGTTATCTGTATGAATTATGAGCTGTTGCCCGCAGCTTCGTCCACATAGTATTAGAAAACATAAGAACTATATATATTACAAATAGCTATGTATCCCTCGGGAACCGGACATTTTTCGCAGTTGAAGCTTATCCCATGTGTACTCCAGACTTTGTTTTATATCTGTGCCAAATTTCAATAAGATATGTTGAACCGTTGCAGAATGATCGAGTAAACATTAAAAGACTAAATAATTGAATCCCACGGGAACCGTAACTATTCCCGGGATAAAAAGAAGCCTATGTGGTCATCCCGACTATGTTCTAAATCTGTGCCATATTTCATGGAAATCCGTTCAGCCGTTTAGGCTACAAACGCTAACAAACATCCATCCATCCATCCATCCATCTAAACTTTCGCATTTATAATATTAGAAAGAGGTTCAGTTAACTCAGCATTTAAAATTAGTCCTTAAAATATATATTCCCCATATAAATGAAATTTTAATCACATTCAGTTGAAGATGACTTTTATTAAATTAATATGTACAACATTACAAATACATAAATAGTTCCTTAGCATGAAATCAGATTAAAATACATATTTCCAATATGATATACAACAAATAATCAGTCACTAATTGTATCACAATGAACAAACAATAATTAGGATATAAGTGTAACCAACTATTTGCAAATATTTGACTAGATTATTAAAAGTTAGTTAATTTACTTGCTAAGAGCCACATATAATATATAGCTTGCAGATATAGAAGTACCTTAGACAAAAGATAATTGAAGAATAACAAGTCCACTTGTTTATTTCAATCCATAATTAGTGGGTTACGTTAACATAACTCCTTCCTTCCTTGCTATGTTAATGTTAATTTATATATATTTTTAATTAGTTAATCAATCTGATATCTTTCATCTAATAGATCCAATTGCATCCTTAGGATAATTATTCGACAATTCATAAAAAATCGGTCCAGCCATTTCATATTAGTCACAAACAAGAAATATATAAATATAGTCATCAGATCAGTTACATTTTAAATTTACTCCTTTAGGGCAAATAATGGAATAGATACCATATATTGTTTCATGTTTTGCCAAAAACTACAGTTTGCAAATAGCTGGCTACCCTCAAAATGTGCCAAAATTAATCAACATTATTGTTTTAAAAATTTAACACAAAATTACAAAAAAAAAATGTTACTTAGATAGAATTCTTCAAATTATGAATATGCAGAAATTGTTTATACAATAAAATAGTCATATTCCAATATTAGGTTTTGTAAGTTTGTTATCTTCATTACACAATACTTAAGGCCTGTCCCACCACATTGTAATTGTCTGGTATCAATCCAACCTGTGAAATATGTGATGGAAATATCGGATTTTGTTCCCTTATCTGACATATATCATTTTTAAGCTAACTGAGCCTCTATCAGCCATTGGTGGGACAGGGCCTTGGTTATAATTTATTGTTACAACATTTCAGACATCAAAAAATATTTTAACCAATATACAATTCATGAATATCATAGTATTTTTTTATAACTTTTGTAAATAAACCTTGTCACTAAATTTGATTTTTAATTGATTGCCAATTGTTATAATTATTGAGTAATGTTAATAACCATAAATTGATATTAATAGCATCAGTGGCAACTTATTGTTTGAATGTTGGTGTTTCCCATTAACCTGACCCAACAATCAATCTAATGGAAAACATCACAAAGGTAATATATGATAGAATAAAGCTTTTGATGACAATGATACATAAAATGCTGTTTAAAGTTTTAAGATGTTAACAATTTTTATACCAAAGTGACTAGGGTATCTCAACATTTGATTTGTTTGAAGTTTCATTTCATTATGACAATAATTTCAATATCACTTTATAACAATAATTTTCAAAGAAATTCATTAAAAAATCACGATTTTTCAAAGTACTTGAGTTATTTAACCCACAATGATATAATAGTAAATACAATTAAGTTATATTTCGAATAGGATTTGTTGGAAACATAACATAATATTTAATTTCATTTTACAATTTCCTTATGTGCATATTTATGTACAAAAACCAAATTTCCTTTTACATCAAAGGTTGCAATCAATATGTCCAATATATATTCATTTAATATTAAGATATTATAGAACTAAAACTATTGACTAACACTACATAACTAGGCACTTCAATTACATTACGAAATTTTTAAGTAGATAAAAAGAAAATTTTCACAACTTTAATAAATTTCCAAGATAATATTTACAATTAATACATTTTCCATTTGAAATAAGAATGTTACATCTAAATGCAGTAATCAAGCATGGAAGAAAAAGTAGGTTGTACTGAGTTTTGATCCATTTTTATTAAAAAAAGGGGGCAACGGCAAATTAGAGAGCATTTTGTTCAATCACAATCTCTGAATGAAATTCGTACTCCGCTGTAAGCAAGGGAATCAGGTGAACAATGGTAGATGATAGAAGTCATAACCTCTTTGACCTCGGGCAGCTAACCAGATGTAAACTACGTGATAAGCTCCTGGTACGAAGCAAATCATACCTGCTACAAAGAACACAGCACCTTGAAGTCCATTTTCAGGTTCGGCAACAGCAAACGCTCCCATACCTAAAAGACCTACTCCTACTAATAGAAGAATAACAGCCGCACAGACCGTTTTCCAGTTCTCTCGGACTTTAGGATGGTTCCAACAATACATTGACTGTGTAGCTTCTACATATTCATGGATTAATGAATCCGAGTCTCTTGATGTTGTATCCTCTGTGCATTTGTAAGTTTTACTGTAATAAAAAGAAAAGAGAACACATTTTAATTATTTTCACATAATTTAGGATGATGTTTGTTTATGAATTTTGACACAGACTCAAATGTGATATTTAAGAAAAAAATAATATTTCACATTCACATTTTTAGTATTACTATTAAGTTTTGATTATTAATTTCATGTTACTTTCTATTATACAGTTTTCCATATTAGTAAAAACATGCACAATGCAACATTACATTGTTACCTTGAACTGTACAAATGAGATAAAGATATTTACTGAGCAATAATTTAATTTAATTGATACATTACTCAGGCTTCTCATTGATTTATTAACAGCTAACAGATTATTTGTCTATGTATGTAAAAAGAATTTATATATGTAGCAAGTGAAATCATACTAATATAATAATGTAAAAGTTTAGAAAGATGGATGTTTGTTAGGTTTTGTAGCCTAAACAGCTGAACGGATTTCAATGAAATTTAGTATAGATGTAGAGGATAGTCTGGAAGAACAATAAGGCTCCATGGCCGAAAGCTAGTATTTCTATAAGGAAAGGTATATACTATTTCTAAAAAACATTTGGTCCCAGAGTTTCAGAACTTTTGAAACTGGAATTTCAGATTTAAATTATCTAAGAACCTTCCATACCTCTCTAGTCATATTTCTACATACAGACTTGAGCCAATACTATTCTTTATAGCCCATTTATGTATTGTAAATATGATAACTCCTTTACTTTGTTCAATAAATTTTAAACAATTTTATTGAACATCATTTAACTAGAGTAACTATAATTAAGGACCATAATAAACTTAACCCAATTAACATTGAATATCTTTGCTATTTATTGCAGTAATTACACAGCATCTTGGTGGTGTAAACACCAATCTACAGACTTTAGGCAATTGCTTCTCTAGTTTGTTTTTCACATTTCATTCCTATCTACAAAGCCTTTTATCTTTCAACATATCAATGTCTACGAGATAAGTCATTTATACCAGAATCTTAAGAATTTTTTTTTAGGTTTATGTTCTACTTTCAAGTATCTAATATTAGCGAGTATTTAGCATAGTGTTATGGTGTGAATTGGAATTCTAACGGCTCGCAATATTAGTTCAAACACCTTTGCCCCACTACGGAAAAATGACTCATAGAAAGGTCAAGATCATCATATGCTTTATGATGGACCTTTTGTGCGTTTATGAATGAGCTTAGTAAAATAGTAACAATCAAAGACATCGTACCTGGCTACATAGTCACCGCCATTCTTGTATTTATTCTGCAGAGGAGATCTATCACCCGTCGCACCGTATACTTTTATGGCTTCATCGGTTTCCTCTTCAAAAGCGTCATCGATTGAAAAACGTTTGTCACTATTACCGAAGGGTCGAGTCATTGTTAAATGATTTATTTGGTGGGCTCGTTATGTGAAGAAAAACATTACAATAAATGTAATGTTCGCACAAAGGCAAAACACAGCTGTCAATTTGTCATATCAACATGCGCCATATTGATCAATTACGTGCTACGTTCTGAAATTACAACACTTAACTAAGCAGACAACTTTATGACGTTCTTTAAATACTGCCAATTTAACCCAGTTAATACTGTACTGACCCAACTAGTATCCTGCTAATTATAATGAAAAATTGTATTACATTCCTAGAAACTATGTTCATTAGATTTAATTTTCTTTTAATCGATCCTAATTTAACAAGTATTGCGTTAATTTGTAACATGTAACTTATAGTACAAATCTGGTACAAATATTTGTTGGCAAGTTAATCATGGGTCATTACAAAGTTCCAATTTCTTGTGATTTTGAAAAGTCTTTAAAATAAAATCAAGTGAAACTGTTTGCGTTATGGTTGTAGAAATGTAGATTTTGGCCTTTAAAATTAAAAAAATAACTATCACTTGAATGTCAATGTCAGATCAGTTGTCAATTTCCACATGTTAATGTTTACATTTTTCTTGAACCTTATTTATTCGATTGAAAAATGGTTAACAAAGAGTGGATTAAAGTGACACCTGCTTTATCAAAACCTACACTGAGATGCATCAATAAACAAGGCTTTAAAACAATGACTCCAATACAAGCAGCTGTGATACCACTTATATTATCGTGTAAAGATGTTGTGGCAGAAGCAGTCACTGGATCAGGAAAAACTCTTGCCTTTGTAGTTCCAATGCTAGAAATGCTATTAAAAAAACAAAAAGATTCACCATTGAGGAAGGAATTCGTTTACTCTGTTATTATATCGCCAACAAGGGAACTGGCGACTCAGATTTTTCAGGTAATGTAAACAATCTTGTTTACAAAAAAAAAATTAAAAGACCTATGTTAAAAAAGAGGAATATTAATGATCCCTTGAGGTTTCTTGTAAAAAAAAAATCTTTTAAAATATGATTACAGGTTATAGAATTATTTTTAAAAGAACCAGAGCTGTCCCACATTACACTAGCATTGATGGTTGGTGGAAGGCCAATAGAGACAGACATAGACAGCATCAGTAAAGGTGCTCAGCTGGTTGTATGTACTCCTGGTCGCTTAGAGGATTTACTATCAGAAAGGAAACAACTTAATTTAGCTGGCAGATTAAAAGAATTGGTGAGTGTTTTTGTAAATTGAAAATGATTTGCAACTTTAGAAAGATAGGAAAGTAGAAAGTACAAATGTTACCCTTAACTGATGGAGGAGGAGACGCATATAAAGAGGACATTTCCCCTTCCTATGCGTCTCCACCGTTAAATCCACTTGCTTCCACTTCACGCCAGTTTTCTGTGTGGTTGTAGAATTACACCGGGCGAGCCGGCCCATTCATGCGAAGATGTTAAAACGGGCTTTACCACTTAGAAAGTATTTTTTAATTCTGCATAGACAAAGTTGTGGTCAAAATCTAGAATTACATAAATCTTTCAGGAATTCTTAGTACTTGATGAAGCTGACCGTTTACTAGACCTAGGCTTCAGTGCTACACTAACAACAATCCTTCAGTATTTACCAAGACAACGGAGGACTGGTCTGTTTTCTGCAACACAGACTAAGGAATTACAAGATTTGGTTAGAGCCGGTCTGCGAAACCCTGTTTTAATAAGTGTTAAAGAGAAATCAACAATAAGTACTCCTCTAGCTTTGGAAAATTTCTACATAATAGTTGAACCTCAAGATAAATTCTTATTTCTATTAAACTTTATAAGGAATAGGAAAACAATGAAAGGTTTATTCTTTCTGCCAACTTGTGCATGTGTGGACTATTGGGCGGATGTTTTGCCGCTTTTTATACCAGATATTAAGGTATTCGCAATACACGGTAAAATGAAACAAAAAAGACATAAAATATTGGAACAATTCCGTGAAGCTGACAACACAATATTGTTATGCACAGATTTATTGGCAAGGTAAGTGAATCTACTAATATTATAAAGAGGAAAAATTTGTATTTTTCTATGGATTGAAATAACTCAAAAACTACTGGGCCAATTAAAAAAATTCTTTCAACATTGAAAAGCTACATTATCACTAAGTAATATAAGCTATATTTTTATTATTTTTTTATTTCACATAGACAAAGTCGGTAGCAACAGCTAATCTGTCATGAAAAGGCTGATCTCACATGTAGTATTTGAACCTATATTCAAATATAATAGAAATAAGAACAAACCAAACTATTTTTTTTCCTTTATAATGCCTTAATTGGGGACATTTTACAAATAACTTTCCCGAAGCCCTATCCCAGAGTGGTAAAAAACGGTAGCACAACTGGCACTAAGTACAGTAGTTTAAGTTTAGAGCCTGTCTCACCAAATTGTAAATTGTCTAATAATAATCCAACATGTGAAATATGTGATGGAAATATCGGATTTTGTTACCTTATATGACAGTGACGTCATTTTTAAGCTACCTCCTCTATCAGCCAGTGGTGGGACAGGCATTTAATCTATTACTTTTGTTAATTTCAGAGGTCTTGATATACCTGAAGTAGAATGGGTAGTGCAATGGGAACCTCCTACAAGTCCCGCAGCTTTAGTACACCGTGTGGGTCGTACAGCTCGCGGTGGTGCTAAAGGATTCTCCTTACTACCCTTATTACCTACTGAAGACACATATATACCTTTTATTAAGACCAATCAAAAGGTGGAACTCAAGGATTGGCGGAAATCAACAGATGAGATTAAAATTAGTCAAAAACTACGAGATAAGGTAGCTATATTGAAAAATAGGTAGATGTTAAGTTGATTTTTTTACTAAATTATTTAATTGTGTCTTGGCATGGTTTGCGTGCCTTATTACTTTTTGTAACTATTATTTTCAGTTTTAACATTATTTATAAACAATTTAACGCATGTCCGTCTTGTTGGACGTTAGTTATGAATTTGGAGGTACAACGGTAGAGGTAGACCCAAAGAGATGGATTGCGTGAAAGGTGACATGATCAAGAAGGGAGTGACGACTGAGATGACGGATGATAGTAATTTGGAGGACAAAAACCCGTTGCGCCGACCATATGGGAGTAGGATAAGGCAGGGGAGATGATGATATCAAACAGAAAACCTAAATAACTAAATGAATACACTAACGAATGTCGAAATGTAAGATTTTTTTTTTTAGGTTTTAACAATACTTCATGAGCAACAGAAAAGGGACAGAGGTATATTAGATAAAGGTCAACGCGCATTTGTGTCTCATATACAAGCATATTCCAAGCATGAATGTAACATTCTCCTACAACTTAAAGAACTACCCCTAGGTCACATAGCAACCAGCTATGGTCTACTAAAATTACCTTTAATGCCAGAAATTAAAGAAGAACATAGAAAACAGTTTATCGGACCTAAAGAGGCAATAGATTTTAATTCAATACCATATAAAGATAAACAAAAAGAAACAAGCCGATTACAGAAGTTAGAAGAATTCAAAAAAACTGGTGTTTGGCCTTCTAAGAAGAAAAAGAAGATGGTGAGAAACATTTCAAGTAATTAATACAAAATACATCAATTCATCATTTTAAAACAATAATGTTTTTGCTTCAGGTTCAATCACAACCATGGCAACAGGCAAAACAGAATAAAGAAGAGAGGAAGCAGAAAAAGAAGAAGAGAAAAGAAGCACAGAAGGCTACTGAGGGAAAGAGAGGTAAGAAACGGCGGGCAGTCACACAGGAAGAAATGGACGAACTGGCAGCCGATGTGGCACTTATAAAGAAATTGAAAAAACGAAAAATAACTAAAGAACAATTTGATGACGCATTTGATGTCAATAAATAGTTATAAATGTAATGTTTTTTATTTGTTTGTGTCCATATCTTCAATATTAAGGTTTAATGAAGATTCGAGGTTTTTTTTTGCAATTTTTCTGTCAAAGTAAAAAAAAATGAGTGTCATAGGATAAAATGATACCACCAATGAAAATAGTAAAATAGACATTTATTTCTGTATCAACTTTCGTAATTGCAACATTTGATCTGAGTATTCAATACCTAACAACAAGGCACTTAAAATCTAACAGAATATTGTCAATTTAAGTCTGCAAAGTTCGTATTTTTGGCACTCATAGTTCTAGCACCCTATATATTCTATTGTGCGTTTATATTTTACTATTTTCACTTCGATTCACAATTTTATTAACCAAAAAAATGAGTTTATACAATTGAAGAGAAATATCGTTCGTTAAAACTGCGGCGTTCGTATGTTTTAGTAAAAATTTTCACTTATATTTCAAATGCAAAATCACTATTTTTATACGACAAAAAAAATAACAATCAAAATACGTAACAATTCAGAAAATGTACATTTGAATATATTTCATTTAGCATCCATAGTGTAAAACCATTTCTAAAAACATACAAGAAAATATTAACTTAGTAAAATTCAGCTAAATTTTCGATGTATACTTCATGTTATTTTGCAAGTTACATAAAACTACATAAATAAGGCTTTTGTTAAGGCACATATTAAAAATATTTCCGACTAACAATCATAGACAAGTGATTACAATTGACAATTTTATAACTAATTTTATCGAATCATTTTGACAACTCATAAAATATCTCTACAAACAATGAATTCGCTTTACATGCAAAAACTTTGCAAGTATTTTACAATAAGTACAATAATAATACAGCTCGTTATTTCCCGCTTTTTACATAATAGTGTTAAAAAGGCTTAAGAAAATCTTGTTAAAACGTAATTATACAAAAAACTGAAGCTTCAAGAGTAAAAAAAAACGAAAAACATAATTTACACAAAACCTACAAGATGTTTTTCTTAACAGCGCGTCATATACCTAAAAAAAAAGATCGTTAGACATTAGACGTATTTTTCAAAAATAATGTTGCCATATCAAACTGCTCTTAGATATAGACTCGCTGCAGAAACTTGCAAATACACAGGCATTCAAATACAACAAATCATACATTGCCTTGTCATGATCTTAAAATAGAACATCTAAAATTACGCCATCTTAAAATTAGAAAAAAAAATCATAATCATTATAATAATACTATAAATTTAAACTATAATACTTGCCATCTTGAGTGAGATGGCATAACTCCACCTGTCAAATGTCAAATATGACATGACTAGCTGTCAAAGGATCACTGAAACTGTCACGACGGTAAGACTTAAGTTATAATAGCTACCAGTGTTTAAAATAAAGTTGCTTTAAACATGTTTTATAAAAAAATATCTCGACGTTACTAAAAATAAAAACATAATATTGACGTTAAAGAAAATGAGAATTTTCTAGAATTTACTTTTTAAATCTAGATAGAGTAACTGTTAAATATTGAGCCAGCGAAGATATAAAAGCATGTTCTATATTTTAAAAGCATTATATATTCAACTCACAATATTCTTATATTATATTATTGTCAGTATAACAACTGTCAAACAAAAGTTTTTAAATCAAATGTTTATTTTTGTTATTATTAATTTTCTTAGAGAACTTTTTTTTATATGATTTTTTCGAAAACCCACTATTAATAGATGAATTCTTGAATTAACTTTGTTCAATAAGCATTTGTTCATTTCTGATATATCAATAGAGTTGTATATTTTCGTATATAACATGTAAAACTTTTAATTAGTGTGTTTTCATCAATAACTTTGATAAAAAAGTTTCAAGAGTATACTATATGTTAATAAATTAATTCAATATTGAGCCATATTAATTTCATCAAATATATTACAAATTATTATATACTTTATAAATAATAAATCTTATACAATGGTTCTCTTACAAATATATTATGTAGCTTAAAAAATGTTCATTTAAATAAACTATTAAGCCTTAATCTACATTTTGAGAAGAAACACTGTTAATATTTTTTAAATAAAGCAATACATGAAATTGACTAAAAAATATTATAACATAGCACATTTTTTTAAACGAAAAGCTAAATGCAAAAACATACATCACTAATGCAAACGAGTAGTTATCAAGAAATTTGTGACACATGTCAAAACTGACAGATATAACTGTCACTTGGCAGATTGCGCCACTTCGTTGAAATGATTTTTTAAATAAACGCAAAATAAATTACGTTTAAAAAATACGCGTGTAAACATTTTGTCATTTAGGCAGTTATATTAAGGCACGTGTTACAATGCATATCACTCACAATATAAAAATTTACAAACACTAGTATAAATGTATCAAAGAGGACTGTCAGGTTTTGAGGTTATTTTTTGCGGGTTATATCAACTTGATATTTGACAGACAGTATATGAAAATTCAATACATTTTTATTTATTACTATTATTGTCATACATTTTTTATTGTTGAATATGTATTTATTTTTCTTTAGTACAAACGAATTAACGTTTTATTATATTTGTTTGTAAATGTGTATTAGAAACATTTAGCACCTAAAAGTTAGAAAAATTTTGCAACATTCATATCAGAAAGTAACATTTTTTTTTAGAATTATATGAAATTTTTATTTTGGGATGGACATTGTTTTTACTGTCTGCTAGCTTTTGACTATTTTAAGCACAGTTTTAAGTTATAGCTGCACAGATTAAATTAGTTTTGTTAAAAGATTTTTAAAAAAGGGGTATCCAACAAATGATTCAGTTTTAATAAATAATGTTTGTACTAAAATAGATATTGTAGCATATATAAAAAGTATACCATAAATCAATATTGCATTGAAAAATACTTTATATTCTATTAAAAAATGTATTCTTATTTTAATGACTTCGATTATTAACTAACTTTAACAGATTGAGTTTTACACAAACGGTTGACAGTTTAGAGTACAAAGTTGACATGTATAAGATTATAAAAGTTTTCATTACAAATAGCAACACTGTCTACTGTCAAATGTACAGATAAGCAACTTAACGGAAGACACTTCATGACAACAAAGAGCATAAAATAAATAAAAACTAAATTAAACGACATTTTTGTTTATGGTAAATTTTAGAATACATTTTACACTATCACATTCCATTATTCAATATATTATCTGTCAATAAATGCATCGATTCTATCTATTGTCGAAGAGATTCAAAAAATATATAGAAGAAGCATAGTTGACACTTCACTTGAGACATTTTTCACATGAACCACTAACGCTAACTAGTAATAGATTCTCGAAACCACTTGTCAAAATAATTAATTATATTAAAATTAATTACCAATGGGTGTCACTAAATCATATTTATTTTTGTCACAGAAAAGATGGATCTTATTATGTTTTGTAAATTGCTTTATAATATTCAAAACAAGGACATAAGACGGCACTAAACTTGACAACATAGTACCTTTCAAAGAAATTACCAGTGAAAAAATTTTCAGATGTCTAGTCTATATATTTCTTAAATGTCTTTGGTTGTCTGTTGCGGGTTTGTCTATTGCTGTCATGAATGTCTATGGTACCTCAGACCTCGTCGGGGGCCATCGTCTCCGGCACAGGTGTTTCGTGGTTGTGTTCCGGCAGTGGGGAAGTCTCCGGCGGAGGCGGGGGCGGGCTGAGTACCGCCGCCTTTGCCGCCGCTTCAAGCGCTCTGATGCGGTTCTCTTGCTTCACGATCACCGATTTCAGTTTACGTATCTCTTCTACCAAATCCGACAGCTGTTTCTCCTGTAATTTAATTTTTTGGGTTCAAATCTTTTGCGTATTAAAAAAACTGATATTTATTTACTTAAAAATGTATAGAATACTAGCTGCAGCTCGCAACTTTGACCGCTTGATACTAAAAAATGTTACTCACAGATAAGTTACCTTTTTAACGGTGAAAGAATTTGTTAAAATCAGTCCAGTAGTTTTTGAGTTATTTCAAAACATTCAAAAATACAAATCTTTACTCTTTATTATATTATAGTATAGATAAAAACTTACAATAGCAGCAGTAACAGCGGGCGGGGGCGTAGCTGAAGCGGGAGTGCCGGCATGACTGTCGTCTCGCTTGTGCGCGGGCGTTGGCGAGCGGTCCTTGTCCTTCTCCCTTTCTTTCTCTCTGTCCTTGCCGGTGGCGAGCGCGTTGCTCCTCTTGTTGACGGTGAGCTGCTGCGCGCGGCCCGACACGTAGCCGCCCTGTACCACGACCGCACGTTCCTGGAGTAGGGCAGGGAACCCCCTAACCTTTAGTCATTGTTCGGACATTCCTGTCGGCTTTGGTTTTTTTATCAGGACTGAACTATTTTTTTTATAGTTGTAACAAAAAAGTTGATACTCTATGGTTAATACACATTACTTTGATATTTTTGTCTGTACTACAATATCATCATCACCAGCTCACAATACGTCCCCACCAAGGGGCTCGGAGCCTACCCTAAGTTAGGGTGACTAGGCCATAGTCAACCACGCTGCACTGCGGGTTGGTTGACTTCACACATATCTTTGAATTTCTTCGCCGATGTGTTATAAATGTATTTTTATACAAAAGATAGGGAAGAATTAACAAAACATGTATTTTTCTAACTTTAAGAATACTTTTAAATATTTTTATTAAGCATACAAAAGAGTAATTTTCAAATACGACATATTTTAAAACATTTTTTAAATTCTTAATGTAACAAAAATATGGATACATTTGTTACAACACACAGGGTTTGTTAGTTACAACAAATCAACACTTATCAAGTCAGATGAAAAAGTAATGTGTTAGAAAGAGAAAGCCGACAAAATCGTCAAAACATCGCTAAATTTTTCAACTCCAGGAATAAGGATTTGCACACGTTAAAACAAGTTTAGTACAATAGCAAATAAAATTAAATTAAATTAAAAATGTTCCAATTAATATTAATACCAATCATAGACAAAATAAATCAAAGATAATTTTGTCTATGACTGATATAAAAACCTTTCTAATTAAAAGATAAAATATTAAAAAAGGACCAAAAACATTTCTGTCTTAGAAAGGATTTATTAGTTCAACATGCATGATTTACGAAAACACACGCAAACACTTAAATTTACAAAAGCAAAAATTTGTGCTTATTTATAAAATTTCAAAGCATAAATATTAATGAAACTGCAGTTTAACAAAATATATTTTTGTATGATCGCATATACATATATAAGTATGATTGAGAAATACTTAAATATTAAAAAAGTATATATGATTTTTACACTAAGCTATAGTTTTAATTAGATATAAAATGGATATTTTTTTAAATCAACATTTTATGTACAAACTAAAATATTTTTGTGTCAAAAATAAGTTTACAAAAACTGCATTAAAATATGAAGATGCTTTTACCCAAAAATGGTATATGAATGTACAGTCGGGGTAACTTGTGGTGTTCCACTTGTAAAGCTACAATCATTTGAACATTTTAAAAAGACACGATACATAAAACAATACACATGCTTATAAATGTACGAAATAAGTCTGTTAATGTTGTCTTATTTCTTTTTATTATTATCCCTTCATTTGCACTCACTACCTAATTAGTTAATTGTTTAGATCCATAGTTTGTCTCTTTACAATGAACAAGGCACCTGAACACCGCAGAATTCCACAACTGTACATGTAATTCAAAAACATGTAGTTATGCAATTAAATAAATGATATACGAGTGTTACCTTCAGCGACATAGTGCAGGGCTCCGCGTCCTCTCCAGCAAGCCACTCGTCCGCGGTGAGACTGGCTTCGTCACTCAACGTGTCCGGGTACAGGTCCTCTTGGAACAACTCGGATTTACGCGGCACCGTCATTGATACCACCTGCATGGTAGAAAGAGACAGACAGATTAACCATGAGAATTTAAATTGATAGAATGAGACAGTGATAGAAAGGGATAGTGATAGATAGAGACAGTGATAGAAAGATATATTTATAGAGATAATAAACTCGCATAATGAGTTTAATTTTTGTAAAATAACATCAAGTGGTTATAGAAAGTGTTGTTAATTTATTAGTTTTGTATATACTTGTTTTCTATTTTCCTATAGTTTATTGATTATATTAACTGATGAGTACACTTAAATTAATAAATGGAAAAATATATAAAACAAAGGAATAAATGAGAATATTAGGGACAAATGAGTTTAAAATATAAATTACATTTGGATTTTTTCTTGTTATTAAATTACACTAAAAAATGCACCTTTAAAAATATAAATTATAACTATAATACACAGTTTTGGGAATTTCAGGTTTAATAACATTAATTTTGGAATCGCGTGTTACATACATAGCCATAAGGAATACCGCATACGCAGCATTAACGTCGATGCGACCTAAATTAGAAGACACGAGGCGCAGTGGCACGAGGCACTAACCGCCGATGCTGCATAACGTGACCCGAGGCGTTATTATGTGACAAAAACAATAGAAGAACATTCCAAATTCACACTTCGAATTGGATAGTTAGATTTGTTAGCAATTAAGATTTAATTTGTAATTTTTAGTATAATAAATAATTATAAGTAAATTGGGTTTTTTTCGAACCTACGGCTGTAGCAATCGTAATTGTAATTTATATTTATTTTTTATTTATCTAAATCTCACCTGACACAGGCCGGAGTTATTGAGGCGATAGAACTTGGCAATTTCGCATGTAGCCACATCACAGCCGCGCTTAGGCATCATACCAATACCTTAAAAAAACACATATAAATTAATACTCTTACTAATATTATAAATGAAAAAATTTGAATTCTAAACTGCTAAATGGATCTATGCTGAACGGTTACTTAGTATGGGAGAGCACATAAGCTACTTGATTTTTTAATTCCACGTGGTCATAGTCGCGGGCGAAAGCTAGTGTTTTCATATATTTTAATACTAGCTGTTCCAGTGCGGCTTCATCCGCATGAAATGTCAAAATTCAAATGCACAAATGAGAGTTGCTTCCTTGATGTTGGCAGCAACTTATGGTCTCTTTCACACATGAGGATTTTTATCTAAAATATTTACCCCCTAAGTTTAATAGCGTGAAAATATATAGCCTAAAGCGTGACGTAAGTGTAGGGCTTATTATTAAAAAAAGAACTATTAAAAAATATGCTGTGATTGCTGACATCTTAGGCAACAAAGAAGTGTGTATTTACACTTTATTATAATAGTATAGATAACTTACCTCTTTGTGGATCCGGAGTCTGGAAGGTGTTGATGTAGTGCACGAACGGAGGCTCCGGCGTCACCTGAAGTACACAAATAATACGTAACAAAAAAAACAAAAATAAACATACAGACGAATTGAGTACCTCCTTCTTTTCGGAAGTCGGTCAAAAAACTAACTGACTATTAAATAACGATAAAAACTTGTTTTTATCTAATTACTATACAAATTAGTTTAGATGTGACATTTATGAAAGAACTCTGCCTTTTAGTGCACTTTTCAACTATCATACTAGCTTACGCTGGCGACTCCGTCCGCATGGTATTAAAAAAAAATAAAAGTGAGTAGCCTATGTGTTCTTCTAGACTATCTTCTACATCTATACCAAATTTCATCGATATCCGTTTAGCCGTTAGCCTACAAACTCTAACAAACATCCATCCATCTAAACTTTCGCATTTATAATATTAGTATTAAGAATCTTACTAATATTATAGATGCGAAAGTTTAGATGGATGGATGGATGTTTGTTAGCGTTTGTAGCCTAAACGGCTGAACGGATCTCCATGAAATTTGGCACAGGTTTAAAGCATACTCTGGAAGAACACATAGGCTACATTTTATCCCGGGATAAGTTACGGTTCCCGTGGGATTCATTAATTTAGTTTTTTAATGTTTACTCGATTATTCTGCAACGGTTCAACATATTTTATTGAAATTTGGCACAGATGTAAAACAAAGTTTGGAGTATACATGGGATAAGCTTCATCCCCGAGGTGTCCGGTTCCCGAGGGATACGTAGCTTATTGTTATTTGTGTAGTTCGTATGTTTTCTAATACCACGCCGACGAAGTCGCGGACAACAGCTCGTAAGATTATAAATGCGAAAGTTTAGATGGATGGATGTTAGAGTTTTTAGACTAAACTGCTGAACGGATTTCTATGCAATTTAGTATAGATATAGAGTATATTCTGGAAGAACACAGGATACTTACTTTTGATTTTTTCCACGCGGACGGAGTCGCGGTCGAAAGCTAGTTTTGTAATAATCTCTTAAACATAGAATTTTTCTTCAAACTAAACTAACACATTCGAGTTCAAAACACAAATAAGGTATGTCGATTTTATCGATTTCTTATATAAACAAGAGTTATACGACGTTAGTGTATCATGTATCAGTCGCCCTTGCGTTAAGCAGAACGGAACTTGACAGTATTAGTTACATTGATGAAAATACAATTACATTTAATTTATATTGATATTATAAAGAGGAAAGATTTGTATTTTTGAATGTACTGAAACAACTCAAAAACTACTGGGCCGATTTTAAACATTTTCAACGTTAGAATGGTAATTTAACTGTGAGTCATATATACTACATTTTTATTTGTTAACGAGCTTTCGCCCGCGACTCCGTCCCTACGGAATTACAAAAAAAACAAAAGTGAGTAGCCTATGTGTTCTTCCAGACTATCCTCTATATCTTTATCAAATCTCATCGGAATCCATTCAGCCGTTTAGGCTAAAAACTCTAACAAACATCCATCTAAACTTTCGCATTTATAACATTAGTATGATTTCACACGGACAAAGTGGCGAGCAACAGCTAGTTTATTATACACTAGTTTCTACATCCATCCATCCATCCATCCATCCATCTGAGCATTCGCATTTATATAAGTGAGATTTACCTCAAAGTAACGTATAACGGAGTCTCCCTTCCCGCACAGATATATGAGGTTAGTGTCGGGGTCGTAGAGCGGGAACATAACCCCATTGCTGGTGTCAATCTCCACCGTCACTATCGGCTCGCCGAGCGCGTCCGGCGTGCGCAGCGTGTACTGCCGCTCCGACATGCGGCTGAATCTGTCCGTACACAACAAAAACGGCAATGTATTCCATATTGAAAATAATACAAAAAAAAACACAATCATACTTATATATAAATATAGCCCCGCAAAACCATATAATTGGTTCGTCCGCGGGTGCGGTGTAACAATATTATGGAGAGTAATGTAATGTAGTGGAATGTAGTGTATAGTACACATACATACATAATATATTGTTTATAAATAAAATACATAAAATCATGGACTAGTCAAAAAGATGGTTTTCCAAACGCTTTTTAAACAATTAAAATTTTGAATTTAGACTTGCGATATCACTGAGGAGCCTACTCTGAGTTAGGATGACTAAGCTATAGTCATTCACACAGGACTGCGGTTTGACTTCACACATATCTGTAAATTTCTTCGTTTTCGATATGTGCAGATCACGATGTTTTCCTTCACCGTAAGAACGTCGGATAAATTTGTATAGTATCGTTTAATTATAGTTTCACAAATAAAAATATTATAAAAACATTATTTTATCATTTCCATCACCAGCTCACTATACGTCCCCACCGAGGGGCTCGGAGCCTACCCTAATAAGGGGTGATTAGGCCATAGTCAAACACGCTGGCCAAGTGCGGGTTAGTTGACTTCACACATATCTTTGAATTTCTTCGCCGATATGTGCAGGCATCACGATGTTTTCCTTCTAGAATTATTATTCAAAAACATACTGTGGTTGCTGACAACCTCCATAACTGTACTGTACTTCAGTGTTAACGCTTATTACATTAGGTTTTTTTTATAGTATAAGGTGGCAAACGAGCAAGCGGCCACCTGAATCCACCAAAATGAAAAGCGACCACTGCTCATAAACATCCGCAATTGCAGATGCGTTGCCTACGCTTCATTGATGGAGGAGGAAAGGCACGTAAAGAGGATGTTTCCCCTTCTTATGCGTCTCCTCCACCGTCAAAACCACTTTTCCTTCCCATCCTTCCCTCTTAAGAAAAGGGTGGAAAGGGAAAGGGACTAAAATTAGGCTTCCGGCACCACACTCAACAGACGAAACGCGGAATTGCTTCCACTTCACGCCTGTTTTCTGTGTGGTCGTGGTATTACACCGGGCGAGCCGGCCTATTCGTGCGAAGGTGTTAAAACGGACTCTACCACTGTTAAGAAGGTATAGAAGTATAGGATATTTAGAAATCTGTATTACGAAATCAAGTAAAACATACCCAGTTGTAAAGACCAGGCCATGTTTGAGGAATATGGCGCGCGACGCCTTGCTGCCCTCGTGCGCTATCGCCTCCGACTCCACTTCGCCCTTTCGCGGGTCTATTATCCTGGAAAAATTCATTTTAAATATTAAAAAAAAAAACATAGTATACACACAAAATATACCCAACTTAAAATACAACCGGAGATAATTAGATAATAATAATAAAATTGGAGTGTCTGTTTATAATATCAAAAGAAAAATTCCAGATTTCGGGAAAATTATGACGTAATTGCGCTCTTGATTACGAAAATCGCATTTAATTTTTTTTCTCTGTCTGTCTGTTCGCAAGCCGCGTTTGTTCCGGGTAATTTCCGCAACGGGATGGGAAGATTTCGACCGGATTTCCCCGAAGAGTAGCTGACATAAACGGGCATATTATAGGCTACTTTTTTATCCTTATATTGCGTGGACGGAGTCGCGGGCAACAGCCAGTAGATAATAAAAAAGTAAATTAGAGCATGCTAATATATCCAACGAAGGTTAGGTAAGGTATCGCAGAATTTAAGATCAGACAAAAAGGTTAAAACACTATGTTAAGGTGTGTAACAATAAAAAATAAATCCTGAACCTGATTTTCTTGTCGCGGCAGGTTGTGAGCAGCTTGGAGCCAGTCCAGTTCCAGCAGGCGGAGTAGATGAGGTCAGGATGACAGTCCAGGCTTAACAGCACCTCGCCAGTGCCCACATTCCATATCGCGATCTAATGCACATCATGTTTATTGTATTTGACCATCGCCTTTTCCCAAATCTCTTTAGGTACAGTCGGGGAAACAGGCGGTGTCCCAAATAGCTACAATTGTTAGAATAATATGAAACGAAACGCGGTATAAATTTTTTTTATTTTTATCCCTTTATTTACAACTCACTGTTATCTAATTAGTTATTTGTAAAAAGTGGTGGAGTTTGTTTAAGTTTGTCTTGCAATGACCAAGGTTTTTTCTAAAGCGGAATACCGCGGATTTTCTCGACTGTACCTCATACTAATTATAAATATGAAAGTTTAGATGGATGGATGTTTGTTAGAATTTGTAGCCTTAACAGCTGAACGGATTTCGATGAAATTTGGCGTAGATATAGAGGATTGTTTTGAAGAAGACATAGTCTACTAACTTTTGTTTATTTTAATCCCACGCAGACGAAGTCGGGGGCGAAAGATAATCATATCATAATGGTAAAATCAACAGTTTTTAAAAAAGTAACATTGTCCATAAGATTTTTAAACAGAAACATACTTGGTTATCAGAGCCGGCTGTCAGCAGCACATTCTGCGCAGTGGGGTGCCACAGCACCAGTCCCACTCTGCGCTGGTGGTACACCAAGTCGACCACGGGCTCGGTGAGCGTGCGCGATATACCGCCGTCTGGAATCTGCCACACCTGGGAACACAACCAAAAGTTTTTTAAACATATCATTGCAATGAATGATCGTTCAGATTTTTATCACTGTACTGATATTATAACGAGAAAAAAAATGTACTTTTGGATCTCTTTATGTACTGAAATAACTCAAAAACTACTGGGCCAATTTAAGAACACGGTCTTTTCCGATATATTCGATGTATTCGTACAAGAAGTGACGTCACGCAGGCACTTTACCTTGACGACGCAGTCCTCTGAGCCACTAGCGATGACATTATCGTTGTGGGGACACCACGCGATGTCCAGCACCGGCCCCTTGTGCCCGCCTACCAGTGGGTGGTCCGCCGGTATCCGACCAACCTGAAAACACATACAGACATAATCATGTATGGATATAAGAAATAAAATCTTTGAAACATGATCACACAAAATAGAAACTTTGGTGTCTTTTTTGCTGTGGTAATTGTATTAAGGTATGGCGAACGCTCAGTACGCAATAAAGACGCGTCGCACATAAAAAGGCGCCTCTTTCTTATGGGCTTATATTGCAGTTAGGGGTCGCCGTAGTAATCTCGCCCAGGGCGCCGGTAATACTAAAACCGGCCCTGGACATTATTTTTTTGAAAATGGAACCTTAAACACTACTCGGCTAACGAATGTTCCACAGAGTATTTTAGTCAGTAACTACTCTGTGGAATTTCGTAGAATGTTTTGCATTCCACACTGGAAACGCTGCACCGCTGTTGCTACGCAGGTGTGTCATGTCTAAGTATATGTGACCCGATTCTGTGCACCGTGCGATGGTTTATTTTTAATATACGCGACCGATTCGTGTTATTATGAAACAGTTAAGTATAAAGGTGTCATTAGTGACCGACTTCCCCCGATAACGCTTGCCCAATAGGTCAGCTTACAGGACCTGACTTCGTATGACCTAAGGTCTTGTAAATATTGTAACGTTCTACGTAAATTAAGGGCGTTATAGCGTAGTGGTTAAAGTCTTCTACCGGGAGTTTAAATTTCGATATTACAAAATGTTTTATTTGAGTAATTCTTCAAATAAAGAACCTAGGAATTAAAGACCTGTAGATAGATAAATGATTTTACTAAAAAAACACATGATGAACATGATTGTAACACTAAAATCGATGATTTAATCTTTGGCACCAATCAAATGTTTGATCCAATTGGCGTCATTTTGGAATCTTATGGACCAATGTTGGACAAAACTGGAATGTTTATTTGTAGGCGTATAAAAATAGTTTTATTTGTATTTAACGGTGTTGTAAAAAGCATTAACGTTGAATTGTATTTACATAAAATATAGTTCTGTTGAAAAACAAAAACTGCTACCAAATTAAATACAATACTTATCTGTACATACTTAAGTCTTTATCTCATCCTATATATTAAACTTATATCGACAATATTAAGATACGGATATCTATCCAAAAAAAGTTTACAAGACACCTACTGTGTTCCTTACCATATTTGACATAAATTATCAAAATTATCTAATGACTGGAATGAATGTATGAAATATTTTAAATATCGTATCTATACTATCTATATCTATACTATTAGAATAAAGCGTAAACACACACTTCTTTGTTGCCTTAGATGTCAGCAATTACAGCATATTTTTAAATATTTTTTTCTTGAATAAAAATCCCTACTCTTCGCCACGGTTTAGGCTATATATTTTTACGCCATTACACTTAGGGGTAAACATTTTGGATGAAAACCCTAATGTGGGATCTTTCCCACATTAGGGTAACGACGATGAGTAATGTAACGACCATGAGTTGCTGCCAACATCAAGGAATCAAGGTTGTCATAATTTGACATCATGTCATGTCATTTTGACATTTGCAATTGATAATTTGTATTTTATTGATATAAAAAACAAATGTAAACGATAAAATTAAATTTTTATAATTTTATGCGGATGAAGTCGCATGGGATCAGCTAGTCATTTATAAATTTGAAAGCATTTTTTTTGGCAATGCCAGAGAAACATTTCGCGTAGAACTTTCAAGTGAAAGTTGTTAGTATAATTAGACGGAGCACGTAATTAGCAGGAGATTGTACGTGTTTTGGCGCAGTATTTCTGGCCAGTTCTATTTTTTTGCAGGTCGAAATATTAATTACTGAAAAAAAAAACTTTCAATGTACATGTATCCAAATATCGATAAATTTACGTTTCAAATAAGAATGTACATAAACCTGTGCCATAGTATGACGTCTTAGGTAACGAATAAAAAAAAATAAAAAATATATTACATATTTTTTATTTCTTTGTTCACATATTTGAAAAATATATTATATTATTTAGTATAGTCCCATTTTATTGTTAAACATCTTGATCTAACGATATCAACTAGATCTCATAAAACTTTTTAAATTCAACGATTGTTTACCGTAATTTATTTATAGAACAAATGCTATTTACGACCGTCGTCGGAAGAACTCCTAAGTGATACAAATTGAGTCTACACGACACACAAATAGCTGAAATCAAGCGCAGTTTATTGCCAATACAGATATACTCGCCCACGGATTATATTTGTAAAAAAAGTCTCAGAATTCCTACAAGTGATATCTCTTATTCCAGAAAAATACGATTGTCTATTGTTAAATCGAATGGTATAGCCGCCTAGTATTCTCTTCATAAGACGAACAGGGACCATATTCTATCTTCATCATTTCAATGTAAAGTTTTTCATTGCTTTCTAGATCACCATTCATTTGGTCCAACTTTTTGGTTACCAAATATTTGATCCAACAAGTGTGATAGTTGGCGATGCATGGCCCGACGCCAATTCCAGATTACTCCTGCAGAATTCGGTAGACCGCCATTACAATTGCCATTTTTATTGCCGACCTTTCGACAGTTTTGATAGTATAATAGAAACATTCCGTTTTATAATTGAGTTAATTTTATGATAAATACCAATCATAACTTCTATTACGATTAAGAATTACTACAAGAGTATTTTGTGACATTTTGTTGAATTTAAAATCGAAGAAAAAGTAAGATGTCGAAAAACGTGTATGGGTTGAGAGATGGCCAAAGGGATTTCATTTCATTTTACAGCATAAACAAAGCAAATGACAAATAACAGTCAAGTACCAGTTGAGGCGATGACGTGATACGTTATAAGCCAATTATAGCCTAAATGACTCGATCGCGTGAAAATAGACCAAAAAATTTGCGCACTCATAAAGATTCAAGACCAACACGTATTATTTGCTTCTCATATTTCTGAGCTATCCTCGTCACTTCCTATTTTAAATGCATATTCTAACACAAAATATTGGTACAAATTTAGACAATCCATACTTTTATAATGACTAATTACGACCTACTGACTTATTAATACATTTTGATTTAATACAAACGTTGCGACATGATTAATATTGCAAAACTTGGCATGAGTCCGCACGGCTCGCGTGTCAGAAACCTGAAGAGTATCAACTACGCGGATAATACGTGTTCGTTATTGATGAGACACTTAGGGCTGCCAATTGCCAACATTGTCAAAAAACCTCTGGATCCTTAGAAGATAACAAAAAAACGACAATGTTTTGTTTCGTACCATTTTTATCGAGATCCATTGATATCAAACCTCTAGCCTGATGCAAACCCAAGGGTGACAACCCTAGACCTGACCAACTTTAAAGGGCAATGTCAGCTACATTGCACAATATTGATAAAACATGTCAACTTCAATACCAGCAAATAACTGTTATATAAATGCTAACAGTATTTATTGCAATCACACTAATATTATACTAACTAGCTTTCGCCCGCGACTCCGTCCGCGTGGATTAAAAAAAACAAAAGTGAGTAGCCTATGTGTTCTTCCAGACTATCCTCTACATCTATACCAAATTTCATCGAAATTAGTTTAGCCGTTTAGGCTACAAACTCTAAAAAACATCCATCCATCCATCTATCCATCCATCTAAACTTTTGCATTTATAATATAAGTATGATAGTATGAAGTATGATTTACACTAAAATTACAAATGCGAAAGTTTAGATGGATGGATGTTTGTTCAAATTTGTAGCTAAAACAAATTAACGGATTTCGATGAAATTTGGTATAAATGTAGAGGACAATCTGGAAGAACACATAGGCTACTCACTTTTGTTTTTTTATATTCCACGCAGACGGAGTCGCGGGCGAAAGCTAGTATCACATGAAGTGAGCAAAACTATATTTATGATATAAAAAATCGTTACAAATAGGCAAACTAAGAAAGAGCTTAACTTAAATATGTTTTCAAGTATATTGCATAAAATATGAGTGAAGAATTTCAACTTACATTCAAACCTACAAAATAAACAAGAAATACGCTATCTTTTTACTATAAAGATAAGAGATGAAATAATATATACTCAAAATGAACAAGATCAGCATCTTTATCTAAATAGAAATATTTTTTAGCCTTCATTCACATTATATCATATCATACCTTTTTTTGCATTATCACAGATAACATAAGAATATTTACGGAGAGAGACATAAAAATATTATTCAGCCGTAAATATTGTAAACAACGGAAAACTCCTTGTAACGGAACGTATCTTACTTATATTATAAACTAGCTGTTCCCATGCGACTTCATCCACATAAAATTATATAAATATTCACATTTGTTAAGTTATCAATTGCAAATGTCAAAATGACATGACATGATGTCAAACCATGGCAACCTTGCTTCCTTGATGTTGGTAGCAACTTATGGTGTCTTTCCCACATTAGGGTTTTTATCCAAAATATTTACCTCCTAAATTTAATGGCGTGAAAATATATAGCCTAAAGCGTGACGTAAGTGTAGGGCTTTTTATTAAAAAAAAAGAGTTCGAAAATATGCTGTGATTGCTGACATCTTAGGCAACAAAGAAATGTGTGTTTACGCTTTATTATATTAGTATAGATATAGATGAGAAAGTGTGGATGGATGGATGGATGTTTGTTAGAGTTTGTCTCGAAGAATTCATAGACACCGTAGTTTACCGAAAAAACCCTGGCTTCATTTAACCTTTACAATTGTTCTCACTTATTGTCATATCGGTCAAGTGCATATTAATGAAAATCGATAGATATCAAAATATCAATGCAAAGCGAAAATCAATCGCAACATCGATAGATATCAATTAACGATATCGACTTTGACACTCAATATTGAATATAAGTTGGTATCATAATACAAATATTAGTAAACTAGCTGTTCCCGTACGACTTCATCCGCATGAAATTATGAAAATTTTATTCCAAATTATCAATTACAAATGTCATAATGACATAACATGATGACAACCTTGCTTCCTTGCTGTTGACAGCAACTTATGGTCTGTTTCCCACATTAGGGTTTTATTCAAAATATTTACCCCCTAAGTTTAATGGCGTTAAAATATATAGCCTAAAGCGTGACGCAAGTGTAGGGCTTTTTAAAAAAAGATTTATTCATAAACATGCTGTAATTGTTGACACCTTAGGCAACAAAGAAGTGTGTGTTTACGCTTTATTATAATAGTATAGATAAGTTGGTATCATATTTCAAATATTAGTAAATTTCTATTTAGTTTGATAATCTTATTAGTTAAATGACGACAAAGAAGTTGCCTAAACCATTAAATCATAATTTTATTATAGTTCCAAATAGACAATCGTTCAAACCTTTTTTGATATCAAATATCTTGACGAATTACTTGCCAATACACAGGTAGTCACAATTATTTAAAACTATTTAAAACTATGATTAAATAGTCATTCTATATTTATACAATTAGCTATAAATCTTTTAAATCATAGACAAGGAGTGTTGCGCACGCGCCACCGCCGCGTTCCCGCGCTTTTATCGCGCGTGGGCCGGCCCTCGATCGTCTGCGCGCGAATTATTACTCAACGTAGAGCCAAAATTAAATAAACGTTTGTAAATAAAATATAATAAAGCTAATAATAGTGCACGATCACCGATTATTACTTGGCGAGGTGGATTTAGACGAGAAAAACTGTCACGAATGGGTCAGCCAGATTCCTCTAAACTTATGAAAAAACGGACGAATTGTGACATTTTGGGAAGGCGGTTTTATAAGGCAATTATTTCACATACTTAAGTAGGTACACACCACTCCTCTTCATAAACCAAACAAGGTAGCTCTATCTTTTGCCGTAGACAAATAACTTTGGTAAACAAAATTGAACGAATTATCATAATAATGTTTGTGTAATTATTAATACGACTGTAGTTTGATTTCTTTTCTTATCTTATTAGGCAAAGTTCAACTTTAATTTGTAATAATACAATGCATCGTAAATAGCTCATTTGTTTTGAAAGGATTCATTTACCTCTACTTTTGTCGGGAAAAATTTTTCGTAATTAAAAAAAAGTAGTAACCAATGTGTTATTCCAGAAAGCCGGATTCACTTGCTTCCATCCATCTAAACTTTCGCATTTATAATATTAGTAAGAAGCAAAATTGGATACACGTAATATAATAAGATTGGAATTCATACAATCCATCTATGTCAAGATAAAGGACCGACAATTTTGGGTATCATTGCGGTAGGATTTGGTTTAACAAAGGACAGTCTATATTGGATGAGGTCACAAACTTAGTATTTCCAGAGCCTTAACCGTGTATAAAACAATATTATCGTCTCCCTCATTCTCCTTAAAAAAAGAAAGAAAGCAATGTGTTTTTCACTAGCGTTATTTTTATTAACCACAAACGTTTATTGTGTGTACGTTTCATGATTATAAAGCGCATTTTATAGCCAGGATATTTTCAGTGGTAGGATGCAATTCATCGCGCCTTGAGTCTATTTCGGCGCACCGCGAACTGTAATTCTACGCAACACTTTATACAGTAATTTACTGGATATAATGAACTTGACACACATCAGTCGAATGCCTCGAGTTTGTGACCCCCGATTGTTCACTAAAGTTTTCCTTATACCAACGACAAACAAGTTAATCGGAAACTTTAAACATGTTTTAATATACATACGTAATTTAATAATTTATGACACGTTATATTTTCATTTCTCATCTTTATAGTACAATACGCATTCAAGATTTACTTCTAATATCTTACTAATATTTTAAATGAGAAAATTTAGGTGGATGTTTTAACAAACAAACTAACGTTTGTAGCCTAAACTGCTGAACAGATGTCGATGAAATTTGGCATAGATGGAATCTGGAAGAACACATAGGCTCATTTTATTAAATTCCTCGCGGACGAAAGATAATAGGCTATGTTTTACTTTAACGGGAAAAGTATTGACTTGAAAGAAACAATATGAAGAGTATATTTGCTACCTAGGAAGAATAATTATAAGAATAATATTTCTTTTCCAAGGAATAAGACACCAACATTCATCAACATGCGTCATCATTGAAATATATCAAGCAGGTGGTGGACTAGAACGGTCAAAGGTCGATAGATCCTTGAATATGTACTAATTACTAGTCATATAGTTTTAAAGAGATTTGTTATACTAATCATATAATCTAGTTTTCTATGTCTTGATTCATAATAACATTACATGGACATATGTCATAACAAACATGTTACTTTAATTTTCTTTGCTACTTTCTAGTTTTAATTTCAAGTCACTTGGCTTGTTCAAATAATTTCATTGATATTAAATAGGTTGTTACGTAATTTACTTCTTTTTAATCGCCTTTAAATATAGTAAGGTTTTGAAGTTGTCTGTATTTAATTTCTTTTTACTTGATTATTGATTATCCATTCTTTTTTTATCTTTAATCATTGCCGGATTTAGCATTACGAGCGCCCTGAGGAAGACTTCTAGGGCAGTTCCTTCTTTACTATACTTTTGGGGAGTTAACAGGTTTACGTAAGACTATGTAATTTGCAAACCCTTGGCCTCTTTCCGAACATGGCTAACGCCGGTACTACATATCCTAAACGATTTTAACTGGGTGTCACTTAATTCGTATTATAATAAAAAGACAAACAAATTCCGTACGTCCGTGCTTATTTTTTTTAATTCACGATACATAGACAAAAATTTAGTTTGGACATATAGCGATAGATCTATTACGTTTCGAGTTATTTAGAAATTAGTATCCTTGAATTACCAGTTCGTAATTAATCAAACTTAAGACCGTTATAAAAAGCGCGGGAAAGGAAGCGTTTAAAAACACCCGGGGGCACCTTCGTTTGCATTCCAGTGTAGTAACAACATAAGAATCTCGACAAAAAGTTAGTAAACATTGTGGGTACCGCCATTGTCATCGAACCATTGTTCCCTATCAGTTGTACAATGCCCTATCACATACGAGGCTTCGACGCATTGTTCCGTTGATAAAAATGTTTCCTTCAAAAGCATCACAGATAATATATGAACGATTGGGTAATTCGGAAGCATCGTGCTACATTAGCCTCGTTCTAATACTGATAAAAGTTGAGATAAAAAAATACCAATGCATTACTCATTACAATAACTTTCCTATAGATAGCTTTCGCCCGCGTGGAATTAAAAAAAAAACAAAACTGAGTAGCCTATGTGTTCTTCCATACTATTCTCTACCTCTATGCAAAATTTCATCGAAATCCATTCAGCCGTTAGGCTACAAACTCTATCCATCCATCCAATCTTTTGCATTTATAACATTAGTATGAAGTATGATCTAACATTATTTACACATTCAAGTAATTTATGTTCTAAAGGTCAGTTGTTCTAGAAAAATAAACAATATGATTCTAAAACAAATGTTTTTACTCCTCGCTAACTAGTCAAAACATTGTATGTAAAGGCCATTATAAAATTATACACACTTACTATTTGTTTTTCTTTAGTAATTTGACAGGTTTACCGATTCTGAGGTTAAAAGTATTCCAGATATTCCAATGTTCTATAAACCCTATTCTTTTTCAGTCAATCATCTTTAAGCATATTTTATTTATTTAAGTTTTTTGTTCCTAAATTTCAGCTCAATCAACATATATCATGTCATGTAGATTATAAAAAAAAACAAAATAAACAATGAGGTAAGTGATTCTAAAGAATATCAAGTTCAGCTAATTATAAAAGCCAACAAAATAACTTACACTTGTAACCGAGAATGGTAGGATGAGAATATGGACCTCTATTTAACTTGATCGTGATATATCTCTTTCGCTTCTCCATTAATACTTCTACAAAATCCATGGATGTCTCTCAACACTACCCTTTAGTTCATCATCACCTTCTCAATTATCCTACTCCCATAGGATGGGTGTTCGTCATCCCAGTAGGTAGTCATTCCCTTCTCGATCATGTCACCTTTTACACAATCTATCTCTTTCTCGGTGTACTACTACCGGTCACCTACTGGTGTACCCATCCACATTTATATAGTTTAGTTTATTCTTATAAATATAAAGATATTATCTTTTAACTGAAGAAGTCTGCGCAGTATCAAAAAAATGCCTACATGTTCTTCCAGACTATCATCTACAACTTTACCAAAGTTCATAGGACTTTGTTTAGCTCTGGAGATAAATTCGCATTTTCAATATCAGTAAGAAGAATATACATTACAATTTAGTATGGTGTTGAATTATAAAGTGAATCATGTGAATAATGTATACATTAAGTTATTAGATTTCTTAGAAATAATGAGTATTAAAAGATAGGAATATGTGACTAATAAAAAAAATATTTCACATTGTTTGGGTGCGACTTTTCATCATAATTAAAATCATTCATTCATTTAAATTATTTTAAGAGTCATTAATTACTTTTCATAAAAAATAAAACTTTTTGTTTAATAACAAAATAATTAATAATATTTTTTTGTTAATATCCATTGTTATTAATAATAAAAATATAATTTATTTTATCTGATAACTTTAATTATTAGATTCTAAATATTACATAGTATTTTAGCCCACTAAACGATAAAAAGCTTTAATTATATTTATGATTCAATTTCAAATTTAAAAAAACTAGTATGTATGTGATCGATTAAGTCAAAACCAAAATTATTCTTATGAAATTATTGTAGTAACAAATCATGTTAAAAACAATATCTAATTTAAATGATTTCAAACCCAAAAAGTTTTGGAAACATCAATTTTTAAATCACATAAACTACACAAACATTATTACAATTTAGGCATTAATTCTTTACTTTAATTGAGGCAAACCACATTTATTTTAATAATCCAAACTGTACTGGACAGTTCACACAAAAAAAATCTTCCTACATTTCGTATAAAATTGAAATAATTATAATTTGACTTACCTTGTTATGTGGTAAAACAATGAAAGCACCTCCACCAGCAGATTCTACTATGATCGCCAGGAACTTTGGATTCACGGCACAAAAAGTAGAGTCCCATGAACTTTTGGACACTCTGATGTTATCGTAACACTGTTCCCTTTTCAGGGCTTGCCCATACACGTGGCGGAATTTAGAACTACGGACCACCCTAAACGACATCTGCAAAACAAAAGTCCTAACGTTTAACAACAACACAAACGGAATTACGATTTATCTAAGTTATCCACCTAAAACATAACCTAAACGCACATATATTTTGACCTATATTGACATTCGTTTTAAATAACAATAATATGAACTCACTTTTAAATAAAAGAAGAAATTATAATATTTACACTAAACAGTTCAATGAAAACATTTGAATATAACTCGATATTTAATAGAAAATAAAATTGAGAGCTACTAGGGTTCGAAGGGAGGACGGTTGGGAAAACGAGCGAACTCCATATTTGGTAATGCCTACATCTACTGCATTTGCTGGTACAGTTCTGAACTAAACATCTCAATGAAAGCGTAATAAGCTTTTATTATGCTTCATATTGTCGTATTAGGTTTATTCATATTTTATAACATTTGTATGGTGGCTATTAATTAAATTTTAAATCGTATAATTTCAATTTTACAATTCTATGAATGAACGCGAGTTTTTAAATGTCAAAGTTGCAGTTACGACTGCGTTCAAAATTAACGTGGATTTCACTTTTCTCTTACCTTGGGATTGGGGTTCGGAGTGGATAATTTCTTTTCTGAAGAATCGAATGAATTAAAAACTTGAGCATGATAACTGTGACATCTCTCTCTCCCAGCCCTTTTTGATACAGGTGCTCTCCTTGTTCCAGGACTAGTAAAACTGTTATGTCTTCGTATTTCCTGCAAATATGTTAACTTAAACTATTCGGCGTTTTAAGCGAGGATGAATTTTTTACAACGTTATTTAAATATCATCATCATAACTCTCTGTGCTAAAAGTAACATTTTGAGAACCGTATTTAATACGCATTTGAACTACTTGTGTTGTATACAAATACTACGAAAAGCATTGGTTTACATATTTTACATTTACAAATGTTTAAAATTTATGAAGTGTACGAATACTTACGCTATCAATGTCCATTTTCTCAGTTTCTCGCATAGTAATATAAATTCAAAATCTCACTTAAAATAATTTTATTGGAATTTAAAACAGATCTTTTAAGTTAATGTGGGTAATTAGGTATTTCTATGTACAATAACAATGCCTTCACTACCCCCGAAATATTTTAACGGCTTCTGAAATTAAAACCGATTTTATGAACTAAAGAAATCCTTGAATTTATGTTTTACTATTAAAAATTCCTCTGAAAGTGTAAAGTAAAATGAAGTGTCTATTTTTAAAGTTTTCTATATTTTCAAGTAATAGTAGTTAAATAAATATTGAAATCAATTTAATCAACACTGCAATTTTTAAAAATGTTGACTGGTAGTGGGGAAAACATATATAATCTTTGTGCAATAACTTGACATTTGCATTTTCCGAAATTCTTTACTTACTCTTTGTCTTTCAGATTTGACAATTCGCTCAATTTCGTTTCAGTTTTGCAAAAATTGTTTTTTGCGGTGATTGTTTAATGAATTGGGGAAATTAGTGGGTGTGATTTTCGTAAATTTAACCAGTTATTGTTTATAATGTTAAAAGTGTTCTTATTTTAGTGAAATATACACTTTATTTGCGATGGAACCACCAATGAGTAAGGTAGGGTTTTTTTTCTTTTATTTGTATCTGGACAAATTAAATAATAATCTTTCGCAGGAAAGAAAACAAGTAACTAAGCTTGTGTTTTTGTGTAATTTTTAATTACAGGTTTGGCTAATAATGTATAAGCATTACATATTATACATTATTTTCATGTAAACATACTATAACAATTTCATTTTCCTTATAATCATTAAATTCTTATGCAAAGTACTATTTCTTTACCAAAGTTTAAATATGTAGAATTAAACTAGATTTTTAGGTTTTCTGAAATATCAATACTAAAATTTCATAAACAATCCAAGAATACATTCAATAACATAAATTTATATACATTAACAATGCTTCAGAAACTTTTCATCCACCATCCATATGATTACGACCACAAATTCAATCTATTGGTAAATAATTGAATACATATTTTGGAAACCAAAGTCTCATATGAGTTTCTAAAGTTAAAATATCGAATATTTTATCTGCTGACTGCTCAAATCTTTGACAACAGAAATCCTATGATATAGAATTGAGAATTTTTAAAATTCATTGTATGCCTTTTCCTCATCAATTAAAAAAAAAAATTATTGGGCTAGTAATTTATTCAAGTACCGAGTTTAGTAAATAAACATGTCTGATTGACAATTTACGTAACTAGATTATTAAATTATTCAGTTTAGTCAATAATTTTGTTCTAGTCACTAGTTTAGTAGCCTCTTCCACCAAACATCACTAAATTGCTAAGAAACTCTCATTATCAGTTTATTCTAGTTCATTAGTAATAGACATTGATCTCGAAAAAAACCACTAATGTACGATACTGCCACAGTAGTCCAAACAACTATTGGGCATTGCAGTGTATTTTACCTGCTAAAGATACTCCACAACAAAAAGGCATTGGCTTTTTTTGGAGTATGTTTAGTGGAGTATCTTTGATGCCTAGTTTTTTTTTTTTTAATAACATAAGATGGCAAACGAGCAAGTGGCCACCTGAATCCGCCAAAATGGCGAAGCGACCGCTGCCCATAGACATCTGCAATTGCAGATGCGTCGCCTACCCTTATCTGACGGGGGAGGAGATGCACATAAAGAGGATATTCCCTCTTCCCCTGCTTCTCCTCCATTGTCAAATCCACTTCCCCTTCCCATCCTCTCATAAGAAAAGGGTGGTAAAAAGAAAGGGACTTAAATTAGACTTCTGGCACCACACTCATCAGACGAAACACGGCATTGCTTCCATTTCACGCCTGTCTTCTGTGTGGTCGTGGTATTACACCGGCGTGCCGGCCCATTCATGCTAAGATGTTAAAGCGGGCACTACCACTGTTAAACTTAGTTTGCTAAGCTAATACAAGTACTTAGCAATTTAGCTTACAATACTTGTATTAGCCTAGCAAAGGCATCAAAGACAGGCAACTGCACACTTTTCATATAGTACAGATCAGGCTGTTTTAATTTGGTTATCTTGGTAATATCAGGTAGCTGCTTGCTTGCTTAATAGTGTACTAAAAAAAAAGTAATACAATATAAAATAAACAATGATAAAACTGCATAAACAATGACTGCAATGCTATCTACTCTTTGTGGTCAATAATTTACTGATAATCTACTCTTATCATAAATATCTCTCACCTTGCTCCCCCTTGAGACTTATTAAGGTCATAGACCTTTTTGAAAAACTTTTATGTCATTTTTTTTACCTTGACACTATTACTAACAAGTATAAGTATGAAAATAATCTTTACATTTAATCTTGATGAGTGTAAATGCATAAAATATATTGTAATATTATGCATTAAATATAATTTCTTAACATGCAAAGGCCAAAACTGCATAATTATTTACGATGATATCGCAAACATAATTCATGTGGTTAAAAAAATATTTACATACTATATCTTGCCCGTGACACCATCTGTGTGGAATAAACAGTAGCCTTCACACTGACTGTAATATATCTTTCTGTAGTTACATTTTTACAAACATTCATCCATACATACAAGCTTTCAAACTTATATTGTTGAGTAAGTCTAAATGCCATTAAAATTTTAGTTGCCTCAATTCTATTGCATCACACTCTACCATATAATTAAGCGAAGTAATTTCTATGTGATAAGTTGTTTTACTATTTTTTTTTCCATTATTAAAAGGTGATGTTTTACGTTTTCAGGCCGGTTACCGTCGCGCCAAGCTGTGCGTGCTCGGCGCGGTTAACGCTGGTACCTTCGCTGCCGCTGTCAACCTCGTGCTCACCCTGGACCCTGAAGACAGGTAACCCACCAAGAGCTTGTTACTTCTGATGTACCAACCCACAACTAAAATCTGAACCTTAGACAATAGGCTAGAAGTTTTCTGCGTTTTGTGTAATGTTTAATAATAGTTATATAAAAACTGCTACAGTATTTAATAAATCAAATATATACGCCAAGAACCACTTGAATTCTGAGTGGCGTACTAAGGGAGGCCTACATGCAGAAGTAGATCGGTAGCTAAAACTATTCAGCAACAATTAAGAAAGATTTCTCGATAGAATTAAAACGACCAAAGATTAAATAACAATGCAGTGAAAAATGTCAATTGTAGACACATTATGACTTGCGTTATAAATATTCGTCATACAATGCCCTTGTATAATTGCGCTTGTTCAACTAGTTAAGTGCAAATTGAAATTGATACATAAAACATACGAACTATATAATAAAAAATAACAAAAAGCTACGTATCCCTCGGGAACCGGACATTTCTCGGGGATGAACCTTATCCCATGTGTACTCCAGACTTTGTTTTATATCTGTGCTAAATTGCAATAAGATATTTTGAACAGTCGCAGAATGATCGAGTGAACATTAAAAAACTAAATTAGTGAATCCCACGGGAACCGTTACTATTCCCGGGATAAAAAATAGCCTATGTTTTCTTCCATACTATCCTCTACTCTGCCAAGTCTCACATGGAGATTCGTTCAGCCGTTTAGGCTACAAACAAACATCCATCCATCCATCGTAACTTTCGCATTTATAATATTTATATGATTTTGCTAGTAGTTACGGATGTCGAGTTACGTAAATCTTACATTCTTATATAATTAACTGATGTAATCCACACGTTTATGCAATAAAAATATGTCGCGGTGAATTCACTTTGAAACAGCGGTGTATGATTTCTCTTTTTGAGAATCACAAATCTCTTGTGGTGAAATTATATTGTCACCAAAATTAGCTCGAGATTACCTCGCATAGATTAAGATGAAAATCTGAGTTAAAAGTCATGCTCTTCATCTCCCCGACTTTTTCCTACATTCGTAGTGTCGTCGCAAGCTTTCGTACTCCAAGTTAATCTACCTTCCATCATCTTAATCCTCACTCCCTTATATGTCACCTTCCTACACGATCTCTTTCTAGGCCTCTACCGGTAAAACTATGCATTTATATCTAAAATTCTCCATGGTCTATGCTCCAAAACTTGAATTATCAAGACCATACTACTCAAATTTCCAAAACACTTAGTCGTGCTGAAGTTACGTCATAATAAACATCCGTTAATAAAATAGCGTAGTACTTTTAAACGATAAGTTTTAAGAACGCATATTAAGTACACTTTTCTTATCAGATGTTAATCATGTCATATAAAAGACGTGTAAACAAATTAATACGTTGTAAACGATAAACGGATTTAAGAAAAAGTATCAAGATTATGTGATTTTACCACGCTATAAGATTAGCATTTTTTTTATTGGCCGGCGCTATGCCGCCCTCCCGTTCCTCCTAACATGTTTTTGGGAATGGGACGTTGGGTGCGGGTAGATTAACATCTTAGTTTATCTTCGGTCGTCTTTAATGTTTCGTATTGCAATTATTAATAATGACATGAACAATATACTGTACTGTCGATTGGAGATAATATTTAGTCATTGGTAAAGTAAGACTGATTTGTAAGAATCATCATGCTGCATTAAATAATACTTACTATATTTTAAAGTCTATTGGTGACAATTTCGTATTTCCTTCGTCGCAATAAAACAATATCGTTGTGACAAATACAAATTTAAGAAGGGAGAGATGACTGAGATGACGGATGATAGAGTTACTTGGAGGACCAAAAACCCGGTGAGCCGACCCTACGGGAGTAGGATAAGGCAGGGGAGATGTTGTGACAATATCATTTAGTCCTCCTTTTTAACGCTCTAAAGTACAGTAATGTAGAAAAGGTCTATATGTGAATGTTTTGCAGGATATCAGTGAAGCGTGGATGCGCGTTAACTGCTCTAGGCTTCGTGTATTTCATGTCGCTGTTCGAGTTGTTTACATTCGCGGCGCTCTTCACCACCTCGGGCTCCCGGCTGAGGCACAAATACCGCCTCAACTGCGGCGATGTACTCGATATTAATAACAAGTATGTATCAGCTGTTTAAAACCCTTTTTCACTAGTGTACTTTCGTGACTGTGACGCCAGTGGAAACTTCGATGGTTTTTGGAGTAAAATGTTACTTTGTTGTGGATGTTGCTATTTCCTATATTGGTATTAAAGTAATTTTAATATGACCGCTTATTCTGGTTACTGTAAGTTTTTTTATCTGAATTCGATATAAATGCATTACAATAGCACATTAGCGCCCCCTGTTTTATGTTTTCTGAGAGAATCATCTGCGACCGCTCAGAGCGCCTAAAAGAACCGTAGCGGTCTGCGAATTATTCTTACGCGAGCTGTTACTTGTACGCGGGAAATTAAATAAAATTGAAAATATTAAAAAAATGTAGCCTATAACACTGACAGAAAACGTAATGACGAAAGAATTTTTGACATCAACCCGGTAGTTTTTGAGTTATTTTAACAAACAAAAATACAAATCTTTCCTCTTTATAATATTAGCTTAGATAGATAACACTTTAATCCCAAATTAGTAATTTAAAAAAGAGGGCGCCGAAAAATGTCGCCCAGGGCGCCAGTAAAGCTAAAATTGGTACTGTCGCTTCACACTGTCCTAGGTAAGTTGGTCGCAGTGTCTGAATGTCCGCAGGTTGGTGTCCGCGGTGCAGGCCGGGCTGTCGTGTGTGACTGGCGCGGTGGTGTGTCTCTGGTCGTGTACGCGCGACTTTATGCGCTCCTCCCACTTCATGTCCGAAGCTTACGCGTGGTTCGGAGCCGCCTACTTCTTCTATGACATCTGGTCTATGTATCTGGTGAGTTTTTTAGTGTCTTTTGTATTGAATTTTACTGTGGTTTTTCTGTTACCATTTTACTGGACTTGTTAAATTGCTAGGCAAGTTGGTTGAACATTTCGTTATTTTATATCTGTCTCTCTCTTTCAAATCTATGATGTAATTTCAAGTAAGATCCAACATTCCGACAGCCTTCAGTTTTATCAAAGACATTGTGGCCTTGAATGTGTTGATATATTTTTACCTACTAGCTTTTGCTCGCGACTCTGTCCGCGTGGAATACAAATAAATAAAAGTAAGTAGCTTATATGTTCTTCCAGACTATTCTCTACATCTTTGCCAATTTCATTGAGATCGGTTGAGCTGTTTAGACTACAAACTCTAATGTAAATATACATCCATCCATCCATCCATTTAAACTTTCGCATTTATAATATTAGTAAGATTTAAAATAATTTGTATTACTTTCAGGTACACGTACGACAAATGGGTTTCTCGAAGACCAAATCATCAAATGACAAAGTGAAATCTTCGAACGAACCTAAGAACGTGGAGGAATCTGATTCTCTAACGACTATATCTGAGGAGGTCGGTTGTATGGGTCCTAAGAAACCTAAAAGAGGTCCGAAATGTGCCGCGTGTGGGGATTGTTTGGGAGAAGGAGTTAATATAATCTCTTTCTTCTCTTATTGTCGACACGAACCAGTTATACTCTTCCATCATCTTTTCATCGGTGGTTTTGGATTCCTTGTTATTGTTGTAAGTTGAATTTTATAAATTTCATTTACTAGCTTTTGCCCGCGACTCCGTCCTCACGGATTTAAAATAAAAAAGTAAGTAGCCTATGTGTTCTTTCAGACTACATCTATGTCAAATTTCATCGAGATCTGTTCAGCAGTTTAGATTACAAACTCTAACAAACATCCATCCATCTAAACTTTCACATCATACTTCATACTAATATTATAAATGCGAAAGTTTAGATGGATGTATGTTAGAGTTTGTAGCCTAAACTGCTGAACGGATCTCGATGAAATTTGGCAAAAATGTAGAGGATAGTCTGGAAGATCACATAGGCTACTCGCATTTGATTTTTTTATTCCGCGCGGACGGAGTCGCGGGCGAAATCTAGTTCAAAATATTTGTAAGATAAGAAAGAGTAGAGTTTTTTTCTATTATAGTATTTAAAAAAAACAACTTAAAAAAAATTGTAGTTTTCTCTCGGTTTGTTATAATGATTTACTTTGCACTTTTATTCCTGTTGGAATTTGATTTTTCCTTAAATTTAAATAGTGTAATGTTATTTCCAGTACCTCCGGGGTGGTTTGGGTGACTGCGTGTTCGGTTTTGTGTATTTAATGGAGCTGTCCACCCCGTTCGTGTCGCTGCGAGGGATCCTGTCCCGGCTGGGTCTGAAGTCGTCGCGCGCGTACTTGCTGAACGGTCTCGCGATGTTGGCGACGTTCTTCGTGTGCCGCGTCCTCAGCCTGCCTTATGTCTGCTTCATGTATAGTCGAGTTATCGGATTGCCTTATTTTGAGGTAAGTTTATATCGATACTATTATAATAAAGCGTAAACACACTTATTTCTTGCCTAAGATGTTAACAATTACAGCATGTTTTTGAATCATTCTTTTTTTTAATAAAAAGCCCTACACTTACGTCACGCTTTAGGCTATATATTTTCACGCCGTTAAACTTAGGGGTAAATGTTTCGGATAAAAACCCTAATGTGGGAAAGAGTCCATAAGTTGTTGCCATGGTTTGTCACCGTCATGACATTTTGACATTTGCAATTGATAATTTGACAAATGTGAACAATAAAATGTAATTTTTATAATTTAATCCGGATGTAGTCGCATGGGAACAGCTAGTCTTATATAATTATTTTTTCCAGGCTATAAAATCACTTCCCACCGGTTGCAAGATTTCTATCTGCATTCTTTTGCTGCCTCAACTGTATTGGTTCTATCTGATGTCTGCGGGAGCGGTGAAGGTGTTTGTGGGTGCGGCGCGGGCGAGGGCGGTGGCGGGGGCGGGGGCGCAGACTGGGGCGGGGGCAAGGGGGCAGATTGCGATGGCGGGGGCGGGGGCAAAGTCCGGCGCTCCGCTCGCAGCCGGAGACAACCACAAGCGCAGCTGATGCCGGCGACGACGCAGGAACAGGCACACGTAAGATGGACTAAATATTGTTATTGTGTTGAAGGTTTAAATATATAGATGGCGCTGTTTTAAATTTATAAAAAGTTAACATAAATGGGGATTTTTTTGTTGGAGGTTCAGAAATTAAAATATTAAAATACAGTTGTGTTGAAAATGTAGTGTAATATTTTATCTAAATTTTAGTTAAAAATCGCTTTGCAGTGGAAGTCCCTTTTGTACGATTTGTAATTCTGTTTGGACTGTATGTGAAGGGCTATCTATATATTTAAATTCTTATTTAATCTATATTGAATAATTTATAGGCAATATTTACCATCCATGAAGAAATTAATATTGTATAGCATGTAGAGTAAATAAAAAAAAACAATGTAACAAATGCTTTGGTAAATATGTAATGAAATAGTAATAATTCAATGTTGTTACCATTTTAAATATAATTTCTCACTTTTTAACGTTACATAAATATTTATTTTAAATTATCACTAAAAATATAATATTGGTTACTTCATGTCTGGTAAAATTAAAACCGTAAACTTCTATGTTATTAATATTTGCTAGTTACTAAGAAAATAAATAAAAGTTATATTATCTTAGTAACTATAACAGCTAAATAATTGCAATGACTAAACGTTCATTTCCACTGAGTGGGTAGTCGTACGACTCCCATTTCGCATGTTAGACAGGCTAGTGGAAAAAGGTTTGTAACTTATATCAAGATGATAAACGAGCAAGTGACCGCCTGAATTCGCCAAAATAGCGAAGCGACTAATACCTATAGAAATCTATACAAAAGCGTTGCCTACCCTGAATCGATTTAGGAAAGGGATGCACAGTAAAAGGGTCTGTTCTCTTTCTAAGCGTCCCTTTCTTCGTTTCCCTTTCCCATTCCTTGTTGGAAAATGCTGGGAAAGGATAGGAGACTAAAATGAAGCTGGGGAATAGCTTCCACTACACGCCAACTGATTCTGCGACCGTGTGTGGCGTCGCGCGACTAGTTGCTTAATGGAAATGGGGTTTAAGTATTTTTATCGCCAGTTTATGTATTCAGGGGCTATAATTCAGCGGCCATGTAATTTTCAAGTTTTAGACATATGTGTAAAAAAATCGAATATTGTTAAAAAACTAAGTTCTCAGTGAAAGTATTTTATTTTTATTTTGCTAAGGCATTAAGTTTCTTTGACTTTGCGATACTAATCTAAGCACTTTGCTTTCATGCATTTATTTTGTATTTACTTTTCTTTATGTGTTTTTGATGTAATTAAAATGTAGATTAAATATTTTTCGGTTTGAATGGTTATACCAAAGTAGAATGTATTACCTGTGATATAGAGATGAAATTTATTAAAATTTGAGCAAGTTTTTTTTTTTTAATTTTGCAAATTTTTGAATAACTTGCGCACAGATAAATGTACAAAATGTTTCCGTAGATCTGGTTTGTACAAATTATATTGTGGCATAGACAATGTTGTTCCTTTATTTAATTTATTTTTAATTCATAGACTAAAGATTTTTTTCATATGGAAGGAAGTAATCAACTAATATTTAAAATTTGTTTCAAAATAAAGACAAAAATAACACAATAATTGTATTGCACAAGTTGGGGGAGAAATAAATGCACAAAGTAGACGTGCTTTTGGTGTTTGGAAAATATACTCTAGTTGTAATATCAATAGAGGTGTTTTTGTTTTGATAGATGTTAAACGTCTTAATGGTGCTTATTTTGCACATTGTAATGAGTTAGTAAAATATATGTGTAGATATTTATAGCTCTTGTAATGTGCACGTAAAAATATAATGCCCAGTTCACACTTGGCCAGTACAGTAGGACAGTAGCGACGGCCAGTTGTACAATGTATGTTCATTGGCGTCTTTTAGTGTTCACGCTATGACAGTTGACTGCCAGTGCAGTTATTGAGCGCTACTGAACAAATACTGGCCTAGTGTAAACTGGGCATTATAATGACCTTTGGAAATAGACGGCGTTAGTTTATAGAGCGCTATCTCTGTCACACTTTAGTGATGTGACAGAGACAACGCTCTATGCCTCTCTTTCTATCCAACGTGCATTGCCTACCACTAGTTGCGTCTGTTTAGGGATTTTAAATATCTGTTATGACGAAGTCATGTTTCTTTCTATCAAATGGAATAGAGTGGGACAGCAATATATTCATATTTATAGATATATTCGTTAATTGGCATTTTGTTGATTTGAAAATTGATACATTAGAAGAATGTAAACGCTAGCAATATTGTAACTTTTTTTACAAACGTTTAGAGACATAAATCACAGAATCCTTTTTTTTTTTAAATGAAGCCATTTTGTATTATTACGGTATCATAATTGTCAGAAAAACATTTTCGTTTATGGACAAAATTATATTATGAAACTAGTAAGAGATAAAATAGTCGACATAAATGTTCTATCACTGTCGCTCTTATCCTCGCTTATATATCCATCTCGCTCACACCTAGAACTCTTATAAAATATTCTTTGTTTTCATTCCAATTTTGTCTTCCTTAAGAGTGCATTTAAATGTTTTACGCATTTTTTAAATACAATTGTGATGTTCGTTAGAAAAACAGACCTTCATTCACTCTGACGTTAAAGCAATAATCTGGTAACTGTAACAGAATATAGCGAGAAGGAAATAAGTGCTCCTTTGTAATACTTACTTTTTCGTATTGTTTTATATGACCCGCTCTAAAAGATGTGAAATATATCTATAGTAGGTACAACGAAAAGCGATACCAAAAATGCAGACATTACAAGTACATAAGATAGAAAGAGATAGATAACAGATTGTCAACTTCACAGCATTTTTAATATTGTATCGCTTTTAGTTGGACCTATTATAGATTTATCAATATCGGCCTATCTGACGATGAAAGTTATATGTTCAGGGCATGTCCCACAATTGTAAATTGTCAACAATCCAGTGTATAAAATATCGGATTTTGGTATTCTATCTGACAGTGACGTCACTATTAAGCTATCTGAGCCATCAGCCAATGGTGGGATAGGCCCTAAGAGATCTAACTCTTTTCCTAGGATATGTAATATATGCTTTTATATACGTTGTATAACAATATATTTAAATAAATTCATATATTATAACATTTTGATATATTCTCAATGTTTAGTGACACTGACAGTGTTAAATTATTAATTGTTTTTCTACATTTTGACAGACTTAATCAGAACTATTTAAACCTAAGAATGTTCTAGAACTGAAGTTCTTTTTTTTCATATGGTGAGAAACTGTTATATAAAGTTTTGGCCTTGTGCAAATTTGACGGAAAAGATACCGTTTCGTTCGCTATATGATAATCAACAGATTAATATAATTTTTATTTTATTGCGGATCTGTAGGAATCTCTAAATTTCGTTTTATGCAGATATTTATTTATATAAAGAGGCTTTAGTGTTTATGTGGTACTATTGGGTGGGTAATAAGACTTGAAATTTATTTCTATTTGAATATTTCTAAAGGCGTCTTCCTTTTTTTTTGCTTTTATAAATCTACCCAATAGAGTACCAATGTAAGGTTTGTTTTGTGATTATGTAATAACATAAGGTGTCCTTATTAAATAAATGTTATAAATTTGTATGTTGTTGTTTAATTTTACCAACAAGTTAAATCTTTTTTTAGAAAAACATATGTTTCTTACTATGTCGATTTCTCTTCAATAATCTTACTAATATTATAAATGCAAAAGTTTAGATGGATGGATGTTTGTTAGAGTTTGTAGTATAAACGGCTGAACAGATTTTAATAAAATTTGGTACAGATGATAGTCTGGAAGAACAGATAACTTTTGTCTTTTTTAATTTCACGCGTACGGAGTCGCGGGCGAAAGCTAGTTAGTAAATAAATAAAAGTAAAAGAAGATAGCAATTATAGAAGAAAATTTTATTGTTTATTAAGCAAAGCAATAATCGGAACGTTTCTGATTTTGACGAAAACTCAGTGTTGTTAGTAATGATTAGAAAAATAGAAAAAATTCATTTAGTTCCGATCAGATTAATTTATCAGATGAAATTAATTCTGCGTATACCAGTTTTATCTTTTATCGGACCGATCAAAGCAGGTGCAAAAAACCACTATTTCCTCCAGTTTAACAAATTTGTTTTACGTTTATAATTTGAACCTTATTCTTTAATGGTAAAGTACAAAATCGAATGCTTTAAAAACTATATTTGGTATCTTGCCTAGAGACAGTTAATTATTAAAAAAAAGGTTAAATACGATTATGGGATTGAGCGGAAAAATATTTTCAAATAACGAAGGATTTTTTTTGTAAATTCTGCTTATATCGGAATACAAAATAATTGAAAAAAGAGGGTAGGTAACAAATGCAGGATATTGGATATCAAAACTCAAACATGCACCTCAACACGTCTGTTTCGGTTAGTACAAATAACAATAAATATACTACTGTATAGTAGAACCTCGATAACACAAACCTCCCTAACTTAAAAACCCCTATAACTTCAAAAAATAATGTGTCCCCTTCCGATCAGAGCCAACATAGACCCTTGAAAACTTAAAACCTCTATAACTTAAAATATTTTGTGTTTCCCTTGGACTTGAACTTATCGAGGTTAGAACCTCGTTATTAGACTATAGTAGAAGGATAAGCCAACAGAAAGTGGGGACACGACGCAATAGGCATACGATGTAAACCAGATGTTCAAACAGAAAAAACTACTGACAAATTAAGTAAATCCAGCGATGAAAGTACAAGCGTAGACAAAGACGAAGGCTGTGTAACATGGGGTAAGTCATTTTTATTTTTTACTACATATATCCTTCGATTGTGGTAACAAACACTAAATTTATAAAGGAGAGAAATATACTTGAATTAAAACAAGCAACAATTTAATATGAATTACAGGTGTTTATAAAGTAATAAATCTACATAACTAGTAATAATTCCATTGCTAGCCATTTCAATTTTATCTTCAACTATTAGATAACAAACAATCACTTAAATATTTGAATTATTATCAGTTGTGATTAATTACGAGATTACTATCGTTGAGAAGTTTCCGTCTAATTAATTTTTAAACAAGGTTACGCAATATTAATGAATACTATTGAAGTGTAAGAATTTCTAACTAAACATGGCCTGTTTTAAATTAATATTTCTAGGCCACTAGTCACTATTTGTAGAAAAGTAACCCTAATAAGAAACAAAATGGCGGCAAAACCAATAGGTTTCATTTAATTTCATTCGAAAACAAAGTTTATTACGACTGATTTTCTTTATTTTTGGTGTATTTAAAAAGACAAACGATGCTTGGTCATTGCCTAGACTGTCACTAAAAAGTGTTATCATTTAATAGTGTGTTTCATAGTGTTCAATTTTAATTCTGGTTTTCCCAATAAAATTGCTCACGAACATTAAATTAAATCACGGCTTTAATTGGCACCTTCGATAATCCGTTATCTATCGTAATCACAGCCAGTATTATCAAACTGCTGTGATTTACTTTTAATACAATTGGAAAAACAATTAAAATCGTATCTCAGATATGATAAACAACATATGTTAACATGCGTTAATTTTTTCATACACTTCAGTAAGGGTGAAGATGTTAGTGAAAACGGCTATACTTCTAACTGCTTTAGCCATTAATTTGGTAAGATTTTTTAAAATATTACAACATCACTATTAATAAATAAATAATAATACAACAATTTAAAAAATAACTAACTAATATAAATCTAATACGTTTTTAAAAATCGATCTATTTTCAATAATTAAAATTATTTTAAACTAGTCTTAAACAGCGTGGAATTTACTCTCTCTCTACACAGTCTGCGTATATTGGAAGTTTACCGTTGGCCCTGTCGGCTTACCGATGTATCGGTCTAATAGGGAAAATTCCTAGGCTGATTGAGTCTATAGAATAATGTGATAAAATGGGGAAAAAACCCAGCTGATCGGCGCTATGGGAAGCATCTCGTTTGTTCTTTATTTGAAATAGAATTTGTAAACTACTGAACATGAATTTTTATATAAAAATAAACCAATTTAAAGTTTATTAGTCGAATATTTTACTTGTGTTTTTTAAAAATTAGTCATTAAAGTATTGTAGTTAACACGAGTAACTAATTTATCTTATGAAACATAGTTTTCGTATCGGTTTGATTTAAATGCTGTTTAGGAAACTTTACTTCTTGGCAAATATGACGTCAATAATATCGTTCGATGATATTCGTAAAGATCTGAAGATATGATCATTCCTTACTAACATATTTTTTAATTGGATGACGTACCAACGTTGTAATAAGCCGATAAGGAAACCAAAATAAACTGTAATGTCATAAAATTGTTTTGAAAAAAAAAACCTTACGAATTAGGGAAAGGAATCTCTAACTTGAACGGTTTCTTTTACAATTTTCATTGTTCATTGTTTTTATTCAAATAAACCTATACAGGTCATTTTATATGCAAAAAAATAAATTATTAGAAAGCAAATATAACATCAATATTTATGATTATTTATATTATAGTTCCCTGGTTAGGAGAAAGAAAAGAAATATGGGTAGTTACATTAACCATTTGTAATTCAGCTGTGTGTCAAAATTCTTTTTTTTTGTTTATAGGCTTCAGCGGGATTCATACAGCCAGATTTCATTGAAAATGTAAATAAAAAAGGTAAGTAGTTATTACGTTTACTGTTTATCTTTATCGCAAAATTTATGTAATTACATAGTGAATTTTCCAGATTTGTAGACAATCTCTATCAGTAATTTAACCAGATTAATTGTAATGATTTAATAGATTGTTAGATCGATTTACGTTCATATTATCTATTTAGTTACATGTAAATTCGATAATAATATTATTAAAATTTTCCCGTTAAACTTTCCGTAGCTATTGAATAACAAAATAGCTTTTATTTAATTGAAGTTTGACTTATAGGTTATTTGCTATTTTCGCGCCTATTTTGCAATATCAGACGTTGGCATATAATTTTGAGGTTATTTTTTGATATAGGCGGTGACTCCCGCATCGTGTCGGGTTGGGAGGCGCGTCCCGGGGAACACCCGCACCATGCCTCGCTGCGGATGGTGTTCAGGCTGGGCATCGTGAACGCATGCGGCGGCTCCATTGTGCATCGCAACTGGCTTATTACCGCCGCTCACTGCACTGCTGGGTTTGTTACTCTTATTAGCATATGTGATGCCGTACTTATGCTGGGTTTCTGAAGCTTACCTATATGTTATTAAATAATAATAATAATGAATCATCAGGAAATCCTAATGATTCATTAGTATTAGGTTGACTTATGTTTGAACGGAGTAAAACTCAAGTTACGTAGTTCGGAAACGCATTTCATGACGCTTTCAAACCAAAAATACTAACGAATTTTAAAATGTTGCTAGGAAACCGGCCGTTAGTAGATAATCGATAACTAAACAAGTCTTTAGATGCTAAAGGAGATCCACCTGAACCCACATACTCTCCTATTCCTGACAAATCTTACTCCCGCACTCATAGTCCATAAATGATTACTTAAATAGACACTAATTGTTTTCTTAAAGTATATCTAACCTAAAAAAAGAATTCTCCAATGACCATGTTTTGAGAATTACTTATTCTTCGTAGTGCTGTGACCCTGGTAGTCCGCGCTGGCGTCACCGACTTGACACGTCCCGAGTACATTTCGGAGACTGGAGAGTGGTACAACCATCCCTCGTACAACGACCTGTTGCCGACGCAAGTGCAGCCCAATGACATCAGTATCGCCAGACTGCCTAACCCTGTTACATATTCTGGTAAGGAACACTACTCTATTGTAATACTAGCTATCGCCCGCGACTCCGTCCGCGTGTAATTAAAAAAAATGAAAGTGAGTTGCCTATGTGTTCTTCCAGACTATCCTCTACATCTACACCAAATTCCATCGAAATCCGTTCAGCCGTTTAGGCTACAAACTCTAACAAACATCCATCCATCCATCTAAACTTTCTCATTTACAATATTAGTATGAAGTAGGACATTTGGTGTAAAATCATAAAAATGACTACCAAGATCCATACAAATTGAAGTTTAGTGGAAAAATAAAGGCTATACTATTATACCTTATCCTTACAGCTTTATATAAATTTATATTTGAATTTTTTTTTTAAATAATTTCGTTTACTTTTGTAGCTAATTTGCGCGCTATTCGCATCCAGCCAGCAGCCGATGCATACAGGAACTACGAGGGCGAGGTTCTCTACGCCAGCGGACACGGCAGGACTTGGACTGAGGGTCAGTTCAAATTGAAAACATGATATTTTATAACCTTGCTTTTTATTGAATTTTTCATTGTTACCGCTTGTAACTCGAACAGAATTCTTTTTTTTTCTATTGAGTGTTATTACGGTATTTTGTTTAGTACTTTATTGTTTAAACAGGAACTAGTCCTGAAGTATTGAACTGGGTATATCTCCGCGGCGTCTCGAACCCGTCCTGTTCGTCCACTTTCGGTTCAATTGTCACCTCCACCACGATCTGCGCTCGCTTCTTCAACGTCACTTCGCAGTCCATCTGTCAGGTTAGTACTTTATATTAATAGTGGCTTTCGCTCGCGACTACCTCCGCGTGGAATTAAAAAAAATCAAAAATAAGTAACCTATGTATTCTTCCAGACTATCCTCTACGTCTATGCCAAATTTCATCGAGATCCGTTCAGCAGTTTAGGCTGCAAACTCTAACAAACATCCATCCATCTAAACTTTCGCATTTATAATATTAGTAAGATTATAGAGAAAAGATTTTTTTTGTATGTATTGATCTCACTAAAACTCAAAAACTGCTGAGCCGATTTCAAAATTCATTCACCATTAAAAAACTATAATATCAAAAACATAGGCTATAAATTTTATTAATTTTACGCGGACGAAGTCGCGAGCAACAGCTAGTGTATAAACAATGTCCTGCTTTTAACTGAACCAGTACAAAATCTTTAGTTTGATATAACTATAATGGTCTTTCAAGCAGTCGCCGTATAGTTCACGGGATGTCAAATTTACATGACTTTTGAAGTAAAGAACTTAAATTAATATTTCCTTCTCATTTGCTGTATATAAGTTAGATCGGATAAAATTGCCTTTTTATTATTAAGTTTTTTGTATTAATTTGTAGTGATTTTCTTGCTTTATTTGATTTTTATTAATTTTTGTTGTACAGGGCGACAGCGGCGGGCCGCTGGTGCACCGCGGGGCTGACGAGGTGCCCTATCTCATCGGTGTCAGCTCCTTCGTAGCTCAGGTGCCTTGGGGCTGCCACTCGGGACTTCCTGGAGGTGAATATTTCATTTTTTCGTCAAAAAAGAAACATTTTCTTTAGTGTTTACATTGGTGTTAATTTTTACGATGTTTTTGGACCAAGATGACGTATTCCTACGAAAGAAACATTTTTTAAAGTTAGAGGTTAAACTGTTTTTTTCATTTTTCAGGTTTCGCACGAACTGGGCCCTTCCACAGCTGGTTTACAGATGTTACTCAAATCGACTTTGATAATCTGGTAGAGGAAGAACCTACAACAACTACCACCACCACGACAACGACTACAACGACTACAACGACTACAACGACCACAACCACTCCTGCGCCCACAACCACAACAACCACCACCACAACGCCGGCGCCTACAACCACAACATCTGCCCCGACAACACCTAACACAACTATCGCTCCTACAACCACTAGCTTAGCACCAAACACCACAACATCAACCACAGTGACCACACCTAGCCCATCTACCACCACTAGTGCTCCCTCCACGACGCCATCGCCCACCGAGGAACCAGAGGAAGAGGATTCAGATTCAGACTCCGAAGAAGATCCAGATCTCGCGGAGCTCGCTAAGAAGTTAGAGGTCAAGGTCAAAGTGAAGGTCAAACTGCAGAAGAACAAGAAGAAGCACAAGCACCAGCACGAACACGAACATAAAATCAGATTTTAATCGTCTTGTACCAGAAAGTAAATAGTTTTGTTTTCTATTTTACGTATTTATTACTGGGGGTTAAGCAAATAATATGAGATGTTTTTAACTTTGTTATTTTCAAAGAGAATGAAAGAGATGTAATATATTATTTTTAATTTGTGGTAACACAGGTTTTACAAGATAAACTGTACGTTAATTTATTTTTCATTACATTGTTTTATAAATTAAATCTAATTTCAATATCAATGTTCTTTTTTGTTTTTTCCCTTCCACCCGTGAATCTGCTTTTAATTCTACGCGGACGTATTAAAAAAAACAAAAATGAATAGCCTGTGATCTATGGACTGTGCTTTACATCTATGACTAATATCCAGATCCGTTCAGTAGTAGGCTTAAAACTCGACAAACATCCATCCATTCATTTAAACTTTTGCATTTATAATAAAAGTAAGAAATAAAATTAGAAAGTTCTCAACATCGGTAGTGTCGTAATATATTTTGTAGGGTTTAAAAAAGAAACAAAAAAGTATTCTTGGAATCGTTTATTTACAATCTTATTACATTTTACATTTAATTAGGTGATCAGAGTATCTGTCCATCACAGAGCATCTCTCACAGAGACCTCACAACAGACAGACCACCGAAGTTGCAGACAGGACACTCCGATATCAAACAATGCCATGTACTTACAACATGTACTAAATCTGACAAGCAGAACTATATTTTTAATATTCACAAAGAGATAATGTACAAGAAATTATACAGCGAGTTATATTATATTATATCGCCATCTCTTTCTTACCTTAGAAAAAATGAGATGACAATATCAACCTCGACACCTCACACATTTCAACTGTCATAAAACTTGTATTAAAACAGCTTTATAAAGGAAATATATTTTTATACAAGTTTCACCACAATGGAAACACAGTCACTATGCCTAGTGAATTAACTTAGTTTCAGTCAAGTATACAATTACTAAGAACTGATTTTGTCAAATAACACTGGGATTTTATTACACTAACACATTCCGTACATACGGACAGACAAATTAATTTTAAATACATAAAAAATTAAATACATTCAACACTAATCACTTTATAGGAAGAACATGTCAAAGTCTAGATTTTAGACAGGCCGTCTACAGCACTCAGTCATTAAGAGGCCATTAGCTGACTGCGGCAGTTAATCTTTACTTTTTATAATACAAATATGCAAAGTTTATAAAAAATTATTTAAATATTGCTAATCGATCACTGCCAAACGAATACCGCAAAATTTTAATTATATACAACCTTGCCTCTTTTGAGATTACATTATATAAACGCAGAATTTCACTATATCGAACAATGTCGCGGAGAAATTGTACAATAAAAGTCGATAGTCCGTTCCTTGAATATTTTCCGCCATATTAATACACCTGTTTTAATACATTTTGGTCATACGTCGCTGTAATTCAAAGTTAATATCACAAAAATATTTCTATGCGGTTTCATATTTTTTTATCTATGTAATACTCGTCATGAATCCGTATGAAATATCTGAACCAGCTGGTAAAAGAAAAACTAAATTTAATTGCTCACTAGCGCCCTCTTTTTATACTATTTTCTATATCAATGTAGGTTTTACATATTTTCTGACAGAATCAACCACGATAGACCTTTTATGACAATTTATATCTATACTAATATTATAAAGAGGAAAAATTTGTATTTCTGTTTGTATTGAAATAAATCAAAAACTACTGGATCGAATTTAAAAATTCTATCACCGTTGAAAAAGCATCAGTAACAGGCTACTTTGTTTTTGATGTCCCAGGTACTAAGTCGCGAGCAACAGCTACTTTCATAAAATACATGTTACTGAATGAGCGAGACCGATGCTTACGTATACTAATAAGTGCGAAAGAGACAAACATATGTCGTGATTACCGCTAACTTCGCACAGAAAAATAATTTACGATATGAGTGAGACCGATGTATACGCGTGCCAGTAAGTGCGAAAGAGACAGCGTTATTGCTAACCTTCAGACAAAAAGATTCGTGGCGAGTAGGTAAAATATTTATAAACCTGAATTTTTAACAATGTAGTGTGCAAAATGTATGTAGTTTCCATTTTTCCATCAACAAAATATTATATTACATAAATTTTTAGCCATCCAGTGACTTTCTTATACTAATTCGGATTCAAAGCGACCTTTGGACATAGTTACTGTCTTTCCACCACCTTTGACGATTTTATAACATACTTGGTTATTTACATTGTGCTTTTAATATACTATATTCGACGAACAACGAAATGGTGACAATAATTATCATACTAAGTCAATGTTTCTCAAGAAACTTCGGAAAAACACAATGTTTTTTTTTAAATTTCAACGAATTGTTATAATTTCTTTAAAACTTCACTTAAAGTGTACAAATTCGATTTGTTTTTTTGACCTTACAATCCAATAAATTAATAACTCTACTATCTAAAAAGCGTAACGAATTTCAAATTAAAAATAATAACTAAAATCTCAATTTTCAACTCTGACACAACCAAATATATTCACAATGTCCGAAATTAAAATCTGAGAAGCACTGACTTAAACGATTTCTTTGTGCACCGTCTCGTCGCGGCACGGAGCGCTGCGGGGGAAGGGGAGGGGACGTGTCTTAGTTGAGGAATCCCCTGCACTGCGGCGCACCACACAGACAGGGTATCTTCTCATCTTCTAGAGGGAACTTGTAGTCGTACGTGATCTCCTCGTCCACTCCTATCGGCTGCTTCGAGTATATCACTATCTTCTTCTGAGACTCTATGGTTATTATCTTTGCGTAGCAATTTGGCTGAAAAAAAAAAAACCTTAAATGGATGAAAGATATTTTTTCATGCTTTAATCGACGATATATTGCGTTGTATCGAATATTTTTATGTAACAAGGAGAACGTTAATTATGAGTGTGGAAGGGTACACCGGTAGAGGTAGAACTAGAAAGAGACATATGGATTGCGTGAAAGGTGACATGATCAAAAAGGGAGTGATGACAGATGACGTATGCTAGTTATTTGAAGTACAAAAACCCGTTGTGCCGACCCTACGGGAGTAGGATAAGGAGGATGATAATGATGATGATTTTTACGTGGAAGAATTAAAAAAGAAAATGCCTGAATCTGTACATCGATGGTTTAACAAAAATGTCTGTAGAAAAGTGTGTGTTTGTGTGCCAGTGAGTACGCGTGCGTAGACTTGCACATGTATACGTCAGAGTGTATAGACAAATTCAATGGAAATGAGAAATAAAATGCGTACAGTTTACTGCCTATGGAATTCATTGTCTATGGAAGTATTACGACCATTTTTGGGCGTAAACTCATCAGTTCATCATCATAATAGAATCAAGTCTGCGTAATCAGCCTCCTAAAGGTAAAATTGTTTAGATAAGTTTGTTAATATCTCATTTCTATTGAATTCTACTATACGTATGCATTAATATAATTGTAAGAGTGTAATTAACTTCAACACTGCCACTAACTCTCGCCGGAATGGCGCGCTATTTTAATTATTCCTGAATGACATTGACAGCTGTCATAGTGACAAGACATGTATGCCGATCATTTAGTGTTGCGCCGTTCTCCAGCGTGGTATCAATTTTCTTCTTAACAGTATATCCGTACGTATTGTTAAGAATAAAATAAGTACCGTGCTGTAGACTTGGCGCAACACTATAGTGTGTCTAAATAATTTAGATTAGTTTGACAATTCACTTCAAATTTAGTAGGGATGGGTTGTGTAAAATCAGTCATGAATCTTAGCGATTTTCCATTTTTATTCTTATAGAAGTTGAAATCGATAGATTTATAGTTACAACTAATGAAAAAAAAACACTGTTTTCTCAAATTAATAATGACCATAACAATTAGTGAGTAAAGTTCGACACTTCATATGCGTCATTTATCAAACTAATCTAAATTATTTAGACAAACTATAGAATATTGGCATAAACGTCACGTCCCTAGCTGACAGCTGTCAATGTCATTAGAAGGATGGATATATTGGCGCGCATTTCTGGCGAGTCTCGAGTGGAGTGTTATAATTAATATTGCTAAGTACAATTATATTAATTGTCTAAAAGTGTGTATGCATGCATGCAGGACGGCCTCACGTTGCAGCTGTGGTTGATGAAGCGCGCGAGGTTGCCGCACTTGGTGGCGTCGATGATGGTGTCGAGGTCGATGCGGAAGAGGTAGGAGCTGCCGATGCCGGTGGCCTCGTACTGCGCCTCGCGCACGTCCGCCACTATCGGCCGGATCATCTGCCCCACGTACTCTATCACCATCTCGTCCGCCGCTATCGGCTCCTGCGCACAAATACTAATTCATAACTAGCTGTTACTCGCGACTTTGTCCGCGTAATATATCTTACTTATAGGCAATTTATTAACATAGGTTTTTATTGGTGAACTAATTTCTGAAATAGACCCAGTAGTTTTCAAGTTATTTCAATACATACAGTAATCTAAAAATACAAATCTATCCTCTTTATAATATTGAGTATAATAGATTACTACATAAAATCACTTTTTATTTTAGAAGACAAATAGGCCACATCATGTAACTCTTGTAGTATAACTTGTTATTTTTTTATTTTTAAATATTGTATATAGCTTCTTTGGGCTATGAAAATAGTGTTTGTTTTTTTTAATACAGTTATATGTACGATTTACTATACAAAATGTAAAGAGTTAAATAAGTGAAGTAAGCAGAGTATATAACCTGAGCGAACAAGCCCCAGTCGTGTATCCCGGACTTGGCGAACTTCAGCTGCTTCTTCCTGAACTTTAGCTGATTGAACTTGAGCAGATCCGAGTCAGTATCCGTACCTAAGTAAAAAACATAATGAGTTTTTCTGACATTTCGTTGTTTTTATCTACCCTCATGTTTTGGCGTGGTTGCTTTCGTTAAGAATTATAATTTTTAACATTACAACCTATAATTTACTATTACACTTCATACTAATATTATAAATGCGAAGGTTTAGATGGATGGATAAATGGATGGATGTTTGTTAGAGTTAGCCTAAACGTAACGGGTTTCGATGAAATTTGGTACAGATGTAGAGAAGTCTGAAAGAACACATAGGCTACTCATTTGTTTTTTTTAATTCCACGCGTATGTAGTCGCGGGCGAAAGCTAGTTACCAATAAAATATTACAGCCCCACAAATAAACGCGGTTTAAAGTGAAACTTATGAATACATTATCTTTTATGTTGTAACATTTCTCTATAAATAATCGTGCAAGCAATATATATCGAAACCTTTTGTTTTGCACTCGTTTAAAATGACTCATCATTGTGGAAACATTTCTTTAAGTTAATGAGGGCCAATATAGCGATTGCTTTTCTAAGTTAAAAATGTTGCGTATTTAAAGTTGTAGAGGTTTTGGGCTTTGATTGGAATGGAACATATTATTTGAGGTATGTAGAGCGAGGTTTGAGTTATCGAGGTTCTACTGTATGAGTGCTGGCGGTGTACCGAAGGCGGTGAGCAGACGGCGCTGGTTGGAGCGCGCCTCCCTGGAGAGCTGCATCTTGTTGGGGCGCTTGTCGTCGCCGGCGGCGCCGCGCCCGTGGTGGTACTTGTACTTGGCCTTCAGTCGCGCCTCCATCTTGTAGTAGCCCTCCGTGCGCGCCGCGCCGCTCGAGTGCCCCTGACACAGCAACACAGATTATACTTATATTAATTAATGTTACAGATATTGAAGAAATTGGCCATAGATGTAGATAAATTGGAAGAACACATAGGCTACTTACTTTTTTTTTAATTTCATATGGATAGAGTCGCAGGTGAAATTTTATAGTAATTACTTATCTGTCCGAAGTCTGTTCGATGTAATACTGTCTAATCTTCAAAGCGAGTGGATTGATTTCAAGATGACTGATGTGTAAAGGAGTGGCAGACTAATTGAAATTTTTCTAAAAATGTTTTTGCGGACAAAACAAACATAATAAACTATTCATAATTGGGTTTTTCTACAATTACGTACTAAACAACAATGTAACAAATATTTTAGTTGTAACATCTGACTAAATTTTTAAATAGTTTGTACTAAAAAGTTCTGTTAATATAAAGGAAACATGAATCCTTTTATTCCGTTTACAATAGCGTACGTTACCTGCAGATCCTCGTACATATTAGGATGTCGTTTGTACTTCTTGCGCGGCGGCGGCGCGTACACGACGTCTGTGGGGGGGTGGTCGACCCAGTGCGTGTCGTTGAGCCAGTAGCCGTGCGCGTCCTGCGCCAGTAGCGCCTCGTACGCGCGCCGCAGCAGACGTACGTCCTCGCGGTCCACGCCGCGCGTCAGGAACTCGTACATCACTTGCATCTCCGCCATCATGTCGCGCGCGGGGAACGTCACGCCGCGGGACACCGCTTCAGGGCTTGACGCACCGCTTTCCAATGTCTCGTGTAATCTGGAAATTAAAAAAAGTCTTTGAGGATCTGTCTCCTGATTTCAGCAGGGCCTTCTCTACCTATATTCGTATTTAATTAAGAAATTAATTTATACATTTACCATATTGCAGTATAATATAATACTTGAGTACTAGGTTAATGATTGGGATGAAATTGATTTTGTAATGTTATCGTGTTTTTGTGATACTTTGAATATTAATATTAAAAGTCACAGACCACTACTATGTAGTTTTTCTTAAAACATGCCTATTAAATCTTACTAATATTATAAATGCGCAAGTTTAGATGGATGGATATAGTTTGAGTTTATAGCCTAAATGGCCGAATAGATTTCGGATAAACGTACAAGATAGTCTGGAGGAACACATAGGCTACTCACTTTTATTTTGTTTTTTTCAATTCTTAGCGGACGGTGTCGCGGGCGAAAGTAGATATATTGCACATTCGAAGTTATTTGGTAATCAAAAAGTACCAACTCAAAGTGAGTTTTATAAAAATTGAAGATATATACTAACTTATTTTGTATCTCCGCCAACTTCTTGGTCTCATGTTTACGTTTATACGGCCTCTTCTCTTTCTTAGGTTTGGTCTCTTCTGGTTGGGACTCGCTCTTCGGTTCCGCCATCCAAGTGTATCCTGAACATATACCAAAAATTAACCAATCTAGTTTCTTAATTCGCTAATGGCATTATGTGTTACAGATTATAGGATTATTTTGTAACCGCACATTATGTGGGAATGGCCCGATTGATTTAACTGCTTGTGTTGTGGGTGAGAGCGTCGGTGGTCAGAGGCACTTGACTTGTAATCGACAGGTCTTGGGTTCAAATTCAGCCGTACCAATGTGATTTACAATTTTTAAAGACATGTGTGAAGTCAACCAACCCAGGCCCAAGGCCCAGAGCGGCCCAGGCCCAGCGTGGTTGACTATGGCCAAAGATATATCAGTACTACATAGACTAGAGATGGTGAACCACATGTTTTCACTGTTTGCTTCTTTGAAAGGTACTACGTTAGTTGTCAAGTTTAGTACGCCACTTTATGTCCTTGTATAGACATGTTATAAACATTCTACTAAAATTATAATAAACTCCACCTTTTGTTACACTGTCAAAAAATAAAATATAAACATGTAAATAAGATTTAGGGACACATATTGGCTATTAATTTAAATACAATTAATTTACATTGACATGTGGTTTTGGGGATCATGTTAAAAATGTGTCAAGTGAAGTGTCAACTACGCTTTCTTTATATATTTTTGAATTTCTTTGACTAAGGCCTATTCACCTAAGATGGGGTAGGCAGCGAGCTCATCAGTGGGGATGTAGTGAGGTGGTGATGGTGTCGGTTGTGTGTACTGACCGTGGTCGTGGTGCAGATGGTTGGAGAGCGTGGTGGGCGAGGTGGGCGTGGTGGGTGTGGTGGGCGTGGGCGTGGTGGGCGAGTGCGGCGCGTCGGGCGGCGGGCGGCAGTACGAGTGGTCGAGCGCCACTTGCGACGCCTGCGACGCTTGTGACGCTTGCGACTGCGGTGATGACGTCTCCGACAGCGCGCAGCTCGTCTGCAAATTATTGACATTGTTAATGCCAAAGTTTGAATGGATGTTTATTACTATATTACACCAGAAAAGGTCATCGGATCTTGATGAAATTTTGTACTGATATAGTACATACATTTATTTTTAATTCCTCGCGAAGCAAATCGCGGTTAAAAAGTAGATTTTTAATAAATAACGCAATAAAATAGCACCGTAAAAACTTAATGGAGGTGCTCAACCCCAATCCTTTTGATTTAGGAATAAATAAACACTTAGGGAGTCCCCAGTAAAAAAACTTTTTCAGCTATGTTTTAGTTTAAATAAATTCATTGTTTTGCTTTAGAATTAGGAAGAATTTATCAATAAAAGAATGAAAAATGGACATAACAGGCCTTAAATAATGTGAATTCGATCTTTACAATATCAAGATATTGTACATTTTACAATGAAAATAGGATCAAAGTTTGTACTTACATCTTTAACACCATTAAGACCGATGGCAGATTCCGTGTAACTATGTTCATCACTAACGGATACCACTCTTTTTCTTTTATCTTCTTTCTTCTTCTGTTTCTTGTCCTTCTTCCGCCGAACTTCGAGAGGCTCCTCGTCTGATGTGATCTCTCCCTCTTCCACGTCTGCCTTTTTACTCTTCTCTGGTGATTTCAAATGATTCTTGATTGGACTTCTTTCTTCTGCCTTACTGTCTAATTTACTGTGAATATAAAAAAGACATTTTAAACCTAATTTCAAATGGAAGAGTTTATAAGATTCTCGTTCAATTTAGTTTTTTGTTTAAATAACGATGTTAGAGACTTATAAAGATAAATTACTAATTTATGTTGAAAATTAAAAAGATTTTCAATACATACCCGTCATCAGGCGGTTTGTCTGGCTGTGGCCTTGTGTCGCCTTCCAGCTTTCTTCTCTGCTCTTCTAGGAACTCCCTTTCGATCTGCTCCATGTATTCTGTATTCCTTCTTCTTCTTTCCTATAAAAAACACATTTATTTACTTAATAGCAACACAAGGTAAGAAAAAATTCCTGTAGAAGCTGTAACAAACTTTACTTTTTCCTCTTTCTGGCAACTTCTATAAGGTAAATGTACTCATAATTGACTCCCTAGACCAGAAGTAGACCATTATGTTATGACTAAATTTAATTAATTATACATTATTGTATGTTTAAAAAAGATTTTTGGTATGGTAAAGGTTCATTATCCCTGCTTTAGGTAAACCAACATTCTAAGTTAATAAAACCATTATTAACCTCCAAACAATATATGCCATTTACCTGGTATTCTCTCTCCTCCTCCGAGTCGGAGTAGACCCGATCCAGGAGCAGGTCTCTTGGTTCCTCCTCCGGGGAGAGTATGGGAGAGCCGAGTCGCGCACCACTCGGCTGTATCTCCTCCCCTGCCTCGTCCATCTCCACGGGCGGTATTGGAGTTTTTTCTGAAAATCATTAATTTTTAATGGACTGTTCAAAAAATTTGGCATTGATGTAGAACAGATTTTGAACACATAGGTTAAGTTTTTTGTGATCCCGCGCAGACGGAGTTGGGGGCAAAAGCAAGTATAGGTACTAAATCATTTATAGTAAGACTCCATGCCATCCCATATTCGTTAAGAAAATAGTTTTCGACTAGAAAAATAATTAAAAAAAATCTGTTCAATCACTGTTTTTCTTCTCAGAATCTTGAGTTATAGAAATTACTTTTTTTATAACAAATAATCATACATCAAAACTTACCTCTTCTACTCTGTTCTTCTTCGCTGTCCGACGACGATGAGTACACCCTTCTGAGCCTCTCCTTATTATTAGACACAACCTTAAACTGGAATTAAAAAAACAATTATAGCAATGACTTTTATTGAGGGCGCACACCTTTGACTAAATTAACGCACAGCTGTTGTGTGACTGTCGACTTTGCAGCCAATTCAACTGTTAAATCAAATCAAAATCGGATTATTCACATCCGTCACCCCGCTCTGTCACCACGTGGGGACATAAGAGGACAAATAGTTTTACCCGTCCCACCTTTTGCGACGAGGGTACGGTTGGAACTCATTTTATTTCATAACGGCTCCATCTGTCACCTTATCGGTGATAATGGGCCTAATAGGTGGGATGGATGAAACTTTTAAATCTCACGTGGGGACTGAGCGGGGTGACGGTTGGGAGTAATCCTAAAAATCGAGTATTTTGCGGACCTCCATATAAGCTCATAGGAATCAAAGCGAGACTAAACAGTTGTGCGATAGTTTGGTTTCGTCTGTCAAAGAATTATTATATCCTGTATTACCTGAGACTCATCGAGTTCGGAATCATCATCAGAGTCGGAGTATATTCGGGGCGCAGCGCTCTTGCCCGCCGACACTGAGTCTGAGGACGACGACCGCGATGACGACGACGAAGACGACCTGCCCAATGGAAACACGTCTTTATAGCAGGGAAACAGAGGGTCTATTTTACTAGACATCATTCCTTAGAAATTTTTTCACCAAAATCGCCTAAATATCTTTAGTTATTTTTTTTTAATTTAGATTTGGTTTATGTTACTTGGATTGTTACTAAAATATGATTGTAACATCTCCGATGTAAGGAAATTGAAATATGTTCATGTTAATTTTTAACTAATATTTAACAAATATATGTAAATTAACATATTTTGTTGGTAATCCTAAAGATAGAATTAAAATAAATAAATATAAATACGAAAGTTTAAATGGATGTTTGTTAGTTTATCGCTTATAGGACTAAACCGATTTCTATTTGTGGCATAGATGTAAAGAAAAGTGTGAGATCACATTGGCTACTTTTGTTTTTTTTTTTATTTCGCGCGAACATAGTTGCGGACGAAATCTAGTACAATAAAATTGTAAACAAACCTGGAAGAGCTACTGGACTGCCGTCTCCTACTGCTGGAGAGATAGGAACCGGTAGTCCTACTTCTCGGGCTGGTCGGCACTTCCTTCTCCTCGTCAGAATTCTGCACCATTTCTTCCTGAAAAACATATAATTTCAGTATTCGACCGTAAGTACTTCCACTTCACCAAAAGTTGCCTTGTTCATATCAACGAAACAAACTCCGCCTCTTAAAACTAATAATAAAAAATATCAGTGTATCGCTAACCGACATTTTCCGTACAGACACATTTATAAGATTTTATTGTTTTTTGTTCCGCGTCGTTTCAAAATATTCAAACGATTGTAGCTTTTAAGGTGTAACACCACTATTTTCCCCAACTGTACGTTATAAACTTTAAGGTCCTGTCCCACCAAATTGTAAATTGTCTTATAACAATCCATCGTGTAAAATATGTGATGGAAATATCGGATTTAGTTACCTTATCTGACAGTGACGTCATTAGTAAGCTATCTGAACCTCTATCAGCCAGTGGTGGGACAGGCCCTCAATATTTACTTAATTTACCTGATCACTAAGACGTTTAGAAGAATCTTCATCCATAACAACGGGCGAAGGTATTTTTCTTTTACGTCTGAAGCTAGGCATTTTAGGTATTGTGGCGCGGAGACCTAGACCGATGCCGACGCCGTACCCACCCAGCTCTAGACCTAGGTCTCTAGACTCCATTATAGACTTTATAGAGTCTACAGTCTCTTCTTTCTTGTTGGAAATATCCTGGAGGGAATTCACATTGTTAATTCCAAAGCCAAATAAAATTTCTATTATCATTGAACCCTGACGAGGAAAATCTTCCGCCATATTGCATAAAAATATTGAACTAATTTCTTTACGTACTGAAAGTGAGGTAATAAAGTAATAGGGAATATGCATGTATTTTTTCTTTTTTTAAACCATTCTACTTGTTATAAAATAACCACAAAAAAAATTTGGCGCGAAAATATTCAACCACTGAGCTAAAAATAATAAAATAAAATTACGACCATTTTCGAGCGACTAAAACGCGACCGGAGTTGTCATGAGACGATTGACGTCAATCGTCTATTCCATTCATAACTTACGCTCAGATGTCACTTCGACGTAAAACACAACAAAGTTTCTAAAGGTCAAAAAGTCAAAAATCGATTCATTTTTATTATTCTTGGTACAAATAAGTGGTAATTAATAATTCTATCCATTAATTTTTTATTTTTAAGTTGGATTTGATATCGTGTTTACAGTAAAATACTCCAAGAGTGTATTTCTATATAAACTAACGTAAATAAACTGTTTATTGTCAACACAGCGACGCCATATTAGAGAAGCCACTTGCTTTGACCAATAGTGTGCGTTTCAGAACTTAGCGAGGGAATTTGAAAAAAGACACTTTTTAATGATTAAATTTTGCCACTAAATCACATTATATTTAAAAAAATCTTTGCAGGACTGTTTTTATAGTAATAAATTTTACTTAAAAAAAGTTTGGTATAATTTGGTGTCATATGCATATTGCCTATTAAAGCGCTCCCAGGGTAAAATATTTATAGTCTTGTTTAGACTATATTCTACTTTTACATTTAGTATATTTGAAAACATTTATTTCCTACCAATTTTGGTAAAATATCATTTATTTGAAGTTTACAATAAAATGGTGCTCTTATGGCAATAGATATGCGACTTTGTATCCTAAGTGGGTATCAAATTAAATTCTTTAACTGTATGAAACCAGGAATATTTGTCTTTTACCTGTAGCGGTTGTCCTGTATCCTCCCTTGTCTTGGGCGCGCGCACTTTCCGGCTCTGCTCGTCCCACCATACTTCATAACTCTTGAACGCTGTGCTTTCAATCATTTTCTTATTGAAATCCTTTTTCAATATTTGTTTCAATTCTGTCGTCACACGTTCTATTACCCTGTTTATTGTTGAGAAGTAAGGGTTGTCTAGCTCCTGGAAATAAGGATGAAATATGTAAACGTCTATCTCTTTTGCTCTATCTTCTGCTTCATCATGCTCTATCTTTTGCTTCATCTTGTGAACCTTTCGTGTATAGCCATCCTTACATATGGACATTAATTATTAAACTAATAGTTGGATTATTTTACTGATTTTACAAAAAATGAACATTTAAATATATACATAGGACACAGGCAAAAAATTAGGATTTCTTTAAAATTCCGCACAGACGAAGTCAGTAGAATTATTAGTACTAGTACTATATACTGATATTATCTATACTGATATTATAAAGAAGAAAGATTTTTATTTTTAAATTGAAATAACTCTGAATATACTGAGACGATGCCAAAAATTCTCCAGCATTAGAAAGCTACGTACGTACGTACATAGGCTATACTTTTTTATTATTTTTTAATTTTACGTGGAAGAAGTCGAGAGCAACAGCTAGTATTAAATAATATAAAAACATTATCGGTTAGTGATATGTGTAAAATAATGTTTTAATCTGTATGAAATGGGTGTGTGTTACTTGTGCGTGTGTGGCCGGCTGCGGGTAGGCGTGGTGCGGGTAGTGCAGCGCGGGCGCGGGGTAGCCGCCGTACGGCAGCAGCTCCGCGCCGCCGCCCACACCAGCCACACCGCCCACGCCGCCCACGCCACCCGCGTACGTCGGCGGAGGGTACGCTGGAATACAAAACAATGTTTAATTTTACTTACTTATACTATCGAAATAAATGTGGAAAATAATGTCCTGTGGAAACACTTCGGCTAAAATGATGTAGGATGTCAAACATGACACCATATTTTTCATCATTAATAAAAGGCCCTATACGTACGACACGCTATAAGCTTTTAAGCCATTTAGGGGGTGAGCCAATTTAAAAAAAATCGTCATGCGAGAAAGAGACAAAAATTACAAGCCAATAGCAACACAGAAGATTGCCCCGCTAACGGTTAGACAATGGCAAGCCTTCGGTGTCATTTGTGCATTTCAAAATTTCCTTAATAAACAATAAAATAAAGTTTTTATAAATTGACACAGATGAAGGCGCACGGGAACAGCTGGTGAAATATAAAGGTATTATTATTACCTGTGGGCGGCCACATGTGCTGGTAGTAGTGCGGATGCGCGTGCGCATGCGGGTGCGGCGCGGCGTGCGCGTGCGCGTGCGCGTGCGCGTGCGGCGCGGGGTAGAAGTACCCCTCCGCCGGCACCTGCTCCTCGATCTTTGCCTCCGTCGATGATAGAGACGACAGCGACATCTGGTGGAGAAACAGACAAATGAGTCAGAAATATTAAACAAAACGAATGAAAAAGAAAGTCATATTAAGACATTCTGGACTACTGCCGTTAATAATAAACTAACTGTAGCCCGCGACTCTGTCCGTGAACAATTTAAAAAAAACGACTAAATGTTCTTCCAGACCGTCCAAATTTCAGGCATGATTTCAAATAAAAGCTGTTTTGGAGATACATCTATCCATCCATACATTCACATCTTATTAGTAAGAAGTTAGATATGTTATTGGATATTTCTAAATATACCTTTAGCATATGTAAATATTTACGTTGTTGGCGTCTTCGGTATACAAATATTATTGAACACCTACCTGATCATCATCCAAGTTATCTTTGTCCTTGTCTGAGGCATGAGCGGAAGCGGAGGCAGAGGCGACAGCGGAAGCGGGCGCGGGAGATCTTCGCCGCTCCTCTCCCGTTAGCAATTCATCCTCTGACGATGATATATCAGAACCCAACTTGTCTCCTAACTCCACGCTTAGTAATTTCTTACGTTCTTCTTCTTTGATTCTCTGAAAATAGTAAATATAAGTAACTAAGGGACTACTAATCTAATTACTTTGACAGCCAAAAACTAAATGGAATCTTAAACACTTCGCTAAGTAAGCACCGCTTAAAAGACGTCGAAATTTTAATTGAATTTGTAGTTGAAATGTTAACATTTATGATATCGTTACATATTTTAATAGCGTTTCACTTTTCGGCCTTGAGTACGAAAGAATCGTTTAATGTCTAAGTCTATCGGTATATTTACATGAGACCTACATTAGTGCTAGACCGAAGGTCAATGATTGACTGCTAAAAAAACTACTGATTTCCCCTATGCGCAGGGGACCGATGACTAAACGAGGGTACCCTATCTGATTTCTAAAACTAAATATTTTTAAGGGATTAAATAACAACTCTGAGTGCATTTTTAAGTAATGATTCTGACCCTTTCAATAGTATCCTGTAGGCACTCGAGGTAGTAGTCTCTGGTGAGGTAGGGCGAGGGCGTCGTCGACAGCGGCTCCGGGTTCACATCCTTCTTAGAGTTCAATGATAATATACTCTCTCTATCTTCACTGTCTGATCCTATAATAAAAATACACATTTGTAAATAAAAATAAATTAAAAAAGTTCACTCTTTTCTACAAACAATTGTCTCCAAGAAAAGAAAACTAATACAACCTAAGGATTTTAAAGTAGCAATTACAAAATGTACCTTCATCATCCGAGGGTGGTTGGTGCGTGTCCAGGTCGGGTATGTTGACTGGCAGACGCTCGTCATCCTCTTCCTCCGAGGAGATGCCGAGCGCGAGGAAGGGAGGAGCCAGCCCGCCGCCCGCGCTCGCTCCGGACAACAACATCGCAATCCTGACAATACACCACTATAACACTAAACGACTAGACATACACCCTAATTCCTATAAACGACTAGGCATTTACCCTAATTCCACTAAACGACTAGGCATTTACCCTAATTCCACTAAACGACTAGGCATATCGCCTAATTCCACTAAACGACTAGGCATATCCCTTAATTCCACTAAACGATTAGGCGTATACCCTAATTCCACTAAATGACTAGGCATATACCCTAATTCCACTTAGCGACTAGAAGTACCTTTAAGAAATTTGAACAATAAGTGGGACCAAATGGCAACTATTCTGAATCAAACTTAAGAAGAATTACCCATAACGGATCACAAATCTCAACGTAATTGATGAACAACATAAAAAAAAAACACTCAAATGGAGAACCTCGTTTTTGAAGTTGATTTAAAAAAAAAAACATTTTTATGTCTGAAACATATTTTTTAGAGAGACATGAAATACAAATTTAAAAATATATAAGATTTACGTTGTCTGTGTTAGAAGAAAATGGTTCATCGAAAGTCTTGTATTAATCAATAATATAACTAAGCAAAAGGGGTTTTTCCATTTTTATTTATTATAACACAATTTCACAAATAGATCAGAATAACATTGGCATAAAAACACCCAAAAAAACAAACAAAAAATCACCTAGTGTCCAGATCAACGTTTTTCGGCTCTTCAGCGGGTGGGGGTGGCTTTGGCTCAGGCGCCCCCTCGCTGCCCACCCCCGGGGGCGGGGGCTCCACATTTTCTATACTCTTTGGCTCCACTGGCAATTCCTTCAAACACACCATTCAGGATTAATGCTTGAAATAGGTACTAGTGGAAACAAGGGCTAAGACATGCTAACATCACTACGGACTAGAAAATCTTGTATGAATGTCTTCATTTCTGATCTACTTTCTTCACATGCTATATTTTTTCTACACTTCTCGTTTCCATTGACAGCTTCTAAAGAATATAACAAACTTTTTTGACCAAAATTAGAAGATTCTAAGGTATTTGCCATCTATAGTACGTAAAATATATGATTTTTAAGACAGTAAATGTTAGTACCTTTGTTTCATGCAGTTAGTGATAAAGCATGCAGTGTTAAAATGTATGAAATCCTAGAATCTACTACAACACCAATATAAATTTACACCAAATTGTACCCATTATATGATTTAAAAAGTAAAACAGCAGAATTACACAAAATGGCTAGCTCTAGCCCGCGACACTGTCCGAGTCAAATTAGAAAAAACAAAAGTAAGCCTACATGTTCTTTCAGACTATCCTCTATATCTATGCCAAATTTCATCGAGATCAGTTCAACAGTTTAGGCTACAAACTCTAACAAACATCTATCCATCCATCTAAACTTTCACAGTTATAATATTAGTAAGACTACTAGTTGTTAAAAATTTAAAATAGGTACAATTTGCGTAATTCTTGAAGAAAGCAGACCTTTTCCTTAGTCTTCTTGTGCTTGCGTTCGGGGGAGCGCTTGCCGGCGGCAGTGGGCGTCGCCCACGACTCCGACCGCCTCTCCGACTTTAGTCACAACACACGTCAGCCATAGACAAAATTATACCCAAACACTATGTAGGTGCGGACCATAGACAGGATTGACAGCTGTCATAGATTAGCTAACAGTTTGACAGCTGTCAGACATCGTAAAAACTAGCATCGTAAGTAATGATAATAATATGGGATATAAGTTGCTGATATTTAGCCACAAAAACCTTTTCTATTTCGATTCTATATGCAATAAGTGATTTGAGAACAATCACATATGAAATTATAATATACGAGTGTGCAAGAACATGCATAGAGTTTAATGGAAAACATACATAAAATGTTTTTAATTGATTACAATGGATGGTATTTTATTTCTAATTTCACTTCATGTCATCATTTTTTTCTATTAATAATTATATGATTGATGGAATTATTAATAATGAAAAATGTAATTATTAGCGTGTTGTAGCGTAATTTACAAGCAGTGATTCAAAATTCATCAAACTCCTAAGCCGAAAACAGATTGGTGATGTTTGTGATGACTTTCCTAGCGTGTTGGTGGTGGTAATGATAGTAGTGAATGATAACTCACATGTGGTGTGTGGTGATGCGAGGGGTGATGGGGATGTCTCCAATCCCACCACATACCGCTAGCGCCTGGTGCCGGGCTCGCTCCGTAACCGTAGGCATAACTGAAGAATTAAAAAAAAATACAGTATAAAAAAAAATTGAAGGTAAAGCGTATAAAAACCAAGCTCGATAAACGGGCAACTTTAATCAATAGTCGTGACTAATGCCATGAAAATTTTAAATTAATCAACGCTTGCGCTTGCGCAGTGTTTTTTGCCTAGTCATTTATAAATCACTGCCTTTGTGCTGTAGTAAATTGTTGGACTTGCTTACAAAGTGTAGCGTTCAGTATCCGGCAATACTGAACGCAATAAAACATTACTATGTAAATTCAAAGAAAGATGTCACATTTTTTTTACAAAAGACAATGTTACTAATTTTAATCTTAATAATAATATATCATAAATGCGAAAGTGCACATGGATGGATTGACGTTTGTTAGAGATTGTAGCCTAAACTGCTGAACGCACCTCGATGAAATTTGGCATGAAATAGAGGACAGTCTGGAAGAACACATAGGCCACTTACTATTTTTTTTTAATTAAACTCATACGGAGTCGGGGGCGACAGCTAGTGATAAATAATAATGCTAATGAATTAAGACGTACCTTTGTTGATGGTAGTAGGGGTCATAGGGCAATGGTCCAGTGGGCGTGTAAGGCACTTCAGTGGGCAGGGCGGGCATTGCGGCCGGGTGGCTGACGTGCGGCGCGGCGTGCGGTGCGGCGTGCGGTGTGGCGTGCGGTGTGACGTGCGGTGTTGCGTGTGGTGTGGCATGCGGTGCGGTATGCGGCGTGGTGTGCGGTGCGTGCGCGGGGGCGTGGCTCGGCGTCTGCATGGGCGTGTGCGCGGGGGCGTGGCCGGAGCCGTGGCTGGACGTCGCGTACGCCGTGTCGTTGTTATCACTCGTACTGCGCGCGTGACGCTCTCTATGCCTGTTTATATATTAAAAATAAAAGTTTAGTTATGTCTTCTCTACATTATGGAAGTACAGAATGGGAAAGTAGCGCTGAAAATCAGTGATGGCGTACAATTGACATAATGCAAATCTAATTGCAGTCAGTGAACTCATACTTTCTATGCCAATCCCGCCCAACTGTTATACTGTACTAGCACAATGTAAACCAGACATAACAGAAAGACAAAATTATCTGAGGCGGTGATCATAAATCAATGTTTAACAAATCATAAGAGATTAGAATTTTTTGATGCTTTCAAATAATTTATGATCGTTAGCAACATTTGAAATATATGAACAATATACCTTACAAGCAAAATATACCAATAGCTACTATTAAAATTACCTTGCTTTCCTTCTACATTTCCTCTTGCATCGTCGGCTTGCACAAATAAATAACAAATTTACATAGAATGCAAAGATATAACTTCATTACATACATTTACACGTAACAACATCAATACTAATATTGTAAAGAGTAAAACATTTAATTTTATTGTATGTTATAAATTAAAAAATTACTAAATCGTTTAAAAAAACTCTTACTACTAGAAAGCTACATTATAACGGAGTAATATAGGCTATATTTATCATTTGAAATTTTTTCTTTAATACCGGGTGGTCAAAGTCAGTAACTACTAGTAACTAGTGTCCAATATACTCCTAAAACACTTATTTTTTTTTTTATCTGTCAACAAAATCATTAATCATACAAGTAGCAAGGTACTCACCGTTCCTTATCCCGATCTCTATCTCTGTCTCTGTCTCTATCACCATCTCTATCTCTATCCCTGTCTCTCTCTCTGTCTCTGTCTCTGTCCCTGTCCCGGTCACCGCGACTGCGATGTCTATGTCTGTATTCCCGCTCTTCATCAGACCATCGTGTGTTACTGTCACTATGCTCCTCCTTGTAGCGAGAGTATTCCTGGTATAAATGTAACATGAATACTAAGAGCTGTCTATATTTACATTACAACTTCCTTTGAATCAGTTCAATCCACAGGGATTAACAGTAATATAGATTTCATCATCATCATCACCAGCTCACTATATGTCCCCACCAAGGGGCTCGGAGCCTGCCCTAATAAGGGGTGAATAGGCCATAGTCAACCACGCTGGCCCACTGTGGGTTGGTTGACTTCACACATATCTTTCAATTTCTTCGCCGATATGTGCCGGTTACATCACAATTTTTTCCTTCACCGTAAGAACGTCGGGTAAATTGTGTACATATGAAAATTCGAAAAATCGAAAATCACATTGGTACATGGCGGGATTCGAACCCTCGACCTGTAGATTACAAGTCAAGTGCCTAAACTACTGAGCCACCGATGCTCGACGATATAGATTTGTAAACTTTTTTAAATTAATTTATTAGTAGATTCTTTGTTAATTTACTAATATTTATTTACATTCCAACTAAACTCCATGCTTGTGTGTGTATATATGGGTTGGTCGAGTGGCCGAGAGTGTGCGTGGTCGAGAGTCGAGAAAATAAATTTTCAAACACACATGTCTCCGAGAAAATTTTCTTATTCAATTATAAACAAAAAAGTACTACAAAGACAATTATCTACTACGGTACGGTACAGTAAGGTTTTATATAAAACACATACCTTATCCACCAACTTAGTATCTTCAAGTCTTTTACTTAGCACCTCAGTCTTGGACAAGCGACCATCTTCTGGTACTAATGGTAAAGGTTTCAAAGTTGATGATGCAACTGGCTGTGCCTTTCTATCCATTGTCTTGTCCTCAAACATTTCCTGACATTTCTTCCCAAATGGGTCGTGAAAAACCTCCAGCACCTGATGAAAGGATATTGATAGGGGTCGCCAGCTAATAAAGCTTAGTCGATGATCAAGGGGGTTTAGCCAATGAACAAGGGGGGTTGAACTGATAGTATCTTGTGTCATGACAACAATGTGTTTCATTCATAGAAAACTTTTCATACATAGCCTATTGCAATTTTGGAATTCTATACATTTCCAAAAGGTGAACATTGACCAAGATAAGTTTGTATTTAGTGATCTTTAAAACAACTTTTTACAAAATGCCTAAACAGCTTCGGAATTGTTTAACATCTTTAAGCATTTCCTAGTTGTCACACATCTCCGGCAATATATACATACAAAATCTTACTAATATTATAAATTCGAAAGTTTGGATGGATGGATATTTGTTAGTTTGTTGTCTAAACGGCTCCACAGACCTTGATGAAATTTGGCATAGATGTAGAGCATAGTTTGGAGCATAGAACACATAAGCTACTTACTTTTGTTTTTTTTAATTCCATGCGGACATAGTAGCGGGTGAAAACTAGCAGGTTATATTGATAAGAAATGTAAAAAATTTTGTAAAACATACATACCTGACCCATGACCGATTTTCCATTATATTTTTCAATGCACATTTTAGAATACTGCACATCTTGAAACACAATTCTTGCAAAACCTAAATGTCTATGAGTAATGGGATGGTAAAATATTGTCAATTCTTCATATGGTCCTACTTTATTCATCATATCTGACAAAAATGCCTTATCTATGTTGTCATTTAAATTCCCGATTGTTATTTCTACTTGAGGAGGTACGCCTACGTAATTTTTATCTATCTTAAACCTGAAATTAATGTTTTTATTTCAATTTCCCGCATATTTCTAAATGTCATTTTGTGGTTATGTTGGTAGCACTGTCTGTTAAAATACAATAAAAACAAAGAAGATTATAACCAAAATTGAAAAAAATCCTTTGAGAATCGCTTATAAATAGTTATTTTATCGAACAAACATAATTACAGAAAGGTATTGAGGTCATAAAAGTGTTTATATTACATAAAATAGGCGCATGTAAACCAACTAGACATTTGACAACATGTTACATATTTAAGCTTTTTTGGACCACTATTTAACTAATATAATTAAAACTTTCATGTCTATTTCATTCTATGAGTTGTTTTAAGAGCTTTTACCACTAAATGTACTTCTGAAACCCTTAGCAAAACAAGAATTTCTTATTTGTGTTTGGCATAGTTTTACAGTAAGAATTGTATCTGAAATACCTAGGGACTGGCAAATCTGCTGATTCTATCTTATTCCATATCCTCGAGAGCTGCGACCTGGGATCTCTGCATTGAACCGGAGGATAACTAGCATCTCCAGGCACACCATCATATCTGTACAATTTTGTTGCTCCTTTAACAAGGCACGGATCCATGAGCAATTTATAGTTTTTAGGTGCTTTGTGAAGCACAGCATTATGACCTGGAGTTCTATGCTCCATTCCTCCATTCATTCTGAAACAAAAAATAAGTGTGAAATTTATTTAGTACATAACCTCACCAAATTACAATGAAATTTGTCTTCATATTCAAAATATGAATTTAATCATTTTTGACACCGAAAGTAATATAACCAATTGGAGGGTTTTATGGATTAGGGGTAAAACAAACCTGAAATATTTATAAAACAATTTGTAAGAAAAATGAAATTTCTCTGCTTTTTAACGAATGATAATAATATGACGTAAATTCATCGTCTCTAATAACAAAACAAACTTTATTATTACAATGTACATACTAAAAAAAAAGAAAATATCACAAAGTTAACACGACAATATCGTAATAAAAAATATATTCCAACAGCAAACACTCTCCATGGTGACGACCACTCGAACTAAAACAGACTAAAACTAAGCTAAGCAGCACGGATACAATAATATTTACTTGCATAACTTTATACTCAGTATATTCAAATAATTTTATATTTTGTTCAATACTCAATAGCTATGTAAATATTTTTTTTTTAATTAAAGAAAAGTAAATCGAAAAAACAAGACTTTTATTTGACTCCACAAAAGTGTTTGCTATAAAGTACCGTTTTTTATGAAGTTCATTTACTTTACAATAATTTTGGTACTTCATGAACTTTGACGTTCTTCAAAGATTGGTAGAACTGCCTACTGTCATTCTTAAAGGCAGCCAGCAGATAATATATATTCCATCCAATCTATTAATTTGTGCGTATTTTGATTTTTTTTTGTATTTAATGAAATAATTGATTGTTATTAAGTATGTACCTTATGTTACATTTAGTTAAAAACGCTAAATAATCCATACTTTAGTTTTTTCAAAAATATTTGTGTTTGTGGTGTTGCAAGAAATATGTAAGTTCCCGATTTTTACGGAAAGTACTTTCACGTTGTTATACAAATGTACTTTTGACTGTATTCACTTTCTGAGACAATTGTTTTGAGTTACCGATACAAACCTACCTAAATTATCCGAGTACAATACTAACATTCCATTTAATAAAATTATGAAACAAAGAATTTCATAAACCAAGGAACTTATTAAATACTTAGTACGCCAACATTACATTTCGAAATTATCTATGTGTTTTTCTAGCCATAGATTTTATTATATTGAAAAATTGGCGATTTGAAGGATTGGTTGCATCATCGCTTAAGGTTAATTTTATTAATTTTTATCACAGTAAATAAGATACAAACCCTAAAAAGTGCTATAACGAATCTCTGATTAAATATAATTGTTGTGATACTAAAATTTCAGGAAAAATGACTGAAAAATTGGTACCCGTGGTTAAAGCAGAGGAAGAAGAAGAGGAAGAATTAGTGGACCCGCAGCAGCAACTGAGGGTATTCTTTATGTTACATTAATCAATCTATGAATTATATGTAAAAACAAATTTGTGACAAAATGAGGTATTTATTTGAAGGCAGCAGTACTAACCTTATATACTAAGTAAAATTTTGCTCCAAAACTTTTAATGCGTTACAGTACGAGTAACGAGTAACAGTTAGTATTAAGTATCTGTTCCTCGAGGTTTTCTTTACTTAGAATTAAAAAAAAATATTTATAATAGCATATTATACGATGATAAGGGTTCTTAAGGGGGAGTTTTGGAGTACACCTAACGTTTTTTGTTACATCAATACATACAAATCTTTCATCTTCAAATTGGTTTTTTGTTTTTTTTTTCGTAGTCGAGTTTATGTCTGGCAAAGCATTTCCAGTTAGGATATCTGGGCATAGACAATCTTACCTTGTCCCCGCATCTTTACCTCCAGTTACTTTAAAATTAATGATAAATATAAAAGATCAATTAAATACTAAATAGAATATGTTATGACAAAAATCCATTTATTTCTGTAATATTTATTACGACAAATAATGGTGCAATGCAGCATTTTGTGTGTTAAATGTACTTTGAATGGATTTCTGCTTTTTGATTTATTATTTTAATATAATTATATTTTTGTCCTGTAGGATCCCAGCAAGACATGTTTATGAAATTTTGAGGTTTTTCTTTTAATATTTTGTAGTTATTTGTATATAGACTGTTGTAATTGAATGTATTTAGATTGTAATTTGTGTTCATTTTTTAATGCAATAAAATAGAATTACATAATTAAAATGTATTGTATCTTACAGGATGTTTGCTCCCAAAAACCAGATGCACAAAACCTATGGGCAAAGTTCCAAGAGTGTAATGACCGAGTGAACTCCCGATCAAAGACAACGGAAACTTGTGAAGAGGAGCTGATCGACTACATCCATGTTCTCGATAAATGTGTCAACAAAGACCTCTTTAAAAGGCTAAAGTAATTTTAAAGTACAAAAGTGTTGCCCACAAACATATTTATTGTTTAACACCTTCTTGTTGCCAGTAGTTTCCTGGTTTTTTTTATGATTGTTAGATCAATTTAAATGTAGCAATTTTCTGTAAATAAATTAATTTAATCTGAGTTATGATTTTTTTTTATTTAATAGACTAAGGCATGACAATAGACAAGTACACAAGTATCTTTTATTGCAGCAAATACAAAATTTCGTTAAAAATAATACAAAACAGTCGGAATGTTGAATCACATTTTTTAAGACCACAAGTTAAAATTCCATCAATTGAAATACATTTCTAATTTTAATAAAATGCAAAGAATAAACAGAAATTACATTGTTTTATAATAATATACTTCATACATTTTTTTAACTTAACCATTACTAAAATTGGGTAATCTTTAATCCTAGCAACACTGGGGTAATGGGAAGAAAAAAATCAACATTATGACTAATAAATACTTTTAAAATTCTAAAAGCCTTGCTTCAAACAATAATAATTTCTCCATAGAACATTGTAAACACTTAAACCTACTTTTAGTAAAACAAAAAGCACATTGTTTACTTTGGCATTTTAAACAATATCCATAAATATAGGTTTTCAAGAACTTAGCGGGCATAACCCAATTAATCGATAAGACCACCTTTAAACTTTAAATTCAATTAGAATTTTTATGTCTAAAAATTTTAAAGTACAAGATTCTTTTCAGAATTTTGCCATTTGTGATAAGCAATATTAAACAAGACTATAATAAAACATCACTTATAAGAAGTCAGAGATACATTACATTATGACAGAAAAGTCAATTATTACAATCTAAAATATTTTAAACAATATAAAAAAGCCTTTTGTTGTCACACACACCAATTATTGTGGAATAGTTCGTATTTACGATTAAATAAGGCAAGACAGCATACATTCCTCCTAATAAAAAAGCATTAAAAACAAAGAACAAAGTCACTTTGAGCAAGACAATCGTTAAAAGAAGCCGCTGCCTCCTGAAGCACAGATATTACTAGCTCAGGAGACAACGTCCCACTAACTGTACAAAACTATTTTGGATCAATAAAGAGCCTTTTTTTATTTTTTTTTTACTTTTATTCGAAGATGCTTACATTTCAAACCAGTGCTAAAAAAGCATATTCACATTAGTCTATATTATTACTTTCCCAAAATAAAATTTCACAGAAAGTATAAAATTCAATGACCATCTTACTTTACAATCATAAATAGATAATTCTTCCTTTGAAACAGTTTTCCTTCACGAATATTTTTTTCATCGATGTGTGTCACAACTAAATGATCCTGGTACAAAATCGCATAACACTAACCGTAGAATTCAACTGCAGATATACTTATATTGCTTTCTCTATCTTATCTGAGGGAGTGAAACAGATAGCAATATACAATAGTGCAGTGTTCTACAGTTATGCCTGGTTCACACTTGGCCAATACAGTTGGACAGTAGCGCTGGAGTACTGAAATGGACTGGCATATTGTAAACACTAATTGACGCCAGTGAATCTATACAATCGATGCCAAGCCTGCGCGACTGTCTAACTGTACTGGCCTAGTGTGTACCGCGCAAGATATGGCTGCACTAACTGGCTCCCACTTGCAGCACATTGAAACATATTTCACAGACTCGCTGACTCTTGTTCAAACCGAATTTCAATATGGGCACGTCTTGGTTGGAACATTTATTGCACAGCATACGACCGCAATGTCGACTGGAAGAAGTATTTAAATATCAAAGATAATTAAAACACATTATAACAATTGTGAAATTACAGTGCAAGGGATGCATTACTTTTTTTAGGGTTGCTATTTCATTATCTATATGGAGGAATTCCAACAAAACATAGAATTTTTGGACTTTTAAATTTTTTTTTTCTTTAGCGTACTAGTAAACATTATTTTTTTAGTATCTATAGAGTAGAAAACGACCCGGCGTCCACTATAATTCGCAAAAGTAACAAGGCGTCTGCCCATAGACAAGGCAAATTTTAATTTAACTTTTAAAATCCATAGGGGACCCGAAGCATACTTCCCTTACTTGTGTGTCCCTTCCCATTCTTTCCATGTTCGAATATGAAATACGGTGAAAGAATGAAATTAAGCGCCCAGTATGCGATTTTTTTGTTCTTACCAATGATGTTTTCTCATAGTGAGAGTGAACTTAGTTCCGCATTCCTGACAGAGGTCGCTCTCGGCCCAGGGCGCCTCCGACGGCAGCGCGTCTAACAACCTATGTAACAATTGCTTCGTTGCTACCTGTATTACAATAAAAAAATTATATAAAAAATACATTTTTGAAAAAAAACTTGCTATTATAATATTTAGAACAAAACGCATATTCTCCATGTACTATATTACTACTAGCTGTCGCCTGCGACGTCGTCTGATTGTAATTAAAAAAAAAGTAAACAGTCTATCTATTCTAGTAGACTATTCTCTACAGTTTAGGCTACAAATTTTTACAAACATCCATCCATCTAAACTTTTGCATTTATAATATTAGTAAAAAAGTCAAATTTGAGATAAATACCTGATAATTGAAAATAGAGAGTCCATCTTTGTTCTCTTGTGCGAGACAAGCCCCGGCTCGTACTAACACTCTGCACATCGCCGCTTGACCGTTCATATACGCGAGCAATAAGGGCGTATTACCCTGTTAAATAAAATACGTCATTATACTAAAAAAGTTAGATTATAAGTGTGTGTTTAATTTAGTAGTGTAATTTACCTGCAAATCAGTTTTGTTGATAGGATAGTCGGGCATAAATTCTAGGAATATCTCGCAAATTGTCGCCGCGTTGTCCTTCTTGCACCAACACAGCTCGTGCAGTGGATTACGACCTGTCAATATATTTTAATTAAATAAATTACGAATTAAGATAGTAAAAATAAACTGTTATAATAATAACTGCTTGCTTGCTTATTTGCCACATTATATTAAAACTGTGCAAATATGCATGTAGCGTAAAACATAATTTCGCGGAAAGTAATAGTTTTGGCGTTATAACGAGATCATTGCCGCTTTTATTGTCTATGGGTCAAGCAAGGCGCCATTTAAAGTCGCCTCAATAGCGAAACAACCGCACTATACAGTTGCAATTCTGAATGCGTAGCCTACGTTTAACGAACGCACAGAGAAAAGACATTTTCTCTACCTATGCTAATATACCTCTGTTAATCCACTTCCCATCCTTGTAAGAAAAGAATAGGAAAGGGATTAAAATTAGGCCTCCGACACACACCATAGTGTGTAGAAATCCATTTAGGGCTTGTCGTGTGTTTCTTTGTGACTGAATGGCCACTGTTTGCCTTGAAGAGGCATTTACAGCTTCACCGGATTTGAGGTGGCCGAGCGCAGATGGCGCTTAGCCTGAACCTCGTTTTTGAGTAACTAAGCTAGAGGGCTCCCTCAGTAGCCTCCGCTCGGTCTGTTACTTCGTTATTATTAGCGGATTGGATAGAAAGATATTTCCTCTACCTATGCTGTTTTACCTCCGTTAATGCTTGTCCCCTTCCCATCCTTGTAAGAGAACAGGAAGGGGATTAATTAGGCCTTCGTTACACTATAGTGTGTAGATATTCATTTATTGCTTGTGTTGTTATACAGCACAAACATCCAACAGATGGCGCCACCTTTAAGATTGGTAGCCGCAGCATCGATGTCC